ATTGCCTAGAAATGCGTTTTTTCGTTCTAGAATATCGTTAAACACATTTTCCTGGGGTATATTGTTTACATAAAAAAGATGGAAAAATGGCCAATTTTTGAGCAAAACCATGGGTTAACCCCCTTTCGAAAAATGTCAATTTTTCGACTTTTTTAACTTCTTGTTTTTATTGCCTAGAAATGCGTTTTTTCGTTCTAGAATATCGTAAAACACATTTTTCTGGCATATATTGCCTAAAAAAAAAAGATGGAAAAATGACCAACTTTTGAGCAAAACCATGGGTTAACCCCTTTTGAAAAATGTCAATTTTTCGACTTTTTCAACTTCTTGTTTTTATTGCCTAGAAATGCGTTTTTTCGTTCTAGAATATCATAAAACACATTTTCCTGGCCTATATTGTTAAAAAAAGAAAATGGAAAAATGACCAATTTTTGAGCAAAACCATGGGTTCGACTTTTTGAATTTCTTGTTTTTATTGCCTAGAAATGCGTTTTTTCGTTCTAGAATATCGTTAAACACATTTTCCTGGGGTATATTGTTTACATAAAAAAGATGGAAAAATGGCCAATTTTTGAGCAAAACCATGGGTTAACCCCTTTGGAAAAAATATCAATTTTTCGACTTTTTGAACTTCTTGTTTTTATTGCCTAGAAAGGCGTTTTTTCGTTCTAGAATATCATAAAAAACGTTTTCCTGGCCTATATTGCCTAAAAAAAAAGATGGAAAAATGGCCAATTTCTGAGAAAAACAATGGGTTAACCCCTTTGGAAAAATGTCAATTTTTCGACTTTTTGTACTTCTTGTTTTTATTGCCTAGCAATGCGTTTTTTCGTTCTAGAATATCATAAAACACAATTTCCTTGCCTATATTGCCTAAAAAAAAAAAAAGATGGAAAAATGGCCAATTTTGGAACAAAACCATGGGTTAACCCCTTTGCAAAAATGTCAATTTTTCAACTTTTTGAACTTCTTATTTTTATTGCCTAGAAATGCGTTTTTTCGTTTTAGAATATCATAAAACATATTTTCCTGGCCTATATTGTTAAAAAAAAAAATGGAAAAATGACCAATTTTTGAGCAAAACCATGGGTTAACCCCTTTGGAAAAATGTCAATTTTTCGACTTTTTGAACTTCTTGTGTTTATTGCCTAGAAATGCGTTTTTTCGTTCTAGAATATCGTAAAACACATTTTTCTGGCCTATATTGTCGAAAAAAAAAAGTTCGAAAAATGGCCAATTTTTGAGCAAAACCATGGGTTAGAAAAATGTCAATTTTTCGAGGTTTTCAATTTCTTTTTTTTTTGCCTAGAAAAGCGTTGTTTTGTTCTAGAATATCATAAAACACATTTTCTTGGCCTATATTGTCTAAAAAGAAAAAGGTTGGAAAAATGACCAATTTTTGAGCAAAACCATTGGTTAACCCCTTTGGAAAAATGTCAATTTTTCGACTTTTTGAACTTCTTGTTTTTATAGCTTAGAAAGGCGTTTTTTCGTTCTAGAATATCGTAAAACACATTTTCCTGGGGTATATTGCCTAACAAAAAAGATGGAAAAATGGCTAATTTTTGAGCAAAACTATGGGTTAACCTCTTTGGAAAAATGTCAATTTTTCGACTTTTTGAACTTCTTGTTTTTATTGCCTAGAAATGCGTTTTTTCGTTCTAGAATATCATAAAACACATTTTCCTGGCCTATATTGTCAAAAAAAGAAAATGGAAAAATGACCAATTTTTGAGCAAAACCATGGGTTAACCCCTTTGGAAAAATGTCAATTTTTCGACTTTTTGAACTTCTTGTTTTTATTGCCTAGAAATGCGTTTTTTCGTTCTAGAATATCGTAAAACACATTTTTCTGGCCTATATTGCCTAAAAAAAAAACATGGAAAAATGACCAATTTTTGAGCAAAACCATGGGTTAACCCCTTTGCAAAAATGTCAATTTTTCGACTTTTTGAACTTCTTGTTTTTATTGCCTAGAAATGCGTTTTTTCGTTCTAGAATATCATAAAACATATTTTCCTGGCCTATATTGTTAAAAAAAAGAAAATGGAAAAATGACCAATTTTTGAGCAAAACCATGGGTTAACCCCTTTGGAAAAATGTCAATTTTTCGACGTTTTGAACTTCTTGTTTTTATTGCCTAGAAATGCGTTTTTTCGTTCTAGAATATCGTAAAACACATTTTCCTGGGCTATATTGTTTACATAAAAAAGATGGAAAAATGGCCAATTTTTGAGCAAAACCATGGGTTAACCCCTTTGGAAAAATGTCAATTTTTCGACTTTTTGAACTTCTTGTTTTTATTGCCTAGAAATGCGTTTTTTCGTTCTAGAATATCATAAAACACATTTTCCTGGCCTATATTGCCTAAAAAAAAAAGATGGAAAAATGGCCAATTTTTGAGCAAAACCATGGGTTAACCCCTTTGGAAAAATGTCAATTTTTCGACTTTTTGAACTTCTTGTTTTTATTGCCTAGAAAGGCGTTTTTTCGTTCTAGAATGTCATAAAAAACATTTTCCTGGCCTATATTGCCTAAAAAAAAAAAGATGGAAAAATGGCCAATTTTTGAGATAAACAATGGGTTAACCCCTTTGGAAAAAAGTCAATTTTTCGACTTTTTGTAGTTCTTGTTTTTATTCCCTAGCAATGCGTTTTTTCGTTCTAGAATATCATAAAACACAATTTCCTTGCCTATATTGCCTAAAAAAAAAAGATGGAAAAATGGCCAATTTTTGAGCAAAACCATGGGTTAAGCCCTTTGCAAAAATGTCAATTTTTCGACTTTTTGAACTTCTTGTGTTTATTGCCTAGAAATGCGTTTTTTCGTTCTAGAATATCGTAAAACACATTTTCCTGGCCTATATTGCCTAAAAAAAAAGATGGAAAAATGGCCAATTTTTGAGCAAAACCATGGGTTAGAAAAATGTCAATTTTTCGAGGTTTTCAATTTCTTGTTTTTTTGCCTAGAAAAGCGTTGTTTTGTTCTAGAATATCATAAAACACATTTTCCTGGCCTATATTGTCTAAAAAGAAAAAGGTTGGAAAAATGACCAATTTTTGAGGAAAACCATGGGTTAACCCCTTTGAAAAAATGTCAATTTTTCGTCTTTTTGAACTTCTTGTGTTTATTGCCTAGAAAGGCGTTTTTTCGTTCTAGAATATCATAAAACACAGTTTCCTGGCCTATATTGCCTAAAAAAAAAAGTTGGAAAAATAGCCAATTTTTGAGCAAAACCATGGGTTAACCCCTTTAGAAAAATGTCAATTTTTCGAGGTTTTCAATTTCTTGTTTTTTTGCCTAGAAAAGCGTTGTTTTGTTCTAGAATATCATAAAACACATTTTCTTGGCCTATATTGTCTAAAAAGAAAAAGGTTGGAAAAATGACCAATTTTTGAGGAAAACCATGGGTTAACCCCTTTGGAAAAATGTCAATTTTTCGACTTTTTGAACTTCTTGTGTTTATTGCCTAGAAAGGCGTTTCTTCGTTGTAGAATATCGTAAGATACATTTTTCTGGGCGTAATTGCTTTTAAGGAAAAGATGGAAATATGGCCACTTTTTGACAAAAACCATTGGCTAACGAAATGATGAGTTAACTTTTTTGGAAAAATGGAATATGGCCACTCTCAAAATTGAACTTGTTAAAAACGCGTCTTTCGGGCAATTTTTGCACTCTTTAACTTCGTGAAACATCTTTTTCGACTTTATTTCGACAAAAACACAAGAAAAAAGAGAGTTTCCAAATTTGCCCCGAAATCATGAGTTAAGGCTTTTTGAAGAATCTATTATGGCCACCCCCAAAATCGAGCGCTTTTAAAGGTGCCTTCGGCATTTTTAGCACTTTTTAATATCGCCAAAAAATTTTCTCTACTCGATTTAGAACAAAACTGATCAATAAGAGACTTTCAAATTTTGACCCAAAATCATGGGTTAACCCCTTTTGAAAAATGTAATATGGCCACTTCCAAAATTGAACTTGTCAAAAACACGTCTTTCCGATAATTTCTGCAGTCTTTATCTTTGTGAAACATCTTTTTCGACTTTATTTCGACAAAAAGACAATAAAAAAGAGACTTTTCAATTTTGCCCCGAAATCATGAGTTAACCCGTTTGGAAGAATCCAATATGGCCCAAAAAAAAAAAAAAAAACAAAAAAAAACGTGCCTTTTCGTCATTTATAGCACTTTTTAATATCACCGAAAAATTTTCTCTACTCGATTTAGAAGAAAACCGATGAATAAGAGACTTTGAAATTTTGACTCAAAATCATGGGTTAACCCCTTTGGAAAAATCCAATATTGTCAACCACAAAATCGAACTCGTTAAAAAGCGTCTTTTAAGCGTCTTTTAAGCATTTTTAGCACTTTTTAACACCTCCAAAATTTTTTTCCTACCCTTTTTTGACAAAAGGGAATCGAAAGGAAATTTTGAAAAGATTTGCTCAAAGTCGTGTGTTAATCCCTTTGGAAAAAGAAAATATGGCCATCGCCAAAATCGAACTTGTTAAAAAGTGTCTTTTCAGTATTTTTAGCATTCTTTTAACACCGCCAAAAATCTTTTCCTACTCTATTTAGACCAAACACAATCTAAAGGAGACTTTCAATTTTTGATCCAAAATAATGGGTTAACCCCTTTGGAAAAATCTAATATGGCCACTACCAAAATTGAACTTGTCAAAAAAGCGTCATTTCGGCAATTTTTGCACTCTTTAACTTCGTCGAACATCTTTTCCTACTCTATTTCGACAAAAACAATCAAAGAGAAATTTTTAATTTAGATTTAAAGTCATGGGTTAACTCCTGTAGAAAAATCTAATTTGGCCACCACCTAAAATTAAAATCTGTATTTATAAGGATCGTTTGGGCCTCCTTAGCATTCTCTGCAAAATTATAGGCTAATTTATCCTTTTGGAATAAAAGAGATTTTCGTAGTTTGGCCAGGCTTTTAATGTTTGAAAATTGAATTACATAAATTCTTATTTATAAGACAAAGGTTTGTAGCTGTGGTATTTCAAAATTAGATTAAATGTGCTATCAAACGTTGAGTCTATATCATTATAAATACATATATATGTATGCCATTATTTAAAGTCAAAAAAATTGTATGAACTAAGATTATGTTTTCTTAAGTGTCAAGTTATAATTCCTTATCTATGCATACACAAAACGTTTTCGACACATAGCAATTGTTGCATTTCTTAACATTGATGAAATAAATCCTAAAAATATAGAATTTTGAAAGAAAAATAGGAGGTTAAAGGAAAGGTATTTGGTCTAAAATCAGGAATTTAACTAACCTAATTTCCTCATTTTATTGTTCTCCGTCAAGTTATGGCGAGCTTAATTTGTGTTAAGAAGGAAACGGTAGAAAAACTGTAAGATTGTATGAATGAGTGACAAAAACAGCACAGGTTACCCACACAATTTGCTTGCACGCTTAATCAAAACTGTGCGTTTATGTATCTTGTTAAGTTTGTCGACCCTTTTGTTCATAATCAAAAATTAAGTTATTGCATAGGTTGTTGAGTTAGCCCAAGATAAGAACAAGATAAGATTCAAAACGTGTTTAAATTACTGCTCAGATTGTAATCCTTAAAGGTTGACAAACCTGATAAGATATCTTGACACTTATTTAGGATTGATCCATGCATTTTTTAAGATGTTTCTTATCACCATAAAACTTAAGCTAAATACCATCGTAGGGTCATTGTACATTCCTATAATTCATACACAAACAGATTGGGTGGATACCCTGTTATCATAACTCTTCAAATGAAATTACATAATGTCGGTCCCATAATGTACAAGGAGTCAGTCATCACTTTGTGTTTTTACAATAACTGGTCGAGAGCTATGGTCAACAGTGGTGCGAAAATATATTTTTCTCTTTCACTTGCTGGAAAACTGTCAATGTTATTCTAGAAAACAAATAGACAACAATTTTCTATGGTCTATTCTCTGACAGAGCATAGAAATGACGTCAACATGTCGAAAAGTTAAGTGGAACCATGAGCCACGGGCAAGTTTGTTAATTTTATATTTTTAGCTCTTTATATTTGTTTGTGATTGAATTAATTCTGTGTGTAGAAAGGAAAATAAATCTGAATGAATACACTGCAATTTTGGTTTCCACATTTGGGGAATAAAAAAAGTAAAAATAGTTAGCGATTCTACTAAGTCCTAAGTACATTTAACAAATGAGTTTTCGTAACTTTTCAACAATGTATACAAAACAGTATTATACAAAAATGTTTCTAACTTAATTTTAGCCATAAAATCTCATGCTTGTAATAACCAAGTTAACAATAGTTATAATATAATGATTTTACAATAAGAATCTTTTGCATCAAAAGACCCTCAGCATCAAAGGCTAAGCTTGGGTCATGTAATATGATTGATTTATTCCCAGATCCTTTTTATCTGGGGAGAATCCGCTGAGCAAAGTGAGTGAAGGCGCACGATGGTAGGTGACAATAGGAGAAAATAATGAAACAATTTCTTTTTAATAGCAGGCCTACAGACAACACTTTGAAATTATCTACCAAGTAAGCAATTTTCGAACCTTAGCAAGTGATCTCCTTCATGTGGCACACATATAAAACACCACAAGGTCAAAAAATATTTCATCATTATTTTCGGATAAATTCTATCAAGAACCAGAATTCATCTACATGTAAAAACAATTAGAAAAAAAAATGTCGTTAAGATGATAGAAGTTTTTTATCTTCACTTGTGTTAAATTGTCGTAACATTCAAGTGAATAATTGTCACTTTTGTGCATTTAAAAATTCCCCATTAACTTAGTAAATCTGTAGTGTTGCGTGTGCCATCAGGAGATACTGTGGGGGGAGGGGGTGTGTTATTTGTTGTGCCTTTTATGAGGTCGTCCATCTGTTTTTTCCAAAATTCTGAAAAAAACATAAAGAATTTCTATTACAAAGCTTTCTAAAAACTTCCACTACAACAGACTGTGGAAACACTAGATCTTGTTTGTAAGTTACTACCAAGAAATAATCCTACAATTCACCACCTACCGGTATTTACACATTCTTTTAATCCACCAGTCACAAGCTTGAAGTACAAGAGTACAACAGCATATTTATCTGATCTACTTACCTTGTGTCTTCAGAACGTTATTCATCAACGGATTGTGGTTCCTTTCGTTTACTCTCTTGTCTCCTAACGTGGTATCAAGCTGCTTCTCCAGTTCACTAGGTGAGGGACTAGGCTCTAAACAAGTAAGAATTGTTTAAGAAAGAAACTGAAGATACAAACGTAATCTACTAAGCAGACCTCCTGTTCAACAGCCACCATCAGAGTCCCAGCAGACAAAATTATCAGAAAATTTTCAGCTTAGAATTTACATTTTGAACTTCTTTTAAGGGTTCCCATGACACAGGTACAATTCGTCTCTTCATAGAGGTCATGTTTCTGGCGATTTGATGAAACTTTTGTCACCCAGTAATCTAGGAAGTGGCCACTAAAGCGGTTCAACTGTGCTTACCCAACACACTGGTATTAAGTTATTGTTAATTACTTCTTTCCAGTTTGCTCCATTCGACCAGCTTTCATTGAAAAACTATTTATCTTTTCTGGTTCTCACTGAAATCATGACTTGCACGATATGTTATGCAGTATTTCAACATTTCATCAATTAAAATTAATGTAAATTCTTCAGCAGTATTTCAAAAACTGATTTGCATTCTCATGGAAACCTGTTCTAAAGAGCATGCAATCTGCTTACCTGTGGACCTTACATCTGTTTGTACTGAGAGGTTTGCAGGAGTTGCATTTGGCTGTAAAATCAAACCCCATGACTGAGCAGAATCATCTAAATTAACAAGTGGATCACTTGGCATCTGATCATGTAAGCTACCTGACATGCTCTTGTTACTGTGAAACAATTCACCAGTCACACTGGTATTGCTGTCACGCAAGTCACCAGACAAACTGGCACTACTGTTGTGCAAGTCACTAGTTGGGCTTGTACTGTTCAATTTTGGAAAACAATTGGAATCCTCTGATAAATCTACAAGTGGCAATTCATTGCCGCCATTAACAAGCTCTTCTCCACTGGAGCTAGAATCTTGTGAGGTGTGTTCCTCATCTTCTTCTTGTACAGTAGTAACTTTAAACCGTGAATTGCAGGCTGGATAGTCTGCAGTCAGTACTTTGAGCTCCTCCTTGATATCTGGAGGATTCTCTAACTGAATTAGTTGTGGAGGAGCTGAAGCAACAAGTTTATCCTGACTCTCGGACTGAAGGTTTTCTGCATGTCTTGTCACACCATGAATGCTTTCTGTTTCACTGGCTGTTCCTTCTTCAGTCTGGCTGTTATTGGCAAGTTGACGCTCCTCATGCTCCTTTGCTTGCATCTTGTTTCTCTGGCAATAGCCATAGATGTCAGCAAGGATAATCCTCTGTGTGGTTTCCATGCCCTGATGAAAACAAATAAATACAAGTCACTCAATACGAGCTGTGAAAACACCCTATAAGTGCTTTTAGCCAAAAGAGGGGATAGAAAGGGTAGCTGATTATCAGTGCCACTGAACACACATATTTGACTTGGCAAAATCACATGTACTCAGCAATGTTGTAATGCCTTACACAGTGTAGCCTGCGAGCAAGCTCTCCATTTCAAGTGGTGAGCAAATGCATGAGTGAGCAGCAAAGCCTGGAGCGGGGGAGGAAAAGGAGAGCTGGCAACAATCACTTATAAATTTTCATGTCTGCTTCACCCAGACAAAGCGAAATACCACTGGCTGAAAAATAACATTCCAGAAGTTAAAGTTCATTGATGACAGTCCTGGCAGACCCACCATAAATTTTTGCTGATGCTTTCGGAAATCAGTTGGGTAGATTGCTCCTTATCCGGGGAGCCAGAGGTTTTTCAGGGTAATTGCTTCTTTCTCCAAGAAAGAATTGCTGGCAAGGAAGAAGATCGCCCTTTCCTTCCATGAAAAATTACTGTGGATTGTGTGGTGGCTTTTTTTTAAAGTTTCACTTTGGAGCTCCAGCCTGCAGCTTACATAAACCAGCAATTCAAAAGACTAACAAGGGAATGCAGTGTAGAAGTTACCAGGAAAACATTACGCAGTTGTGTGAGTTTCCACACAGTGAAAGCAGAATCAACGTGTTGATTTTTAGATCCAGGCACATACATGGATGGTCGGTGTGCTCAACAAAAAAAAAGGAAAGAAACATCTGGTGATAAATATTGACAAATAAAGTAACAAATACGATTTCTGTTGACACTGAGGTGTAAACAGGATGCAGGGGCTTTTTAAAAAGCAACACGCCTCCGTTGTCTTAGTGCAAAATTGCAATATTTTGCTTTTGTTGGAGCGTTAGTGTAACTGGCACATTTGAATGAGGGTATTATATTGAAAAGTGGCTGACACATTTCTTGTTTCCGGTGACAGTTTTATTGCTTTGCGGTTTCCTGCGGTTTCCAGGATGGCAATGAAAATTTGTGAGCGATTGTTGCAAGCTCTCCTTTCTTTCTCCACCCCTCGCACTCGTGTCTTCTTTTGTGTGCAGCTCCCCGTGTGACTTCTTTGTGACTGCACAAGAAGGAGACTATACACAGACCTTATAATAATAATAATAATAATAATAATAATAATAATAATAATAATAATGATAGTATTAACAATACTGCTAATTCTCTCTTCATATTCTCTTCATCCAAAAAGAAAGAGCTATTTAAATAACAAAGAACTCACTGGTTCCTTTTTGAGTTCTTTATCCAAGTCTATCCTCACAAGGGTATTGTTGACCTTGAGTGCAAGTGAAAGAGCCATCAGTCCCCCGACATATGGATCATTGTTACGAAGATCCACTCTTAGGATTGTTTTACTGTCTGCAATCACCTCAGCAAGAGCAATTATTCCTACCAAAATAAGAGAGTATTAGAAACTTATGCATGCCCTTAACAAGGCCCTGTTAGAGTTAAATTCCGACAAGAGACATGGCCTTGAAACAGCAACATAAAACTAGATGACATGGCCACAAACAACATAAGATGGGTTTAATTGTGTCAGGGTTAGGCAATCCTGTCATGGCAACTTTGAGGCAAATTTCATTGATCAAGAATCCAGCATCTGTTACTCTTCTATGAGCAATGTGTGTTTATGGTTTTCCCTACCTTCACTGGAAAGTCTTGTATTTGAAAGGCCAAGTCTCTGTATGGACTGGTTCCTCAGGAGACCTTCTTTCAGTGCGTGAATTCCATCATTAGTCAGGCGATTGTGTCCAAGGTTAAGAGTTTGAAGAGAATTGGTGCACAACTACAAATGAAGAAAAATCAGCGAGTTGATTTTAAAAAAAAAACACACACTACACATCATGTTTCCACCACCAGTCTGAATATGTATTGAACTGAATAAATTGTCAAACTCTATGCAAACTGCAAAAAATTCCTCTCCTCAATAAGTATTTACATTTCCTGTTCAATCTTCTGCCAGTTTTGCCAATCACATGTTCAACAGCAACAACGACAAAGAAAATGTCACTAAATTAATAGAATTAACTTTCTCTCAAACTACTACCAGTATTCAAATTCGAATTTGACAAAATTAATAGAGGCAAATTCTTCTGGAGTTCATGTCCCAGGAATAGTATTCAAGTTTACAACAAAAAGGTAAATTTTGTCCTTGTTTGTTTTATGTCCTTATTGAAACATCATTTAAGCAAATTTCACTTTGTAGTCATGCAATGGCTGCAGTAAGGAAATGTACTCAACAGAGTTGATGTTTTGGTCATAAAGCTTTTTCCTTTGTGGACGTTCCACCTTGCATTTGTCGCTGTCACTGTCATAGTTGCTCAATATTCCAACCCTGAAGTAAATCTCACCAGTGCATTAGCCAGGTAGCCTGCTCCATGGCTTGTAAGCTGAGTACTCCAAAGCACCAGAGTTTGTAGTCCACCATTGTGCTGTTCAGCTAAACCTTCGCATATATAACCTATACCCATGTCCTACATAAAAGCAAAAAAAATTATGAATATCTAACATATTCCCAACTAACACCTGCCAGAGAAATACTTATTTTACAATAATTAACAGAGCGATTTCTTGAACACTGATTGGTGGACAGCTATGTTCGATAAGAGTACAGACCCTGGTAATGACTTGATGGTGGTGCAACGTTTTCTCTCTTTTTCATTGATTTTCCAGGAAACTTCATTCGAAATGGATGTCAAAATTGTCACTATTATTTATTACAATTTTCCATGGTCTGCACGCTTATCTACCATAGAAATGACCTCACAAAATGTTCAAAACCTCGGAGTGAAACCTGCGGTTTGTGGCTCCACTTGAGTTTTTGAATATGTTGATGTCATTTTTATGGTTGATAAGAATACAGACCATGGAAAATTGTTGTTAATTTGTTAAACAGATCATAATAGAAAGGGTGCTACATGGATGAACTGTTTTTTTTTTCCTTTGAAGTCCCTGTTTACATCTTTTGCAGTTTTGTTAAAAAAGGTCAATAATCCAACTCCAAAACTGTTTCACCCAGCAAAATGCAAAAAGCCCTTTAAACTTTTACACTAAGAAAACTGGAAGAGCCTAGTTGTAGTAACAAGTAGATTAAAAATGGTACCTGTAATGGATTGTTCCTTAAATCTAGCAATTGAAGGTGGTCATTTCCCTTCAGCATGGCACCCAATGTCTGTCCATCTGATGATATGAGCTTATTATCACCAAGAAACAAGTCTTGAAGGGTGTGATTAAACTTCACTGCACTGGCTATAAACACAGGAAAAAGAAAGTATTCAAATAAAGGTGATTCACTGCAGTCACTTTGATGCAGCTGAGACTTCATGCTGGGTCCAGTCTCTACTGTTATGATGTTCTTTAAGTTACTAAGCTTGGCTAGCTCCAGCTCTTTTCCTTTCTTGAATATAAATGGATATCACTTGAAGGAACCCTTGTAATGGACCAGCATCCCCTCGAGTGATCAGGGGTGTGATATGTAAATATGTAATTTTAAAAATATGTGAGGTGTCCTTTACCTAGTAAGTGTTATCTAATATGCAATGTTTCTCTAACTCACATGTGATGTTTTCTTCTATTTTGTAACTATGATATTGTAGGATGCAGGCTGAAAAAAACATGTGGAACAAACATTCACATACCAAGAAGAAACAGTGACCGTCCTGACAGATTGGCGTTTTCCATGTGTAACACAGTCAGACAACAGTCTAGCCTTAATGACCGTCCTAAGAGAGGTAGGGACTGTTCTGTCCACAATGTGTTTCTTATGTCCAGATACTCTAAGCATGGAGTCTGTCAACAAAAAGGATCAAACAGATTCAATGATCAAAATCAGTCAGAGTGTGTTAGAACTCCACGTGGATAAGAATAGGAAATTTTTAAAATCAAAATTCCTTAGATTTTCATTGAGGTATTTACATTAATATTACAGAAAAATGCAGGAGCAACTTCAATCATGCCACTTTTTTACCTTCTTCAAAGTCCTAGAAAGAGCTTGCCAGCCTCTGATTTTAATTTTGGTATTATAAGCCAAGTTGAGCTTACAAGTGGTCTTGTAGAACTCAACCATTTCCAGCAATGAAACAGCCCCCTGCAAACAAGAAAAGCAAAGGAACAAATGAAAAAAAATAAACAGTGACAGGAATCAAATCTGGTGCAAGAAAAATAAAAAAAGGACATCCACTTGTCTAAAAATTAATAGTCATCTAACATCCTCCACAAGTGGAGCTTACATCATCATCTAATCCTGTGTTTTCCAAGTCTAATGTCTTAGTTCTGACCCTTCTAAACACTTCCTCAAGAGCTTCACAGTTCTTTACATCAAGTTTACTTCCTGAAAAGGACAATATTTAGCTTGTGAATCAGAATCAATTAATAAGAGATCATTAAATTATAAGGATTTGGAGTGTCTGTTTACCTATTCTTATTAAATTGAGTTTCGTAAATCAAAGAAATGCATGAAACCAGCACCCATTGCACATGTTCCCATTTTCTGCAACATACAGGCCAAGTTGTTCAAAAGGACTGGATAGTGCTATGTAATGTCTTTATCTAGTGGACAATGCGATTTTCATAATGCGTATCTAATGGACAGCTAATAATTTGGTTTCCTTTTAACTTGAAAATCACTTGCATCATCATGTTCAATCAACCTCTATCCTACAGTGCATGAATGTATAGAGTAGATAGGGTACATTGGTAAGGTAGTCTAGAATGACTGTGCAACTGGGTAGCAATGTTATTAGCTGTGAAAAAACACTTTCACGCCACACTTTCATTCAATATATGATTAAATGCAACAGTAGACCCCTGTTTCACTTGTTACTCATACCTCTTAGGTCTATAACATCAATTCTGTCTTTAAAACTCTCACATGCCTGGTAAAACAAAACAAACGCTCTTGATAAGATGTGCTATTATATATGAAAAGGAAAAGAGCTTTTGTCTTAGCTCTAAGACTTGTGCAAAAAAATATTTAAAGCCATTAAATTATTAGTATATTATTCTTGTCTTCAAACCACTTCTCTGTGTGTATGTATGCACCAGTAGTTTACCTCAAGCTGTTTAATAAGTTTTTCGCATGGTTTGATCTTCAGCCTTGAGCAGATGTTTCTGTAGGCATCTATTACTTCCTTATTGCTGTGATTTCCACCTGAAACAAAATAAAAAACATAACAATAATTGTTAGACAGTGATTTCAGCATTCAGATTGATTTAATCAGATGAAACCAAATAGGAACTGCTGAATAATGCTGCCCAGTTTATATTCTTCTACAGAACAAAAACAATCAACATATAAATTTACTTTGATTTCATTTTTTTAGGTTGAGAGTGCTGTGTTAGCCTACAACAGTACAGACAATATCCATCCTACTTTAGACTAGACATAGAATGGTAAATCACGTGGCAGACTGATACAAATATTACAGTGATTTTGTTACTTCTACACCCTGCGTCCCTGCTGCTTAAAAATACCCAAAGACAAAATAATTCATGGCATGCATCCCGTAGGATGCAAAGATTGATCGATTCATCTGAACACGTGTATTTGTAGAAATATCTCATTCATGGAAATTCTGTGGCAGTTATTATGGCTGTTGTTTAACGATGCATATTTCTTTTAGCCTTTGTTGTGCTTTAAAATAGAAAGACTATATTTTAATTTCAGTATACTGAAATACAGAGTTTTGGAGTCTATCTTCAGATTATATATAACCTTCTGCTTACATACAGGCAGTGAAGAAAATTAGTGACAATTTTATATACAGTCGAACCCCGCTATTTCGAACTCGGTTAATTCGAAGTCCCCGCTATTTCGAAGGAAGATCGAATTCCCTTGGATTTACCCTTATGTTTTCAGTCATTTACTATCAGCTATTTCGAACTCGGTTATTTCGAATTCCCCGCTATTTCGAACTCATCGTTCTGTCCCTACACCTTAAATCGACCCCGTTATTTCGAACTTGTCCAAAACAGAGTACGTACATAAGAGCACAGCTGGAAATGTATTGCATTTTATTTGAGCTCGTGTTGCGTAATTAATGACTTAACAATGCTTGACTCACGTGCAGTGTCCCGCTAAGAAATTCCAGCTGTGTTATTCAATTACAAAACAAAACGCACCGTTAGTGAACTGTTCTTCCGGCTGAAATACCCATGTGTGAACACTGAATTACTGTGTTTTTATTTAATCAGTGTCTTTCTTCATACTGTACTTTATTAAAAAATCGTTTGTTGTTACGAATTTTACGCTTCCCCGGTTATTTCGAAACCCCGCTATTTCGAACTTTTTTCCATTTCCCTTGGGACTTCGAAATAGCGGGGTTCAACTGTATTCTTAGAATTTTAGAAACCATCTGCATTTTTATTTCACTGACTGTACATACTTGTATTTTATTACTAACATGTTACTTTATTTTCTTTGTAAGTAATTATTAGATAGCAGGTCCATGTACATCAGCCTATGGCTGCGTTAATCCTCAACCTGCTTTAACAAATAACAGTATGTGTGTATGTATGTCTAGCCGATTTTTTGAAAACTAACCAAATGGAATTTGCCATCAGTTAAGTGAGACGGTGTCAAAATACAGGCTTTTTGGGCCAGCTAAGCTCCAAAATCACACTGACGAAGGAAAGGGAAAGGAGAAAAAGAAAGAGCAAGGAGGAAGAAAGGAGGAGAAGAGAAAAAGGCAATGATTGCACTCTTAGTTGTTATTTGGTTACTTTGGAGATTGCTTTAGGCTGAAAAGAAAACTGTTGGACACAAAAAAGGTCCATTTGGGGGAAACGTTTTCAAAAATTCAGCTAGATGTGTGTGTGCATGTATGTATGTAAATACCAGTAAGGCTCTTGAAATTGAAAGACAAAATACTGTTATAAAAAGAAATTTTTCATTCAATCTAGACATCGAAGTTTGATTTCCTTACCAGCGGGGTCAAGGTCATTTCACTATAGATCCTGATGAAGTTTTCTTCATAATTTGATCGTGGATGAAATTATGTAATTCCAAGAAGAAGGAGAAGTGAAACGTGACAACAACGTGCACTATTCTATTAACATTATTTAACACATAAATGTTAAGTTAAAGTTAACCACCGCTTACGTCGAAGACTTTTCGGTCATGTAAACAACATCGACGCGTCGGAAATTTTCAGTTGCCATTTTATCGCGCTTGTAACATAATATATTGTTTTCTTTCAAGCACATGATTTAACAGAAACCCGACAAAAAAAATTACCGGACACAGCATATTACATGAAAAATATAAATGTCAAATTAAATTTTAAAAAGCTGAGTTGTTCACATTTAGAGCCTATTACAAGTGACTTGCAATAGTATTTTTTTCGTGCCCCGTGGACCTTAAACAGATACAAGTAAACAACGACAAAAAGCAAATTATAGGAAATCATCACTACCAAAGTCTGTTCAATATGTTTTTACACATCCCAAGAGAAAACGTTTTATCACAAACGTGATTACGCGAAGACCAATATTTTTATGATTCTGCACTGTCATTCGAGGCAAAACCACTTATAATATTGGAAAATCACAAAAATTGAAGCTTTAATATGATGACCGTCTCTGTTTCGGTATTTGAAAAAATAAAACCAGACAAACTCAAATACTTACCATGTTCCCATGGATCTACTGGATCTAAAGCTCGGACCAGCTGAGAATCCTCTGGAAAAGAAACCTTTCGCGTTAACTTTTTCTTGCGGCTGCTTCGCAGATCACGACCGCCAGCAGCATTTACATGGAAAACGCCTCCTTCTTGATTGCTCACGCCGCCTTGTACAGATTCTTCCGATGCCAGAACATCCTCACCCGTTTCCATGATTATTCATGGCGTTATAATTCCATCCATTTATAGCGAGCGGAGATAGTGTAATAGACGGATAACTTCCTGTATTCAGGCATCGGGCAGGAACAATTTCGAGGGAGCCATTTTGTAAGATTTTAAGTCGAGAGGCATTGGGTACGAGGTCACCTTACCCGGGAATCCCTCCGATTCCCCAGGGCTTTCATTTCACGGGAGGAGAAGGAAATGAAAGGCACCTTTAATTCCTAGGGATATGATCGCAGGTTACCGACCAAGAAGTTGGTGAGGCTGCCACGAAGCTGTCATCTAAAGGATTATAAACTGAATTCCACCACTGAAAGATCTCGTCGGACCCTCGCTATTTTGCTTGATAATCCCGAATCCCGACCAATCGGAAAAATCCCGATTTGAGACATCCGCATAGATATTATTATTAATTATTGGGCCCCTTGGAACTTTAAAAATTGGCCAGCATCGCATAAAGTTGACAACGTATTCTAAACTGTTAGTTGTCTGACTATTGACAACAAGCTCACGTGGTCAAGGCACCTTTCAGTGTTTTTAAACGAGAGCAATTTGTTAACCTGAACCTTAACGCTCTCGCTTCTTACTGGATGAAAAACTCCATCTCGTACAGAGGATCCATTGCTTGGAACTTGTTCGATCCCTCCGTGGCTAGCACAAGAGCCTACGCTAAAATATGGCAATAAACACTCAAGCCTTCAAAAGTATCAATTTCTCAGCTGAGTCATCCCTAATGAGTACGTCCAATGCCCGGGGGGGGCACTTGGGTATTTTTTGGGTGGGTATGTGCCGCCCGGGACTCCGAATTGGCACCCCGTTCTAAAAAAAAATTCTCTTAAAATTGATACCCCTTTCTAGAAATGGGCCAATATTTTATACACCGTTCTAGAATTCGCCCTAAAACTGATACCCCGTTCTAGGAATGGGCCAATTTTTTAATGCTCCGTTCTAGGGTGCAACAAGAGTACAACAGTCCTGCTTGTTAACGCACTGAACCGTATTTTTAAAAGCAATCTGTCCTTCAATAATTTCGAATGGCTGCTTACAAAACTGGTGCTTTCGTGCGTTCGAAATATTATACCCCGTTCTAGAAAACGCCTGTGAAATGGATACCCCGTTCTAAATCAGGAGCTTCAAAATCACGACCCCGTTGGGCGGCACATACCCGTATAGGTAATGTATGGGAGTACCCCCCCGGGGTCCAATGGCAGTGATTTCGTCTTCTACTGATTAATAATCAGTTTAATACTACATGATCCATGATTCAAAGCCGTTTATTAGGATATGATATACAGTCGAACCTCGCTATTTCGAACTCGGTTAATTCGAAGTCCCCGCTATTTCGAAGGAAGATCGAATGCCCTTGAATTTAATCTTCCCCTTTACGCTTCCCCGGTTATTTCGAAGCCCGGCTATTTCGAACTTTTTTTCATTTCCTTTGGGACTTCGAAATAGCGGGGTTCGACTGTATTTATATTTTTTCTTGATAGCACAAGTATTTTAGTAATTTTCACTTTTTAGGTATAGATTTTTAATTACAATTATGTACTATTAAAATTAGCACGATTTAATTAATATGTACACGGCCCCATGAGCCGTATTAGCTGTGATTTTAACCGTGTTTAAGAAAGTTGTTGCTGTTGTTAAAAGACAAACAGACGAACAAAAAACAACAACAATAACAAAGATTATGGTTTCAAAAATATGGAGATTTAAAACATGACATTCCCTCATGGAAATCAATTTGAACCCGTCAACAGTAGCAAAGTGGCTTTTCAGAGCAAAAGCTACCTAGGATAACCAGAAATATGTAGGGACCGCTCGCTCCTGGTTCTGGTTTTAAGAAGTCAAGAAGGTAGTCACATTCCCCAATGTAACCACACTGCATTTCTCAAGAAATGGTAATGGGCTCCTGTTACATTGTCATGAAAACAAAACGTCCAATAAAAACATTACCCAATTCTATTGTTTTTTTTATTGGGGAGCTACCCATTGACCCAACCCACTAAGAAGTTTCTGTCAGGGGAAGAGGTGGGTAGGGTGTCTTAGCTCCCTTCTTATACGTCTTCCCCACTCGCTCCTCCCTTATGCGTCTTCCTGAGAGCCTGAACTGGGCTAAATATTTGGGAAGGGGGCAAGGGTTAGAGAAGGGGTTAATTAGGGAAGAGGAAGTGCGCATCTGTACACTGATAAATCGCTATCCTCTGGATACAGGGTATTACGAAGACTAATTGCGTCATCGATAAGCGCCATCCACATTTTGAACAACGGGGGACTTTTTATTTCCTGTACATGGAGAAAGTAGCTTTACCCATACTCCTGTGCGCGTCTCAGTTCCCTTTGAACGCCATATTGTTCGCCATTTTGTAGTGGCCGATGTTCTACAAACATAATTCTTTTTCAGGGAGAGTTTCCCAAGCTGACGCTGCTGCTGCTTATCAACCCCAGGTATATCCTATTTCAAAATACTTTTTGCTATATTTTGGTATTAAACCAAGTAGTTATATTTATAAAATTCCCTTTCTTCTCTTTGTCATCAGCAACATGAGCTTATATTTTTACCTATAAAATTAAGGTTAAACTAGCTTTAATAAGCTTATGTATAGTTCGATGGCATCATGGACTTAAGCTTTTATGCCTTCAATATCTTACCAAATGCTTAGCATGTAATCTTATTGATTCTGTCAATTGTTACTGACAATTTTACAGGTCTGATCTGTTTGATCGCAGAGATTGCCAACGGATAAATGTAACCTCCCCCTCCCCAGTTTTCATCCCTACCCACCCTCCAACATACATACAAACACGATGAACATGTTATTTCACTCCATTATATGTACTCAGATGAACCCAAACACGTAACGTGCCGCAGCTGTAAAAGATAATTCCCAGCTAGAATAGCCAGTCTTTACCCACAGAAAAAAAATAGTTCCTGCACGTAAAACAAAAAGAACTCTCATTAGCAAAACTAAAGTAACAAAAGTTCAGTTACACACAAAGTATGCCCACACTTTGTTATCAGAGCAAATATCATGTTAATGTTTGTGTTATTTTTATTAATGCCAGGGACTGGGCACTTACAAAGAAGTATCAGTAAAGGGACCAGTTATTGAACCCCCAAATTTTAACATGTCTTCTGCGTCTTCTGGAGCAAACGAAGTTACAAAGTGGCAAGAGATTTATAAGGTCAGGATTTACACACTTTCTGCGGTTAAGGCTGCATTCCTTTTGACCAATCTAAATCCAGATTTTGCAATCTGAAATTTGATTTTTCATTCCATAAAGGATCAAACCAGTCTTAGACTGCAATCTGAGCAATCCACCTCCTAACTTGGATCATTCAGAGTAGTATCTCAATGTGGTTTCAGATTTTTGTTGCACTACTTTTTGATCGCAAGAACTTGCTCATTCATCAATAAACATAGTAGGTCATGGTCAGTTCGGGCAAACTTTGTTCCTCCATCGTTCTATGCTGCAAAAGGATTGTAGTTAGCAAACGCAAGTTGCACTGTTACTCTAAAACTTTAGAGAAGCAATTTTCTCACAATTAAATGTCCAGTGTGTGTGTTTAATCAACATTTGAAGTTTCATAACCGTCTTCTAAATGTGTTTGGTTCAAATTCCAGAGTCCCATTCTGAATCCCTTTCAGTTCTTCCCAAGAATATGTTTAATTTCACGGAAAGAAATAAAAAAAGAAGCGTTGAAATTGTGAAAGAGATCAATGCAGCGGCAGCTACTTTATGGATCAATCTTATTTCAGATGTTTGTTCCAGCTACCATGAAAATCCAAACAATCTGGATCCTCTAAATCCAAGAAAAGTTTAGACTAAAGGAATGCAACCTTAAAGGCAGATTGACTCCTTCCCCAGAAATGTTGCAGTCATTTTTTGAAAATCTGGGGTCATTTTGCACTAGTGTAAATTAATAGTTACCACAAAGAGAATCACTGACCAGCAAAGTTTATACAGTTCTCCTTACAGACACCTCTATATTACGGACATTTCGTTTGGTCCCAGAAATGCCAAAAATCATACATTCCCTAACTCTATAATACGGACACCTCTGTAAAGCGGACACTTGGTTCTGTCCTTTTGGTGTCCATATTAAAGAGGTTTTACTGTGTTCAAATACAGTTAAACTCCTATTATTCAGCCACCCTCAGGGGAATGGCAAGTGGCCACTTCATAGGGGTTGCTCGCTTATTAAGGGTTCGTCAGGGATTAGTTTGAAACTTACTTGAAACATCAATTTATTCAAATGCAAGCATGCTCGAAGACTTTTAACATTGGTTGCACAGAACAAAACATTTTAAAATCACACAAAACCAATTTTAAGAGAATCCTGTGACAAGGTTTCGACATGAACCAGGTAGAGTAACACACTGCATTTATATTTTGAGTATTTTATTGCTTAATAAACATTCACTTGTCACTTTCTGTTTCAGATTCTTATTGCCTTACCAAAACCTAAGCCAAAAAACACATATTTAATTTTGGGTGGCTGCGGTCGCTTAATAGGGGTGCGACTGTATGAGCAGAATTGAAACCACTGTGTAAGGGAAAATCAAATACTTTATTCACGAGTTTGCTTATGTCCAGAAATGCACAGTATGGTAAATCTCACAAAAAAATCGCCAGAGGGTTGGCGAGAATTTAAAGGATTCTTCAAGAGCTGCTCCTACTGCTAAATCCTGCTAAATCTCAAATTAACACCAAATCGGCCACTTCTATTAAAGCGTACATTTCTGGGCATATCTCTATGAGTTGTTTTCTTTTTATAGAAAACCAAGGCCCCTGTTTATCTGTTGAGAGGTGGAAGAGATCAAGTGATGTTTCGAGGCCTTTTAGTTGCTATTGGTGGTGGAATGTGTTACACCTTCTACAACATGTATTTGATGTTCACAAACCAACTGAAAAAGAAGGAGCGATAAATTCAGTGGAGAAGTCTCCAAAATGTCCCTGTTATTTTCTTGAATGTTTCTCTACAGTCTTTTTCCATGGTATTACATATTTTTGACTAAGTAAATGGCCGCAAAAATTTTGATTTCATTGTCACTGTGCAACAGCATGGTTCTGTAGTTACCTTCATGATGATAAATCATGTGAAATTAAATAATTGCGTTATGTGTAAATTTACTTCTTTGGTATCATTTTTGTTAATAGCAGTTTATGCTACCTCAGAAGATCTGTAATAACACTGTTTATCATTAAAAATGCTTTTGCAAATTGTGAGCATGTGCTTGTGTTGCAAAGTAAGTAGTTTTTGTGATATTTCCTGCCCAAGTCTTTCAACCATCAGTTATTATGATACCCATTGCTGGCTGGAAACTGTCTGGAGTAACAGTGGCAAAACCACGGTGTAGGTTTGCAGGCCTGTGTAGCACAGCCATACGCGCAAACTTGACTTCAGTGCCTTTCCTTAATCCCTGGGGGAAAAACCCCTTGCAATCACGATCACTCAAGCTGCAACTCAAATACCTAATACAGGCGTTATTCCACCTAGATGCCTAGTACATTTGAAGTCTTAAAAACAACTCCCATCTGGCCGTCATTGAATTGAACTGCATTTTCTTTGAAAGTAGATGGGTTGCAAACATAACAATGCATTCAACTATAAGCTCATCACTCTGCCCTATAGTGGTGCAGAAAAAGAAATGGGAACTATAATTTGCTATTCAGTATTGTCCCTCATTTCTTCATTCCACTCCTTCATAGCTGCTATAAAATTGTTATAAGATTCTGTGGGGTTCTCACCCGGCCGCTGCAGGTATTTCAAGGGAGATTTACGAATGGCAGACACCTGGCTCGCCAGGTAATACAAGTGATCTGTACTGCAATTAGCAAAAAGGTTTAGTTCTGGAATAAAATAATGTGGACATGAACAATTCACCAAAGAGTCCAAAAGATCATCTAACAACCCAACAAAACACAGAGCAATATTTTCATCAGACCATCTGTCAGGGGGATGCCTCTCACTCGCCCAAAGTAGGAGGGTCTTTAAGTGGTATGTACTGAGAAGCTTGCAAGCTGATGAGATGTTTTCTTTGACTGCCATTTTGAACATGCGATAACAATAGTTCCTCTGCCCCAGACCTTTAGCCCTCATCAGTTTTACTTCTGCTTTGGAGAATGAAATTCTCCACTCCAGTTCTTCATCACCCTGTGGAGAAGTCTTAGGTACCAAATGAAAGCCTTCCTGAATGATTTCTTTCACCAAGGATTGAGGAGGCCACAGCCTTTCTCTTGAAACCCACTTCTGACTGCACTTCGGCCAGCCATTGAACTTGATTGCTGGAACCACATCATAGGATAGAAAGGGTTCAATGTCCTCTTCCAAGTATCTCTCATCAATTTGAATAGCTGGTCCGTGAGGTATGACATTAATATCAAAGTCTTTCATTTCCATTTCTTCACTTGTCTTCTCCACTTCCGGTTTCTCCCTATTAAAGTCTGTAATCGCCTTTAATTCAACAAGCATTTGATAGATCTCTTTCTTGAACTTTAAAGCCGACAAGTAGTACTTTGACTCTCTCAACGTCAAATATGGAAGTAAATTCTCACTGTAGTTTGAGCCTGGTGGGACATACAAGTTTACAAACCCAGGGTAATTTGCTTTAGTTATACAGTTCTCTTGATCATTTAGACCGAGAGACATCTGTGACACGCTCAACATGATATCATATTCAGGAGTTACATTCATGCAACTAACGCCATCTTGGTAACTTATATCTGGGACTTGAGAATCCTCCACAGCACTGCCAGTTAAATCAAACTGCCATTTAAGCCATGATACGCTGGGTGTATTCCTCAAAAGGCATTTAAGAAGAGTTTCAAATTGTGCGATCTCGTGGAGTCGGCCTACGATGTAATTCAAATCTTGATCCAGACAGCAAAGAAATATCTCAACAAGTTTTTCCTGTAGCTCTCCATAATCAAGACCTGAAACAAAATCTCGCCCTTGTATCGGTTTCCCTTCAGCTCCATGAACATGCTCTATTCTCGTTAGAAAACTTCGAGTTTGCCGTGAACTTTCTGCTTTCACTTCCTCCTTGCTGCGAAATCCAAGACCAGTAATATATCTTTGATAAGTTATGTTTGCATCAACCGTAATTATGGCCATCATCTTCTGTATCCAAGTGTCGGTTGAATCGTCAGCAAACTTCATGAAAAGTTTGAAGTGATTTTCAGTTGATGCTGCAAAGCGAACGAAGTCATCGACTTCTACTTTCCACTCCATGATTTTATACCAAAAGCAAAAGGCGGCGTAGTGGAGTCACGCGAGCGAGTAGATTTTTTGCGATGTGGGGGAGAGGAAAAGAGAAGGAACAAGGACCTTTTTTTTTGCTGTCCTCTCTTCCCCTTTCTCTCCAGAAACGTAGATTTGTGTCAGAGATTTTTTCGTCTTACTCTTTTTCAAAGAAGCTTTAACTGGAGGCTATCCCCTATTTCCACGCCGGAGTTGGCTCAGTCAGTATTTCCCCTCCCCTCCCCGTCCAGCCAGCTAGTAGAAGTCTTTTCGCTTGCTTCAAGGGGGAGGGGCTGGGGAAGAGAAAGCCTTCCCCGTTTCCAGCAATGTCCCAGAGAACGTTCTCGTAAGATACATGCCCCCGGTATTTCTTGAGGACCCCTTGGGCATTTGTCAAATTGTCAGTTCCAAAAGTGGGGCATTTTTAAGTCGGGTATTATCATGGTTGTAGTCACATTTTCAATTACAGTGAAGCACTTAAAAAGAATTAAAACGAAATTTGTACATCCCTTAGAAAGAAAAGAAAATCACGAAAATGTTTCTCTACTATAATTATTGTTATAATGATTATGGAGTAAAACCATGAAGACTCTAGGTAACCTTGCAACGAATTGGACAATCAGTGTCACTAACTTCGAAGTTATATAGGGTCTAAGTAGTGCCACTTTTTCTTTTTCTTGTTCTAAACGGAAACCACACAGTTCATTTTCGTTGTCTTAGACTTCAGGAGCGTGGCTACCTACACGCCCTGTACACCCATACTTGCACGCACTTAAATAATACTTTTCTCTGTGTTTCCTCGAGACTGTTATTTGTACTTTATTAAGCAATTCCATTCGTAAGAGTCCAACTATTCAGTCAGAGTTTCCTTTCCCAGGTCTAGCAAATAACTCTTACGTGACGCAAACTAGGAGGCTAGATAGGTACAGGGGGAAGAGGACACCCCCACTCCACCCCATCTCCTCCCCGTGTTGAGTGAGCTAGTTTACGGGCTAACGATCAAGGGACACAGTCAGCTGATGCACATGCGCATTAGATACCATTTCTTAGCTGATTACACGAAATGATTTTGTTAAGTTCATCTTGTTCTTGTCGAGGACTTTGTTTTTAAAAAATCAGTTCTTAGCAAACACGATCTATGTCTTTCTGTTTGGTGTCCAACGTTCCAACCCGCGCGCGCCGCGCGCACAGCCCGCAGTTTTGTTTGGCGAGCGAGCGAGAAAAAAAGAAAAACCTTTGTCTCCTCGCCACTCTATTACCCGCCTTGCTCGCCGTTTTTGGGCGCTCGAAAAACAAAACCGTCAGCAAGGCAAGCTGTCAACGTTCTTTCAACAGTGAACTGTCCGGCATCGCCCGTACCAGCGTCGGCTACTGACGTAGTCTCTACTTAACGCGCGCGAGGGGAATACATGGCGTCATAATAGTGTGTGAAAATTCGAACGTAAAGCAGCTGGGAAAAGCTAAATGACTATGTTTGGCGTGAGAGGAAAAGTAAAAGCCTGCAATTTTGTGCATAATGATGAAATCTGGTGAGTAATTTCTTAAACTGTCTTGCTTACTGTTAACATTATTTAAATAAACCATATTATAGTATTTGTTTGTTTGGATGTTAGGTTATATACTGAAAAGTCCACGCGAAGCCAGCTCAAACTTGCGGAGCAGCATATATACAGCTCAAAATCATGTTCCCCACGGGTTAAATTACAATTCTCCATTCTTACTGGCTGTACTTATCTTGTGAAAGGTTTGAACCCAGGAGTCATTTCAAAAGTAGGTTGAGTTTGATCGTCAGGGTGAACGTAGTCCTGAATAGGACTGTTGTTGTTGACAGTGACTGACGTTTCGACAACCTGTGCGGTAGTCATCTTCAGAGTAAAAGTGAGTTTATCTTGTTTATTGGTTATAAGAGGCCAAATAAGGACCCAGCAAAAGAGACAAAGGGAGGAGAGGCAAAGAAAAAAACGGAGATGATAGAAGGCGAAAAATTAAACTTGCCGTCTAGAAATTTTGCATAACTTCCCTGGACTAACTTGGTTTTGATTTATATAGGAAAGACCACGTGAACAGAGAACTACTGTCACAACGGCGTTGGCCTGACAAGTGGGGATTTCTGGCCAGTGAATGCCGGAAGGTAAGCCGCGAATAAACCAGTGTAGCGTAAGTTCTGTAGCCTGCGAGTTTAGACGGTTTAGTTTTGTCTGGGGCGCACGATAAAATACTATTCTTGAAACCAACATGGAGCCTTGCAACCTTATAATGTTTTTGTGTTAAGAAACTTTTTATTAATTCCGGTTGTTTGGGCGATGTACTCTACCATACAAAGCACCAGTCAAATTAGAATGCAAGGCAAAGTAAAGTTTTTTAAAATTCTCACTTACCGACAAACTTTAGCTTGGTGTACAGGCCGTAATCATGTAGGTAAAGTAGGCACAAGTTGTTCATAAATCATACAGCTCCCACACCTCTTCAAAAACCTACAACTTTTCAGTCCTTATGAATCAAATCCTGATGTTAAATACCAATAGTAGTACATATGGCTACCCTGGGTCCTAACCAATCAGAGCGCAGCAAATTTCGTCTCGACCAATCAGCATCGCGCATTTCGCCCATGTGACTTATTGACGTCACAACCCATTGTTTTAAACCACGTGACCCCATAGGAATAAAGAACACGCACACACAAGAGTTGAATCTACATTCTTGTCATAGTTTTAATGAACCGCGTGAAGTCCTGGGTACAAGCGGGACGTGTGTGACACCCTAATGATATCACGCCCATTACAAATCTAATAGCAAATCGAGTTCGTTCCCAATCCTCTGGTAACCATAGGGATAACTGGATCGGGTGGCGACCTCAATGACACGCTTGTCGAACACCAACCCATACTGCTTCACGCGCGGAACCACTTGAATTTGTTTTTGTTCCAAATCTCGTTGGAAATAATAAGGGTTGGTCAGGTTCAAATTGCGTCGAGACTCCTGGGGCGAATCTAATTCGGAGAGAATGTTGTCTTTCATGGTCTGAAAATTGAGAATGGCGGATCCACGGACATTGAGCGTGAAACCGCGGACCTTGCATACCACTTTACCCTGTCGTGTCATGTACCCATAATTCTTGGCACCCCCCGAAACAAACTCGGTGATGACGTCACCATCCAATTCGTCGGTCATGTCCCCCAAAAAATCGCCGGTGGCAATGCTGGGTTGACCGGGCCGCCATTTGTATACCACACTATCAGTGTCGTAGTAAAGGACTTGCTGTTGAAGGGTATCCAGGGACTCGTAGAGCTTGAGTCGAGCATGGCAGGTGGTGAAAGCGGCCACAAAAATATTGGTCTTGGTGCCTTTGACAGCATTGTCTTGGACACTGGTGTAAACGGCTTCCAAGATATCGTCCGTGCAAAGGCGGAGCGTACTGAGGTCGAGAGCAGCATCCGAGATGAGATTGAACAATTGGGCGGGGTCTTGGACAGTGACAGTGGTGGGTTTATTGATCCGCTCCCCAAATTTGCCCCAGAAACTGTTCAGCATGAGCTTGGCCGTGGCTTTGCGACCGGGATTTTTGGCAATACTGGCAATGTCCAGTTGGATGCCTTCCCGTTCCTGGTAACGAAGAATATAATGGCGTTTTTGCTCAAGGGTCTGACACCAGCCAGGCCATCCTGCAGATTCTTGTTTCAACTTGAGCCAGGTGTTCACATAATCAGCAAAAAGACCCGTTTGGCGTTGCTCGGGGGGAAAATGCCAGACTTCATGAATCTTGATCAGCGTGTACCCCTTTTCGACCGCTTTGACCAATTCGGGTGTGCACCAGGTCCCGCGTAGCGTGCGATCTGCATCAGAATGAGGGCAATAACGGGTTCGGGTCAACATGGGTTGGGCCTGTTCGGACTGAACACAAGCACGGCAGAGAGGAAAGGTGAGCTTGTTGCCGCTACGCACAGGCAGAACAGGATGGAACAAACCAGCGGGGGGAAGAATATCGACGGTGGCTAGACCAAAATAGGAGTCCAGGGACTGGTCGGCAGGCTGCGTGATGATCCGCGGATGTCCGATGGGATAGGGACAGTTTTTATTCACCCACGGGTACAGGGAGGTCACATCCACATAGCGTATTTCCTCGCCTTCTCCAATCACAGCATGCAGAGCGACGGCACCGGTTCGGCCTCCAAAGAAGGCTTCACGGGGTTCTAGGGGTGCCACCAAATCGAAGGAATTTAGGAAATGTTGAACAGCTTCATCCGTGTCCACTAGTCGGTCCCATTCACATTCCCACATTTCGATGACGGTATAACCCGCTCGGAGCAAGGCCGTGCGTTTGGAGAGCGTGGCTTGATAGAGTTCCTCTACAGTTCGATCCGGCGTGGCATAATGTTTGGCGTTTCTCGCGGGATAACAGCGGGGACAGCCATGGTAGAGACATCCGTGGAACTCATAGATGGTGCGAGTCACAGGATCGTAGCCATCGACGAAATGACTGTCGACGCTGGTTCGGACCGATTGTTCGCCGCCATTACGAACGTGACGTATGCGATCAGCACTGGCCCCCTCTTTGGGAAGGAGATGTTCTTGGTAATAGAGCCATTGGAGGGCTTTGAGGGAATGGTTGACTTGGGCCCCTCGCCACCCTCCGAGAGGTTCCACTGCAATGGTGTCGGGGGTCAAATGATGCTTGCGCCAATACAAATTGCAGGCACTGGCGATGGTGATGCACTTGGCCATAGGATTGAAGCCCGCCTGTTGTTCAAATTCTTGTTGAAAGGCTTCACACCCAGCTTTCAATAGAGCCACATCGGATTTGCAATACTCAATCATTTCTTGTTGGAAATGGAAGGGCACGTTCCGACGGACTTGATCCGCATGCCAACGAGTCAGTTCCTCTTTCTTTTTGGCCATCATGCCGTCGGGGTCGTAAAATTCCAAATCAGGGATGCGACCCACATACTGTTGGTGATCGGGGATGTTGAACAAATGGGGAAAGAACCCCTTCTTTAATTCGGTCAAATTAAAGGTACTGGAAAAGGAAGCCAGCGGCATAGGCAAGAAACACAACGAGTCGATGAATTTGAGGGGTCCACTTCTGAACGATAAGACTTTGGCGCCCACGGTCAGTTGATCCACGACCTCGCGTTGTTGCTGGTAGAGTTCATGGAGAATGAACATACCATCAAACCCTTTTAGATTGTGAAACACCACGAGTATCGTCCGCTCGCCCTCACAATCTGGAACATCCGTGAGATCATCCAAATCGCGCAAAAATTGGAGGGCACAGTCCTCCCCATCCAGGACATGAATGGTGGTGTCGACACTCGACGAATAACATAACAAATTAGCCACAAACACGCCTTCTGCATTCTGCATGGCTTCAAAATCTGCGTAAACAAACAGGGGAGGGGGTGGCGCCACCATGCTACCTCCCCCCTCCTCTGTCGGTTCAGTCTCCTCATGCTCATTCTTCACAGGCTGAATGTAACATTGATGGTTTTGGATGGACACCCATTCCTGACACGCGGGGCATTTGGCGTACCCGCACCGGTGACGTTGGTTACGGACGACTGTGTATTGGGCTTGACACTTGAGACAGCATTTGATAGATTGACATTGCTTGCTGATTTCATGATAACGTTTGCATTGATGGCCATAAAACTTGCGGTAACACAGACAGCAATACTCAGTGGGGCGGGTACCACGCACATACTCCGGACAATCAAAACGTCCACACGCAGAGCAACGTCTCCCTTGACAAGTATGATTGGTCCGATCGTCGGTGTTGAACCCCCGTTCACAGTCCAGGCAATAATACGAACGATTGACAAAGGCAGGAAAAGACGTGCAGCCATCAAAATGATCATTGGATTTCAGTAAACGAATCTGATGAGGGGCGTCAGGGCCTTTGAAAATCAAAAAGAACGGTTTCATCCGGGTCATCACCAAGAGTTGATAGTGAGAGCCCAACGCTTGTTGAAACTGACGAAGCTCGGGGATGCCACAGGGACCCTCCGCCACACCCGCTTGCTGATGGAGAGCCTGGGCTTGACGTTGCTGCACAGGACGACCACGTTTGAGATTCTCCCAGTCGCGAAACCCGTCCACGCCTTGATCTTTATGGCAATAAGCACGCATGGTGACAATGGCGCGGGCGCAACATAAAGTATCTCTATTTTTGATGGTGACAATGCATCTCTTTTTCTGGTTGACCCGATCCAGGCATAAACGGCCGACATTGCGTTGTTTATGTCGACCAGACCCTGGGCCGGGCATGGAGACAAACACCACATCCACTTGGAACCCACGATCGGGGTTGAAGGCTTCATTGCTGTTCAACTTGCCAGCTAGGGTAGCTAACATCTCATCCAAACGAGCCGTACGTTGTAAAAATTCTCCCACAGTAAAATTGGCGGTTTGATACGCGTGAGTGAACCCATGCGCTGTAATAGCAAAGTTCACAAAATGATGGGCAGGTCGTTGCTCGCGGTCAAGTTCTGTTTCAATGGCTTGATGCAAGGCTTCCGTGAGGGCCATCCCAATATTATCTCCAGGACCAGGATCCCTCAATTGACGCAATTGCGCATTGAATTGTGCTCGTTCCACTACATTCCGCCAGCGGCGTCGTCGACCAATAGGTTGCATCATAAATTGGAAGAGAGGGCCTCGAGCGGGAACGGCTCCGCCCAACTGTTCCCACCGGTCATAAGCGCGGTTTAATAGAGCTTCTTCTTCTTCATCACTGTCAGGATACCAGTGGTCCTCCGCCATGACGGAGGAGGCAATTTGAATTTTCCCGCGCCGGACGCGGACTTTTATAGACCTAAAAAACACGTGATCAGATGAACAGGGATTGGTGGACTTGACTCAGGTGAGAGTCAGGTGAGGGTCAGGTGAGGGGTTGAATAGACAGGAGGAGGATTGAGGGGGGTGCCCCCCATGGGTACAGAATTTTCCATTCTCCTCTGAGCCTGGACCGAGAGCGGTGATTGGTGGAAAGATGGCTAGATATAAGCCAACGTTCAGACCAGACGTCAGTTGCGTTCGAGACATGCCGAAAGATCCTGAGAAAGTGAAAGAGGCTAAACATAGGTGGTACCTCAAGCATAGAGAGAGGATTGTGGCACAGAAACGGGAGAAGCGGGTGGCTCAGAAAAAACTCAAACCGCCCAAGCCACCCAAACCACCTCCGACCCAGGAACAGTTGGCCAGAGCCCGAGAGTTGAACCGGTTGGCCTGTAACCGATACCGAGCCACACACGGAGATCAAGTACGGGCACTCAACCGCAAGTACTACCATCGACACCGCGATAAGATCGTCCAACAGCAACGGGACCGTCGTGCCCGAGCTCGAGAGACACCCCATCCGTTTAGAAAATTGCAAGCCTTGGCCGATGAGTGCGCTGCCCGTTTACTGGTGATTGAACATGGATACACCAGGATCGCGCCAGCCCCCCAAACCCAGGAAAAAACGGGACCCTGTGAAAAACAAAGCGCAACAAAAAGCGTATCGGCAACGTCTATATGCCAAACCCAACGGCATAGAGGATGTCAAGGCCCTTCACCGTCGCCGCTACCATGAACGAATGGCTCGGTTGAAAGTCAGTGGTGAGTACGATGCCTTCAAAGCTAAAAAATCCCAAGAGGGCATGCAGCGCTACTACGGCATGAGCAAGGAACAGCGGGAGGAGGTCAAGCGTAAAAACGCCCAATGTCAGAAAAACTGGCGGGAGAAAATGAAAGAGCGAGGGACCTACCAGGCTTATCTGCAACGGACCAATGCCCATCGACGAGAGCAGGCCGCCCAGAAAAGAAAAGAGTTGGGCGAGGAAGGGTGGAAAGCGTTGCAGAAAGAACGGTACAACAAGCGAATGGAAGCCATTCGACGTCGAGAATGGTCCTGGTTGGACGAGGCATTAGAGCGTCCCTTTCCCCTCCCGTGGTTGCCATTGGACTTGCCCCTAAGTGTACCTAATGAGGACAGTGTGCATACCCTTCGTGCAGAGGCTTTACAAAAAATAGACTCGTGCTTGTAAGAACAAACGTTTAATTAAATCATGTGTATTGTGCTATTGAACATGGTGTCTTGTTTTTTTTATGACTAAAGGGGGTTTACATGCCGAATCGAAGTTTAGCTTTCATAATGCGTCTCACAATACGCTCTGTTAAATTTTTACTACCGGGGAGTTGATCAATCTTGGCAATCATCTTGCGATCCGCTGCCCATTTGTCTTTCAACGTCTTGGCTTTATCATAATCCATGTCATGGGCTTTGGCAATCCTGTCCAACCGGTTGATACCGGGATCCCCACGGGCCAATCGTTTTTTCAAATGAGTGCCAGGACCCATGTACTGATAACCAGGCCAATGAAATTCAATGCCGGTCTTGTTAAGGAGGTTCTGTACATCAAATAACTTGCCGCCCCGTTGCGACCGTCGTCGTCGCTTGGCTCGGGAACGGGAGGCCGCAGCACGGCGTTTGCGTCCCATTATTTAGGGGGTTTTCCACGATTTCCAATCCAGTGCTTTCTTGGCCCAACCAGCGGCTTTCTTTTTGGCGATACTCGTAGCTCTCTTTTTGGCCGCTTCTTTGGCTTTTTGTCTGATTTTGCGCTTGACGGCTAAGGAGGGGGTGTCCCAAGGTGTCGGGCCCACGTCCTCTGAAAAGGGCAATTCTTTGGCCAACTCCGCACTGGTCGATGGGGTGGTAAACTTGAGTTTCTTTTTGGCACTAGGGGTGAACTTTGGCTTGGGCGGGACAAGCGGTTTTCTGGGTCCACCAGTGGGGGTGCCTTGTTTTATACCCTGGGTGGCCTTGACCAATTGCGTAAACCAGGCTTGCATGGGACCCGCTTCAAAATCATCGTCACCCGGCGTCGTGGCCCCGGCAGCAGTCACACCCCCAGCAGCGGCTCCAAAGGGTTGGCGCACTTTTTTGGTCCAATGGCGTAATTGACGGCTGACGGCTTTGAGTTGAGGCCGTTTCCAAGCATCAGGGACATCACTGGTCAGAAGGACATGTTGTTTGGCCGCTAAATCGGCGGCTTTGGTCAAGCGGGTGTCTTCCACCAATTCTTGTTTGTACTGGTCTCGTAATTGTAAAAAAGCCGGGGCGTTGTTTACCGTGGTGCTGACCATCTCGGGTTCCATGGTGCAACTGAGGGGTCTGGTCTAGCGCATGCAACGTTTATAACATCGGTAGAGTTCCGGCCAAAGGGCACCCCCTTTTTGAGCCATCATGATGGCGCGTCGTCGTTTGACGGAATGAGCGGGTTTAGCCATGGCGCGTAAACTCTGAGCGTGAGGTTTGAGCAACGTAATGGTCTGTCGGGAACGGGGCACTGTACCACGGAGGGTGTTCATCACCAATTCACTGACCGCATTGATCTGATCCGCATTGGCCATCCGCAACAATTCTTGTCGTTTGTGTTGATTGGCTTCTCGTAAGACACTTTTTAAGAACGGGGCTTGACGTTCCATGCGCCACCCCATGATGAATCTTGAGTTCAGGCAAGGACCAAGGTCTATTTATGGTAAAAATGGCACCACACCGACCACACAATTCACCATGATAATGCGATTGCATGTGATGTCGACACCGGGCACACAAAGCGGCGTCATATTGGTCATCCCAATCTAACGCAAACGTGACGGCTTTGCGTTTTGGGCGTCGTTTAGTCTGGGCGTCGTAGTCGGATTCTGGGTTTGAATTTCCGGAGATACAAAGGCGAGAGAGCCATTGCCAACAGCGGGAGTTTAGCACCGCGTTGGCGTCCACGTCGGCGGCGTCGTATTCGAGGGACATAACGATGTCGACGACCGTTGGGGCCACGGACCATTGTTCAATTAACTCTTGTCCAAACCCACGAAGGTCTTTTTATACATTTTTACATGATGGAACAATTGAACGATTCCCCCGCATATTTTTTCCGTTTGCCGGAAGCCACTTCCCGTCGACGTTTTTCACCAATTTTGATGGCACGCTTGGTTTGATGCTCCCCGATGGCTTTGGTACCGGCATAACCGGCTTTGAAAATGCCTATAGGCAGGCTGGCCGCAACACCCCCCACTTGACTCACACGCCGTCGTCGTTTAGTGCGTTTGCGTTTCCGTCTAGGTCTCATGACAACTCGTTTGGAGAGCGGAACACTTTGAGCCTCTTTTTTATACATTTTCACATCAAACTGCATCCACCCACTTTTTTGGCATACCCCTTCTTGACCAACCACTTGTTGTACGAGTCCTTGCTGCCACTAGCGCGATACTGGCGTTTATAATTGGCCACCCGTTGTTTGTCGGCCTTGACGTCGGCTTTGGAAGGAATCTTCCACATAGCTGGGTTTGTCAACAACTTGAAGCCTTTCTTGACATCCACAACAAACGGCGCCTTTCCACCCTTGATCCTACGTCGACGTGGTCGTCGTCGTGTCGTCCTGCGTTGGCGTTTGCGTCCCATCGCGTATCGACAACGGCCACACATTTTTTTTGGACAGGGGAAGAAAGGTCCCTGTTTTTATATACTACGACCTCGTCCACGGGCTCGGCCCCGTCCGCGTGCTCGGCCACGGCCCCGTCCTCGGCGTGGTGGTCTGGGTGGACTTGGGCTGGAGGTTCGGGTGGAGGTGCGGCGCACCGAGGGACGACCCCCCTCTTCATACACGGTGGTCACCGTATTAGTGTGCGTGATGTTGCGAATCCGTCGACCTCGTGCCCGTTCTTGAGCATCTTCATTCAGCAAATCCAACCGTCGCCTTAAGCCTCGCCGTCGATCGTCATCATCATCATCGCCATCCTCGTCATCGGACGGAGGGGACGAACCTGGGGACGGTGGGGAGGGCACCCTGGGGCGCCGTCGCGGTTGTTTGGCAGCCACGGTGGGGCGTCCCGTGGGGGTCGTTGTCGTCGAGGTGGTGGTCCTGGTTCCTGCCCCGACACTGCGGCGGGAGGTGGAGGGGCGGGCAGGGGCGGTGGTGGTCGTAGCCGTGGTGGTAGGGCGTGTTCGGGTGGACGTGACGGGTCGTGGTCGGCTGGTGGTGGTGGTGGTGGTCGTGGGGCGGGTTGGGGCTGCCGTGGTGGTGGCAGTGGTGACGGGGGCTGTACCAGTGCCTGCCACGGGCGGGAGTGTGAAGGCATTCAAGGCATCATCTACATTGACCGGGTAAGTCAAATTGAACTCGTCAATGTCTTGCTGCAATTGGGTACGATCCACGGGTCGAGACAATTCGGTCACCATGTCCGTCATGCTGCTGAGATCTCGGAGGACCGAGGGGGAACCTACCCCCGCGGGCGTGTGGGCGTCCATGCGAGCGGCTAACTCAGTATGTTGTCCGCCTTCTCTTTGCCGCCGTTGACGTTCGCGTTCTCGTAGCAGCGCGTTTTCGATCGGCAGGGACATCCGCCCGCAAGGTGTGGACTTGGGCTTTGCCTTCTCGGGGCGTTAAATGACTCCACAAACGGTAGCGATCATCCGAGGCTGGATGCACATCCAACATTAAATAGCCAAAGGGGCGGGCCGTGATGCGTTTAAATAGGCGCAAGACTTGACGCCACCGATCCGGAAAGGCTTGCAATAAAATCGTCCGTATCCCTGTTTGATCCCGAGGGTTTTTGAAGGCCACAATGTAATGCGCGTTGCGATTGATGGTCTTGGAAAATTTACCCGGCGGGAATAAATCTTGCGTCAAATACAACACCGTAATGTTACGATGATGCGAATCTTTGGTGAACAAATCCAACACGCGCTTGTCTTGTCCCCCTTCTTCCATCAGGTCGTCCAAGACCAACACCCCGCCGCGCGTCCGACCAAACCATTGCGTCAAATGACGAGGGTCCGGTAACCCGCGATAAAATTGAATCCCATCCTTTTTTTGCATACGCTCGAATCGGGGTTGCCAACGATCATAGGCATACACAATCTTACGGGGTTTGGCTTGAAACACGTTGAGGTACCGTAACCATTGTTCCACCAAATCCGTTTTGCCACTGCCCGACGGGCCTGCGATAATCACACTACTGGGTTGACGGATCATGATTCCCACGGACGAGGGTGACGTCGATAATGACCCGTGGCTCCTTTAGCACCCATGCGTTTATACCGTTTGTCGCGTCCCAATTTATCCCCGATTTTATAGGCTTTGGCCAACACGCTCATGATGCCTCGTCCGTTTTGGCGAAAACGGGGTCGTCGGGTGCCCTGTCGTCGTCGCCGTCGTCTGCGGTGGGGCATGCTGTCCAATACTCGCGATACACACGTGGCGATTCAGACTGGATCAGACCTTCCATGGTTTCTCTTAAATACGTTTCGCTCATGCTATCCATATACTGTTTGAGGGACACCCAATCTTGGTCTTGGGCCAATTGTCGGGCCATGAGCCAATGATACCCATCCCAGGCATCAATGCCTTGCACTGTGTTGACCCGTTCGATGGGGTGTTCCCACCAATACAAGGTTTCTTCGAGAATGAACGCATCCACAATACGCTGGACATCGCTTCGCGTAATCATCATGAGAGACAAATGACCACTCATGGACCACACATTTCGTTTTATGGGTTTTTTATTCAACACTCACAATGATTACAAGTGATAAAGGCCTGGCGGCTCACATTCTTTTGCCCCCCATCCCGTCGGGCATCCACTTCATCTTGTAATTCCCGTTTGATCACTCGTTTCAACTGCTCGGCCACTTTTTGATCATTCAACACTAAATTGTCGCAACTCCATTGACTTAAAAATTCTTGATAGGACCGTCCTTGTGCCCGGGCTTTCAAGAAAAATAACGCATAATGGCCACAGGTTTGACTATCCAGGGCTTGCAGGGTCTGGTCACTGCGCGTCAGGTACTTCCATTGACCCCACCATTGGTGCAACTCCGGGGTGGTGTATACGTGCAGGGGTAGACCATAACTGTCAAAGATCTCGCACTGGTTCTTTTCGGTCCACAGGCCCAACCAATGCTGGCCCGGTTCTCCCGCGGGGTCCGTGTTGACAATGTAGGCTTGACGGATCTCCTTGGCGGGGGATCGGGGGAGTTGGTCGGCGGGATGCACCCCATGAAACACGCGTCGTAATGCGGGGTCTTCCAAGGCCAGGGTCCGCAACACAGCATCACTGAGTGCCACAAACTCCATGCTCGGTGTCTTTTTGACTTCTGATTTCTCAGCCGTTGATGTTGTACTTTATACCTCCCAGATGGTTGATCTCATACATGTTTTCATACTCGCTCCATACCAAGACGGTGACGTTGTGTCCCACAGCCGCAGCAAAATCAATGATCAATCGCGTATTGCCCGATTGACGGGGGTTGCGATATTCAGGGTCATCGGCTTTTTGACTAGGCACATTGTTGAACATGAACAAGGTACAATTCTTGCCTTGTCCCCAATCACCGGGCAGCAGCATGGGAATCTTGTGTTCATTGTAGGCACCCATGGCTTGTAGAAATCGATCGTAGCCCAGCAAATCTTCATAGGCTTGGTCTCCTGTCAATTGCAGGGTTCTGTAAGGGTATTCTTCTCCATTCAAGGTCTGTCGTACTTGGGTGACACCAAACTTTTGAAAGGCAAAAGGGTATCTTTCTAGGTCTCCATTGAAGGCATCCGAATGCAATAATCCGACAATCACTCGATCAGGAAATCGTCCCACAAACACATTGTCTTGTTCCCATTGGGTGGTGCGTCCATCAAAGGAAAAGGTGCGAATTTCACTCCGCACCACAGGGTAGCGGGCAATCTGTTTGTTCAGTTGTCTTTCTTTTTGCAGTCTGACATAGACAGCAGCATTCAGGGTCACTTTTCTCATCAACAAGGTGACTTTGATGTCATCATTGTGGATGGCTGGAATTTTCTTGGTATTCAAGGTGCCTTTGTTGGGGGAGCCCATCAAGTAGATGGTCTTGGGGTTGAGGAACAGTTCAAAGTCCAACTGGATATTGGGGACCAACAATTTGCCTGTATGGAGGGTGGGCAAATGGGGACGCACGATGAAGGTGTGCCAATTTTGACTCAGTAACTTGCTGGTCAGGGTTCGCAAGTCTGCATTGCCACTCCAATTGGCAGCCACAGGGACATCGGAATTGGCGGCGGTGGCTCCTATTTCTTCTGCTACATTCAGCTGATTGACCCATCCTTGGGCAGCTAGCTTGGTGGCTCCTTCTTCTCGGTTGTAATTCAGCAGGGTTTCTATGTAGGCTCGGTAATGGTAAGTGTTGCTCTGTTCGGTCACAAGGACGCCATTCATGCTCATGGTAATGTCTCGAAAGATGGATTGCCCAAAATTGTTGACGCAGTAGACATGTCTGGTTTCGTTGGCATCGGAAATGAGTAGACCCGCATGCAGTCCTGTATAGTCAGCGGCTGGATCGGTCAAGCGCACTTTGACTTTGAAGCGGAGAGAATTGAGATCGTAATAATCGTCCGAGCCAGGAATGGAGAAAGTGATGGGCTGGATGCCTGTCAAAGCGGGTTGAAACTCCACCTCCCGCGAGGCTTCGTACCGATAATCCACATCGGGCACGTCAAACAGTTCGAGCGACATGGTGCGATCTGTCCACGAGGTTCAACGACGTCCTCTTTTTATACCTTTTCGTAGTCTGTGCCAATCATGGATGGGATGTGCGGCGGGAAAGGGGCGGTGCGGAAAATCGATTTGAATGCGTTTTTTCAATCGGCTAAAGACGTTGCCTCCTTTCTGTTTCTTTTTCTGTTTCCGGGCTTTGGCTTGATTGGCCCACAACACTGTTCGGAGATCCCCCTTGCCCAACGCCCCAAGAATCTTACCCCCTTTCATGCGGCGCAGGGCCTGTTCCACTCTCCATCGAGCAGGATTGATGCCATCGGCGGCTGTGGGGAACCCCAAAGGATTTTGGCGCCTACGAGTGAACTTGCCAAAAATCGTGCCCCCTTTCATCCTGCGCTGTAGGTAACGATCCAATTGGCGGGAGGATGTGTGCATCAGCGGATAACGCGCTGTCGTCGACTTGCCAAAGATCGTGCCTCCCACTTGATACGGTGAAATAAACCGTCCACGGGCCCGTTGCCGTCGAACGCGATTTTGCGATTTGAGAAAACCTCCTACACGTACCATTGTTTTCACAGTCCAAAGATGTCCCGTACACGTTGCGTGGCTCTTTTATAGGTATTTTGAGCGGTCCGTTTCACCTTGTGTTTGCCCGCCGTCCAAGCCATGGCGGGGGCTTTGCGTTTCAAGCCGCGGCTGAGTTGGGCACTTCGATCCGCCCAGGTGGCTGCAGCACTTTTGCCACGTTGAATATCTTGCAGTCCCGCTTGAGCTTGTTGCACGATCAAGGGTCCCGCCAGTTTGATCAAGTCTTCGGCCAACCCTTTGCCCTCTTGCTTGGTGAGCACGGGCGTGTGGTACCGCGTTAAACTGCCTCCGCGCATCTTGAGTCAAGTGTTCTTTTTGAACGGGTGTGGTTTGGCTTTTTATAGTTGTTTGAGACCAATGGTCACCAGGGTTTTGCCGGGGGGTAAAGGGGCCAAGGGTCCACTGGTACTGGCAATCTCCACTTCCAAGATGTCTAGTTGATTTCCTCGGAGTTTGATCCATTGGTGGTGCAGGGGTTCGGCCGTACTTTCCCCATCGCCGGTTCTCAACAATTGCACTTCTCGTAACAGGGGATACTTGCCACTGCCCACCACCGTGGATTCCACCAGATCTGAATAGACCATGACGGTCCGTCGGCGGGTTCCCACAATCTTTTCAAACGAGGCATCCAGGTTATTCAACTGCCATTCAAACGCCTGGTGCAATCTCATCCATTTCACATTGTCTTTGGTCACGATGAAAAAAGCTCGGCTGGTATAGTTGACCCCCTCGTACACCTCCCCTTCCCAATCGTAATAGGCTCGATATCGACTCCCGGCGGGACCCGTGGTCTCATCGTACGTCTTGACGGGGAGAGAATATTGCAGATTTGGCCCTATCACATAATCGCTCTGGCTGCTTCCAGTCTTGCCCGTCTTGAGGCGCAGCAATCCAAACTTGAATGCAATGTCCACATTGATGTAAAACTCCACCATGTTGATTTGGCGATTGTTCAACAACTGCTTTTTAGGAATCGCTTCAATCACCAGAGACTCATCTTTCCAAGTCATTCGGGGCATGCCGTGTTTATTGACAAACACAATCGGTTTTCGGTCGCTATTCTTAATCAGTTCGTTCCATTGATCTTTCATCGCCGTGTACATGATGAAGTTATGCATTTGTTGCGCCACGCGTTGCCAAAACTGTCTCCCCGTCGCCACGATTTGAGTGGGATTCATGACATCTTCCAATTCAATCATACCGGTCACCGTGGGGGAACTCACGCTCAAATACCCTGAGGTCGATGGGTTACCCGTGTTTGTCCACAGACGCACCGATTGTGGATACTCGTATCGGACCACTTTGGTATGCGGATCCGCGGCAATGATGGCATTGCTCTGGCCTTGATCCGGGACGGTCAGGGACATGAGCGAGGCATGCCAGCCTGTGCCTAGTAAGTCCAGGCGTTCGGGCAGACGGACCTTGAAACTGTTGTTGGCATTGTTGGGAAACTCGTCGGTCGGATCGCTGATGAGCGTCAAACGTTTAATCTCACTCATGTTGAGGATGAAGATAAGGCACGTTCCCCAGGGTGCAGGGTCCTTTTTATAGCCACGTTGCCACTTTCTGTTTACTGCGAGGGACACGTCCCACCACTGAATTGAAGGTCGATTGTTTAGGATGAAAACATACTTGCTGGGCAATGTTGGGAAAAGCCCGGGCCAGTTCCATCAGGGTCATGCAGGTCTTGGGTTTAGGGGGTTTCTTCTTGCGCATGGGTGGATGACGACCAGCGCGTCGACGTTTTTTCTTGGGTGGGGATCGTAGAGCCCCTCGTTGCTTGGCATACTCCTCAGCTCGATGGTAGGCATTGGCGTAGGCCCATTGCTGTTTGGTAGGACTGGCCAACTTGTCCCACCACGGTTGGGTTTGCCGTTGTTCGGCGGCTTTCTTCTGGATGAATTTCAAGACGTTGGCGTCACTGGTGGGCGAGGGCGTGTAACTAGCTCGCGGTCGACTGGAATCTGCCAGGACTTCATCGAGAAACCGCACCCGCTTTTTTCTTTTTCGAGGCGTTATTTTGACGCGGACCATGTTGCGCGGGAATCCAACTATCGTACTTGGCCGGCCACCCTTTCCACCGGACCAAGACTTGACGTCCTTTGCGTTTCAAGACTTTTTCGATTCGAAACAACGAGTCGTCCGAGACTTGGACTTTTTGCACATCGGGTTCATAAAACGTGCCTTTTATAGGCGTGCCGTCCCATTCACTGAGTCGATAAGTGACCACGGGATGACGACGCACATGCGTGACTACAAACACTTCTTCTGTCCAGCCTGGCAAATACCCTTTTTTAAAGGGACGATGTTTCTTGTTGAGACGTACCCGATCGCCCACTTGACATTTGGGTGGGGGGATCTTGGGCTTCAATCGGGCTCCATAGAGTCGATCCCATACCTCGGACTCGTTTCGAAAGGTGACTTGATGCGGGGCCATCCCAATACTGCGATGATACGTGTGATTGTACGTATGAATCAAGGGTTGCAAGACGTCCACGTACCGTAACGTATTGTGCGCGGTGAAATACCGGTACATGCGTTGTTTCAAGGTACGATGCCATCGTTCCACCACCGAGGCCTTGCTATCCCCATAGGTGTAAAAATGATGCCATCCATGTTTCTTGAACCAGGCTTGGACCTGGCGATTCAAAAATTCTTGGCCTTGATCCGTCTGCACACGGAGGGGTCGTCGTGGTGAGGCGCGTCGGCGTATCGTTTCCAACCCTTTGATCATGTTGGCGGCACTCTTGGATTTGATGGGGACGGCCCAGGCATACTTGGACAGGACGTCGATGACCGTCAACAAATATTTGTTCCCCTGATTCCACCGACTGAGTTTTTGCATGTCCACTAAATCCATCTGCCATTGTTCGTCTCGGCCAAAGACCAACGTGGGCGTGGTGGGAAATCGGGTCCGTCGGGGTTTGTGGAGCGTATAGCTCAACACGGATTGAAGAATCTGTTGCGCTTGCGGGGTTTTCAATGTATGGGCTCGGGCAAAGGGTTGGACCCCACCCAAGGCCCCCGGTGCTTGGGGATCTTCGTAAGCGCGTGGCAACGACATCAAGACACTGACACAGGATTCGAGTCCAAGTCTGTCTTTTAATAGTTTTTTTCACCTACATGAATTTTCAAAACAAACACGAACTGCCAAAGTTCTTATGCAAATGGCGCCTTCGCTCAAAGTCTCGCTCCTGGGCTTGGACAGACTCGCCAAATTGTTTCAACCACGGATCATACTTTAGCTTGTCTATCTCGGGGTTTGGCCTCTCACCATAACGCATCTCTACAGCGTGCAGGCCCCAGGGTCTCTCTTTTTCTGGACCTTTCATAAGAGGGACAGGACAATCCCTGACCCATCGTCTCAAGGTCGGTTGTGCTTGTTCACGGGGGCACCATAAGGGACCATGGAGCCATTGAAAGTAGCCACAGGGGTCTCTCCCAGGGACAAAGCTTCCACAACTGAAAAACACTTTGTTACGATTTTTGGCCGTGCGACTCAATTTCATCTTGGGAACCAACTCACACTTGCACTTGAGCTCTCCATGTTTCACTCGGGCATGGACTTGAGGATGCGTGTCGTTTTTTAAAGCCTCCATCATTATTTCTCGCGTGTCTTCAAACAAATAGACTGGACACCCTGGTTGGGGACACTTGAATCTCAGGGAACCAAATCTGGCTTGGGGGTTGACACATTGAATGAATTGATGGGGATGAAACGGGCACACTTCATACAGGAGTTGGTTGAACTGGGTATCCATCTGGTCTATGTCCTGGATGTCCCATTCTCCCACTTCGGTGGCTGGATCTGAATGAAACGTCCCTTCTGCTACACATTCTTCTTTATAGTCTTTCAGGGTGCCCTCCATCAATGCGTTCACGGATTGATCGGTGGGAGAGGGTGTGGGCAGTGGGTCCGCCGCTTTAGGCAAGGCATCGAGCGCGATCACCAGTTCACTGGTAGGGGGTTGTTTGGCTTTCATCTCTGCGAGTTCTGCTCGGGAAAACCCGAGCTCAGCCATCTCCTGATCATGATCCGCTTTCATCTGGGCAGCTCGCGCTTGGGCTTTCTCCTCCTCTTGTTTTTGTTGTTTCTTACTGACGCGACGTCGTTTGCGTCCCGAAGGCACGGCGGCAGGTTGAGTGGCTTGACGATTCATCTGGACGAATGAGTTCCAGGGAGCGTCTACTCGGTCTTTTATAGCCCCTCCTCCTGCCTCATGTGATGTCCCTCGTGATGCTCATACGATCTTTTTTCCACCAATCCGGACTCGTCCTGGGATCTCGTGAGGGTGGTGTGATGTGGGTCTCTACCAATCAGCGACCACTCTAGTGGTTATAAAACCCGCGAGGCATCCAACACCCCTCTCATTCATTGCAGTCAAGCCAACACAGTAAGTATGACGCTCCATCAAGTGGGTCTTTTGGTGTACAGTCAGGGGTTTGCCCTTTCCCGAGACGAATACATTATTCGCGAACTGGCGTTTTGTGATCGGACGGGGCATCATCATGGCTTGATCAAATATTTGTTACCCGAAGGCATGTCGTATCATCAATTATCCGAAAAAGCCCGAACCCGTGTCGATCGTCAAACCCAGACCGTGCATGGTTTGCCGTTTGACCCCTTTGTGCCCGTTCATAACGGCCAACACTTTCATCCCTACCATCAGCTCCACGACGATATCGCCGATTGGTGTCAACAGCATCTCACCCCCCAACGAAATCGAATCGGGGTCCACACGCTCAACGGACTGGCTACACTGTTCCAAGAGCCCCAGCATGCGTACTCCTTTGTGGTCTTGGAAAAGCAGGGGTGTGGGGATTTGGCCAATCTTCCTATTGCCACAGCCAATGTCATGGCTCATAACAATCATGGTCACAATTGGTGTATGGATCATTCCCACCAGGCCCGTGGGAGCGGCGTCTGGCACGATCATTGTGCCCATGTGAGAGTTTGTCAAATGAGTGGATGGCTCCGTCGCCAGACAAATGTCTTACCCACCCTCTCGCAAATCAATGCCCAACGTGTACTGTGGCAAAAACGATGTGATCGATTATTGGACCATGTGTTATGTAACTATTGTACCGAGGAAAAAGACAAGGCGTTTGCCAATGGGCAAGGCCTGGATTGGATCCCGGATAATTGTCGTGATTGTCGTAGCGTCTTGCATGTCTTTGAACAAACCGTGACTCGCCAGGAATGGGATGTCCCCCTACTGTACGCCGATGATGAACCGCACACCATGTGGGCTTGGACTCCCATCCCTCATCCTAAACACTGACGTTTTTTTTTTTTTTTTCAGACCATGCTCATTTACACAGGCGGTGCTAAAGGGGTGGACACGCATGTGGAACGATTATGTCACTTGTATGGTCATACCTGTGTGGTCTTTATTCCACCCTGTCACCCTCGATCCAAGGCCCTCGCGCCTTTGACCCAGTCCCAGTTGGATGCGGCCACGCCGACCGTCACCCAAGTGGCATTTCGATTGGGTCGACAACTTCATCATCCCATCAGCCTCCAGTACATTCAACGCAATTATTACGTGATTCACCCCGCCTCCCTGGTCTTGGCCTTGGGCCATTTTGACGAACTCGGCAAGCATCTGTTGGGGGGCACAGGATGGGGTGTGGTCATGGCCCAGCTTTTAGGCAAACCCCTCTATGTCTTTGATGCGGATAAAGAACAATGGTTTTGGTGGAATCCCACCTCCCAAGAATATCAAGTCTGTGACAGCATGATGGAGGAACAAATCGCCTTACCCACCCTTCAAGATAAAACGGCCATTATCGGTACCCGAGAAGAAGACCCAGTCCTCTATCCCACCCTAGAAGCTTTATTTAAACGTCAATGAACACAAAAACACTTGTTTCAATCTCAATGTATATCAACTACAATAAAATTCATAGTGGACATGACATTATAAATCAAATCGAGTCTCTGCATGACTTTGTCCAGCGTATTGTAGGCACGCTTTCTCCGGCCAATCATCACGGGGTACTGACCCACGGTACATTTCTGAAGCTGCTTCTTGAACCGGTCAATGATAAACGCGATCCCCTCATTCATCACCTTGTCCAGATCGGGAGGGACCCGTGCCATCTCCACCATCATGCCAATCTACAAAAACCAGACAAAAAGTTGTTTCAGCATCCAGGTCATGAAAAAAGAATACCACTTCAAAACAAATTCACTCACCGACAATCGGTGATCGAATATACGGTGGCAATGGTGGCAACCATTTTTTCGAGGGGTGCGCAACCGCAACACCACTTGATTCCACCACCGACCTTCGCCCAGGTGTTGGGGAAACCCTGTCATGTCGCATTTGGGCAACCCTTTCAACTCCTGTACCACCTTCTTGCGTTTGTCCATGGTGTAAAAACACTTCACCCAAAACATAATCTTGATTTGCACTTCTAGGGGCAACACGCGGCCAAACGGTTTATTTCTGGGGTCGACTAACCCTCGGCAGTCCATGTTGAAAACAGCGTCAAGCATGGAATGAGGTCTCTCTGCCCTGTTTCCTTTATTCATGGGTTTCTGGGGCCAATCGCCTACTCGCGCCAGGACTTGGCATCCACCCTAAAAAGGTGTACCCATGGGGGGCACCCCCTAGAGTTTCCTCTCCTGGTCAAATTCTCCCACATGATCTCTCTCCACCAATCAGCGCCTCCCATCAAGTCTCTAAATCCCGTTGCGCGCTCTATGCGAGCTCATTCCAGTTTGATCCGTCAAGCCAGTCAAGATGGTGAGTTCGCTCCAGTCAATTGTGCTGTTCTCTGTCCCGATCGCGGTTCTCTTTGATATGTTGAAGTTGTTGTGCCACCTCCCGATGGGCCACGAATGCCTGCGCGCCATGTTCCGCAGATGTACCCACGAAGAGTTACGTGCCTGGGCCCGAACGTTGCCGTGGGACCACCCGATCGCCAGAAAGCTGGATCACGAGGTCCATCGCCGCCGTATGGCTGGTGAGTGTCATCGCTTTTTATTTTTGGGGTGTGGGACCCTTTTTTTCCTTATACCTTTTTTGAATTTTTTCATAGAGGTATTCAAGGGGTTTGAGTTTCTGCGGACCGTACTGTGGCCAATCCATCTATGTCTTTGCCCTCGACGTGCCCGACTCAATTGGGCCGCGCGGTTCTGGGTTCCAGCCTGTTCGTGTTGATTTTCATTTTTTCGTCAGATTCTTGGGAGTATGTGGAGAATCAGCCTGTGTGTCATATCTATCAATGGGTGGCTCATCCCACCCCTAGCGGGGTCTGTAACCATTGCGAGCGGATGATGGATGGATTCAGACTTGATGACATGATTGCAGGCCTCAGGGTGGGGACCCTCACCGAAGATGAAATAGTCGAGTATGTTCAGAGTGGGGACCCTAACCATCGCGAATGGGACGACTTTCCTTTGCGCATGACGTTTCGCATCAATTCGTTTTTACGGTCCCAGGGTAATGTGGGTGAACCGGATTTGGCGGCCCTGGATTTTTTTTAGAGGATTAATTTTTGTATTAACTATTTTTTAGGCACGCATTGCCTGTTACGTCATCATTTGCATTGGATTCCGAGTGTGCGCTCTTTACGCTCTAATTTTTTCCGAATTTTGCATCGTTCATTGTAGGCTTTCATTACACGTTAAACCAGTATGGAGATTGGGTACGACCTATTCAATTACGTTGTCAGTATAGCACGGTCCGATGTGTCATCCAACTTCATGAAACGTTTAGTCACGTTAACAGAGTATGGGGGATGGATACATCCCGTTCAAATGTGTAATCCGTCTTCATAAAACGTTTCAGATGTGATTTCTGTGATTGGCCTTTATGGTTTTCAGATGTGATTTCCGCTATAGAAGAATGGGGGTGGATCCTTTCCTTGCAACACCATTACCATATTCATAGTGTTCGACAATTCACTCAGTTTTGTGATGGTACTGCTTTTTAGATACCCGTAGACACCTCAAAAGCGGTCGCTGGTTCCGAGATTGTGTGGCTTTTTTACTTGGACGAGATACCAAAGACATTTATTATTATTGAATTTTTTTAGAAACACATAGTCATATCTACAACAGTTGCTGGTTCCGAGACCGTCTTGCTTTCTTACTCATAAAGACCGAGTATTAATTTTTTTTTCGTAGATTCGCACACTATTCTCAGCACCCACAGGGTTCATGGTACTTCCGCGGCCTGGTGTTTTTGTGGTAGTATCGTACAATGGTACACTGGAACAGGGGTTGCCCTTCCACCTTATCCAAGACCCCTCAAATTACTCTGTTGTCGTTGTTTTTTAAATTTTCGTCGTGTGCGCGATTTAGATGTGCCCTGTTATTGGTGTGAGATGATGCAAGGGATGGGCTATCCACCCCGTGATTAACACCCATCCGTTGTTTTTTTTTGTTTCAGACACTCGTTTTGTCATACGAGCCATTTATATCCCTTGCCTTTTTCAGCCACTGCCCAGATAATAGAGAATCACACCAGATATTACCATGCTTATCTGATGAAGCAGTTGTATTTTGTGTGCAAACGCTGTTGGACGTATTCACGTCACGTGAACACCCTCCATGAACCCTGTTGGGGATGTCATATTTTAGAAAGCACAGGATGGGATTTCTGAACACCCGGCAGGGGGAGGTCTGCATGGTGGCGCCACCCCTGCTGGATGTTCATTCTCATTTTTTTTTCATTTAGATTCTCATCGGATGCTAGATGATGAGATCCTTAAAATCCTTATAGACTTTGATTCGTCTATCCTCAAAGAAGGACCCACGCGTTCAAATCATTCTTTTTTTCATTAGAATCCCATTGGATCATTGACTTTGCTATGATTTTTCGAGGATGGCCCATCCCTCATCAACTTTCTATCGTTCTTCATTAGATTCTCATTGGCTCATTCAAGATCTTATGATTTTTCGAAGCTGGCCTATCCCTCACAAACTTTGCATTGTCAATCATCAAGGATGGTCTAGTTTTCTCCATTTATTCAAACTCAGACATTGATTTTTTTTTGTTTCATCAGTATGTCAGTGGTTCTTAGATGCTCTTAGAGGGTCCAATAAATTCCATTGGCTCCAACTAAAGCGTTAATTTTTTTCGTTTTTTATTAGTATGTCATTGGTTCCTAGATACTCAAACCAAGATATTGATTTTTTATTAGCCTGTCACTGGATCCTAGACCATTTTGATTATAATCAAGACTGGATTTTAATAGAATATTATTGTAAACAAACATTTCAAGGGCGTGACACCACCAGGGTGTCACACACGTCCCACTTGTAATCGAGGTTTGTTTTTTTATTTTCCAGTCAATCATTGGACCCTAAACCATCGCCTTGTGCGTGCCAATGGTCGACTGTATCTCATCCAGTTTGCTTCTTGGATCTAACCATTCCTCTATTCAATTCGTTTCAGTCACTTTGGCCACGATCAAAATTCCCTTTCCTCAACCCATGGTCATACACAGGTTTCAACCACTACATCAAATGGCCTCATCCCAGTCATATGACTTCTTCTGCCATGAAGCAAACACCTTTTTTCGATTTTGTGCATTAATGTAAAAAAAAAAAAATGGGCGTGACGTCAGTAGGGTGTCACACACGTCCCGCTTGTACCCAGGGCTTCACGCGGTTCATTAAAACTATGTCAAGAATGTGAGATTCAACTCTTGTGTGTGCGTGTTCTTTATTCCTATGGGGTCACGTGGTTTAAAACAATGGGTTGTGACGTCAATAAGTCACATGGGCGAAATGCGCGATGCTGATTGGTCGAGACGAAATTTGCTGCGCTCTGATTGGTTAGGACCCGGGGTAGCCATATGTACTACTACCAATGCTCTTGCAACTTGCAGTTAAAACAACAAACACTAAGGATTGGTGAAGAGGGGCTTGAATTGCAACAAGAGAAAAACATTGATAGAGAACCTACTGAAGACAGCGAGGAAAAAGGCAAAACAACTAAAAGAGTAACAAGAGATGAAAAAGTGACATTTCCAGAAACTACATCACAGATGATCGGATGGAAACCTAAAATTCTGCAGCGAAACGAGGTTGAGAGACACGCACGTGGCAAGCAGGACATAGTGAAGCTATTTAAATGGCCTCGCGAGGGCGTGTAAACAACAATAACTGAATAACTGAATTTGAATCGGTAAAAAAAAAATAGTTTAAGACTTTTACCAGGTTTTCACTCTCTGCCCAACAAAAAGTGCCATTAAAGTCATTCGCGAGCATGTAAGCCTACACTGTTTATTTATTGTTCTACACTGAAGAAAGAAGTACTTAAGGTCTACAGTGTTCTTATTACTGGGTGATTTGTGATTTTCAGTAGTCTCAGCCGCAGCGATTGTCATCTCTTTCGGATGTTCTTTGGGTTCCTCGGTGCTAAAACTACTCGGAAACCGGTACTTCTGACGAAGTCGTGATTTCCATGCTCCACTATCTGTCCTCACACACCGAATTTAACCTGCCTGGGACATTTAGGCAATGTTCAGTTTTCCCGGCCGGATCATTACTTTAAAAAGTTTATCCTTGTTATTGAAGGTCTATAAAAGCAACATCTATCTCTCGCTGACGCACGAGGTTTTGAATTGATCCAGAAAATGCTTTCCAAGGGTTTGTGATCCATATCCAACTAAAATTACGACCATATCAAACGTGCTAAAACGCCCACTTTCACGGACATTTCACTCATCCGTTTATTAATGACCGGCCTGGGCGCCATTGTGAGGAAACTATTGTAAAATGCTTCTAGGACTCTACACCAGTCCAAACAACAGGAAATAAACCTGATTCTAGAAGTTTATCTCCTCGCTGTAACTTTGCCAACTCATGACTGGGTGGGAGATTCATCCACGGCCTTTCACCCTTAATAGTGTCATCTCCAAGCCATCTTGTGGAAAATGCCCGGCGCGGAGTCGGGAGGTTGTTACCATGGGAACTGTGGACTGTCCTCATATGGAAAACTATACAGTCTCCAGGCTGAAACAGGGTACAGTTAAATATATGAAATTTCGCATATTCACTTTCACCAGGAAAACAAAATTGCTTACGTCACTGTGAACATCCTATATGGTGAGTGATCAAATGCATTTGCGCGTGCTTCGCTACATTTCTCAACCGTAGACCGCAAAATGACAACTGCATGGCCAAGGTTCTGTAGTGCAAGGATAAGTTTCGACTGATTATTTACTGATTGCTCTGGCTCTTTTAAGTGCTGCGCTCAGTAGCCTGTTCCGGCCAGGCGTTCAGATCGTGCCGGAACAGCGCAGCAGCACTCGGGCCTATCCCGGCGAACACCTAGAACAGGCTATGCGCTCAGTGAGGTATTGAGCTCATCACATAAACAAATCTTTACTTACCTCCATATCCCAGGTTAAAACTTCATTGTCTTTGTTGCAGTCAAAGTCTAGTGTTGGCAGAAAGCGTTTTGCTTCTTCTTCCTGTCCTGGTTTAATTTCATAAGATGAAAACGGCGGGCCGTCGAAATGCACTGGTTTGAAGTACTGGGGCCAAGTGTGCGAGCCTTTCACCAGGCGAAGACAAGTATACTTAGAAACTGGGTCCACTGGCAGCCAGATAGAGCATACCTGTTAAAATGAAATTACAGTTTCTGTTAGTTTACTTCAGTGTTTAATGACTTGATTATACTACATCAACTGTACGGGTATTTCGTGGTGTTGGGAAAAGTGGTGTGGCCGATATTGATCACTGCTCTCAAATCCTCTCTAAGACATAACAAAACTTAGAAACAAGTATAGTAACAAGAAAGAAAGGTTTTACCTGCTGTCCGTCGATCTCGTAGTACGCCTGATCCTGGTGCCAAGGAGTTTCCTTTGTTGATCCACTTTCCTTCACGATCACGTGGTTGTGATACAGAGCTACCTTCTGAAAACATTATTGAAACACAAGCATGACTCTTTCCTTTCAAAACTGTAAGAGTTTGAGACTATGTTTACAGACAGCATGAGGTTTCAGTGATATATGCTATCCTTAATGGCAAATTAGGGTACCTTTAGCGTGTTTACCTAAGATACGAGAAAGTTCCCTCTTTAGTCTACAATCTAAAGGTGTTGAAACTAATCATGATGCTCCGTGGAAAATTATTCTTCAAAGTCACTGGGAAAAGTCTGTAACTAATTATCAGTGCCCATTTTTTGCCGCCTCTTAACATTCATGCTAGACATAAAATGCCTCCTGTTATTTCACCGTGTTTTCATGACAACTTTTTATTGAAAGATTGAGAGTGACTAGCCTGTTCCAGGCTCCCTATGATGTGAACATACCGTAAAATTCCGAAAATAAGCCCCGGGGCTTATATTTTTCAAAGGCCCTTTTTGAGGGACTTATTTTTCGGAGGGGCTTATATTTGGAGGGGCTTATACATGGAGGGGCTTATTTTCGGAATTTTACGGTATGTATGGGAATAAGCTCCTGCCTAACATTAGATTGCTTACCGACGACTGAATGAGCCTTGCTGCAATCTCTCCTGCTGGTGAGTGTAAAATAAACTTCTCATATTCCGGTATGCTGTTCCAATTGTTGTAGTCATGAAAGAAAAGAGGGGAGTGGCCTTTCCGCTTTGTCATTTCGGACGGATGGAGCCGGTTATCTTCAATTCCTTTCCTCAGGAGGTCAAGCCACTTCACATCAAACAAATCTCGTAAACATATCGCTCCATCGTTTTGAAATGTTTTTATCTCCTTGTCTGAAATGGCACTTGAAAGCAGTTTTTCCGTCATAGTGTCCTGCAGATGCCTACCATATCAATTTTAATGAAACAGAAAGGTATTTTGTGAACAGGCCCTATGGTGAGCCACTTTGTTGGTGCCCAGTCGTCAGCAGAAAGCCTGTATACAGATTAGTCACGCGATCGTATTACATTAACAAGCTTCAGTAGTGAAAGAGCCATTTACTGAAAAGGTTCAGTATATGGGAAGAAATATGCCCCAACACGACCGTCACGACGCCTGAAGTTTGTCACTTGGTGACGTTATTGCGGATGTATGTGACATCCGAGTTCGCAGGCTGTTAACATCCACTTATAAACCTCGCGTCATATAGCGAGTAGTCTGCTACACAGCCGTTTTTAGTGTAGTCACGCAACGCTAGTGGGAGGAACGTTGCGTGACGACACTAAAAACGGCTGTGTAGCAGACTATATAGCGAGTTCCCCTAAAGATAGCAAAGTCCGATTAGCGATCTGTCAGATCTGCGCTCTTCCGACGCAAAAAATGATGAAAAATTTGATGAGATTTTACAGCGGAGCAGGTAGTCGTTCTCTCTCAGGGTTTGACGTACCGTGTTCGAATCCTGTTGACTACCAAGCCGGAAGCTACCATTTCTTTTTCGAGTTTTTAAAATGCTGCTGGTGATTTACACAGTTTGCTAACCTGACGGACCTATGCCTGCTGCTGGTCATAATAAGCAACAGCAATTTACCGGTAGTTAAACGTCAAGTTACTCTTCTTTTAATACTAGCTGTACAAATAACCAGGCAACTTTTCATACTGCAGTCGCCGGGCTGCGTTACGTGCAGTGTTTCAATTTTTCGTTCATTCTACAAGTACAAGCAGTTATTTGAGGTAAATCACTTAGATCGTGCATTAGTTTCTAACCATTGCTCCCTTGCCCCTGTTTCTTGAATGTCCTGTGTTGTATACAATTGCAGAAGAAAAATCAACATACCTTGTTATCAGAAGGACGCCTGATCATCATCGAGAACAAAACTTGGCGCGACTGTTCTCATTCTCTCTCCAATTTTGTGGAAGCTAGGACCCTGGAAGAACTTCCGGGTGGGTGTCAATCAATCGGCAATCACGGAACTGAGAAGATACATCTCGTGATTTCGGCCTCCCGAATTAAACGACAATGTCTCAGCCCACACAAACTAATAGCGATGATTCGGTGCAGTGTAGCGCATCTGAATGTTGGGGTGCCCTGCAGAAGTTGCGATCTCATTGCCCGTTAATTCAATGCATCACAAACTATGTGTCCATGGACATCATGGCCAACACTCTTCTGGCGATCGGAGCGTCACCTGCTATGGCACACGGTGAGTTGAATGGATTTGCATTTGTAATCATTTTTATCATAAAACTGATATTAAAATTCAATTTGTCAGCTGAGGAAGAAGTTGAAGAGTTTGTAGCCTTGGCCTCAGCTGTTTTGATCAACATTGGAACTCTGTCTGCTCCATGGATTAAGTCCATGCACAAAGCTGCTTCAAAGGCTCAGGAATTGGGAAAAGTCTGGGTCCTGGATCCTGTTGGCGCTGGTGCCACTGAGATACGAACAAAGCTAGCAACAGATTTGGTTCTTTCTCACAAACCAACAGTGATAAGGGGTAATCCCTCTGAAATCATGGCTCTTGCCGAAGGAATTTGTAAAGAAGTGAATCTTCAAAGATCAGGTAATGTTCATAACACAGTGTGATTTATATCATTTTGAAATTTATGAAAATCTTTGGCCAACACTGACTCCTCACAGCTCCACCCATCCCCCCCCCCCCCACCCTCTTCCTCCCTCTCCCTCCCTCTCCCTCAACTGGAAAAAAGTGGCCCTGTAAAGTTTTGAAACTTAAGGCAGAAATTCTTTTGGGATTTCAGATATGGTGGGTTCAACAGCTTCAAGAAGTTTTAATTGAAAGTACATTTTTCACTTTTCCACAGATGGAGCTCAAAAAGGAGTTGATAGTTCTGAGAGTTCTGATAATGCTCTTGCTCCAGCCAAAGCCCTGGCCACAGAATGTGGTTGTGTCGTTGTGGTTACAGGAGAACATGACTATGTTACTGATGGTTTAAGAGTGATTGTTGTATCAAATGGTGATGCAATTCTCAAAGTTATCACTGCAGCTGGGTGTGCACTAACTGCGACATTGGCAGCATTTGTTTCTTTAGTGGACCCAAATGATATAACACAAGTTATGAAGAGTAGTGCTTTTGCACTAAGTGTTTTTGGAATTGCCGCAGAATTAGCTGTAAAACAACCTACAGTTAAGGGCCCTGGTAGTGCCAGAATGCATATGTTAGATGCATATGGTAGCATAAACATGGAGACATTACAAGAAATGGCTAAATTTTCTTAACATCTTTCTTATCCCCTACTGGGACTGTCTTGTGTGTCCAACTTGCAAACAATCAGTACACAGCAGAAAGAGTAGAAAACCATTTTTTTAACTACCATCTTCATTTCCACTAGTACGGCACACAAGGATTTTCCGCGTTTAGTGAACTTTTAATAATATTTTCTCAACACAGTTTTAATGCTATGTTACCAGAATATCAATGTCCTAATAATAATAAAGCCTGTAGGAATTTGGGGTTGTTAGAAGGTAAGGCCAAAGCTTTTGTCTCACACTCTAATGAGTAACATGTATGCACAGGTGTTTTGACATGAGGAGTTTCCATTTAGAAGAGCTGCAGGGAACTTAATGCGAACCCACAAAAGTACTTTGTTGTAGGCAGGCTTAAATGGAAGGTGACTTTGTAGGCAAGCTACTTTTGAACAAACCTGTAGTACACGTGTAGAAACCGGAACATTAATACAAATAACTTGAAGCAGTGTTGGATGAAACCTTAAATGTGTCCATTCATTGCACTAATACTTTCCTCTCCTGAGGAACTATGAATATTGTGTTTTGTCTGGCTGAAGACAGTTCTAACTTTCAGTTTCTTGAACCTCTGCTATGAGTTCTCTTGGACATGTTTCATCATAACACAATGGTAATGGCTGTGTCCAGGTCATGGAGAAGTTGCTGTATCCACCATAACTGGTCTTCTTTTTCTTGGACTTCCTTTTTGTGGTTTAGCTACAGCTGTCCTCTTGGCTGCAGCAGTTGTTCCTTTCTTTGCAGCTGCTACTTTCTTTACTGGACTTGCTTTTGATTTTTTTCCTCCTGATGGGCTGCATGTGTCTTCAGACTTTCTTTTCTGTAAAAATATTGGCATGCTAATAATTTTATCAGATCTGTTATGATGTACATTTCTTCCTCAGAGTGAATTCTAATCGTCAATTATTGACCACTCCAGAAAATGCCATAACATACCATAATGCAAAAGGTTGAGTTTGATCGTCCGGGTGAACGTAGTCCTGAATAGGACTGTTGTTGTTGACAGTGACTGACGTTTCGACAACCTGTGCGGTAGTCATCTTCAGAGTCCAAAAAAAAAAAAAAGCCCCAAAATTTTGCATAAGCATTGTCTTCAGTTTCTCTTGGGAGTTAAAATGGCCTCAAGACTGGAAATTGAAAAAAAAACGCTTATGCAAAATTTGGGGGGGACAAACAAAGAACATTATGGTATGCTATGGTATTTTCTGGAGTGGTTAATTCATTCTGATGAAAATTAAGCTACAATAAATATGCCACAAAATTTTTTTACATATTACCGGTAACCCTTTTTCATAACCTTTGTGACTTGCAAAATGGTTGCAGTTTCTTTACTTTTAAAGTTCTCATTGACCCTTTAACTGTGACTACTGGTATTATGGAGTAACTAGTTCAAGTTGCCAGATTTTATTTTCCACCTAAACAAGCTGGATGAGCTGCTACACTGTGTAATGTTCTTACAAAATGAAATGCATCAGATGAATCAGTGTTGATTTTGTTGAGTTGCATAATTATCATATTACTATTCAATAGCCTTGATCCCAAACATCTTTCCACTGAACACTAAAACTGAGCAGACACAATTTCTTACCCTAGCTCCACTTTTCTGTCTTGAAGCATTATCCCTGGTCTCATTTTCCACTTTGTCATGTCCATTGCACAACACTGTTGAAGCGGTTGCAGAGGGTGGGCTGGCCTGCCCTGATGTTAATTTGACATTTTTTCCATCATCAGTACATCCTCTCCTTTTAAGACCATCTCTGAACAGTTTGCGAATGTGTTCATAATCTGGTTCTTCCTCGTATTTTAATGTGTTGACATACTCAAGATATCTCTGGATCTCCACTGCAATGGAGAGGAATATAATTTATAAATTTATAAATTATATATTAAATTATCATAAATATATAATTAACAATTAATGAATGAGGCTGAGTATCTTATGAAGAATTATGGAGATTGAAGAGGGTGTTATCCGTCGAGGGTGTAGGCCGAGGCAGATAACACCCGCCAAGATCTCCACAATTTTTCATATGATAGGAAAGCCGAATTCAATAATATTATTGTTTTATTATTCAGTCAAAATAATTCCTAGTTTAAAAACATAGCTAAAACATGCTTACCTCCATTGAGGTTAAGTTTATCTTCGATAGTGTACGTTTAGGTTTATCCAGCTCCACAAATATTCTCCAAATAGCAGATGTCACCCTTCGAGTTGTCTTCTTGCTGTTCTTGCCATGTTTTTTAGTTATTTTTTCGCCTACTGAGTTCTTACTCTTGAAACGAGTGAAATGTTCAAGTTCACAACCAAAACAACTCAACCTCGTCCCCAGGTCTTCTCGGTTAACAGTGCCTTAAACTGCACGAACGCTGCATTTTTGACATCATTTCCTTGTTAAACACAAAATTCTTCCAAAATTGGTTAGGGTGAATTATGTGTGTGCTTTTAGCCAATCAGAATCGAGGAAATATTTTGAATGAATAATAATAATAATTTATTTACAATATTTTCCAGTCTAACATGGCTCAGAATATTTTTCTCCATTTTCAGTTCTTCTAAATTAACAAAACCCTCCTACAATGGTTTTCCATTTGACCAGAAACTCAAAGGGGTTGAAACATGTTACTAGACGTGTTGAATGCCCCCAAACATATTTCAGTTTGGCTCAAGTCACTTCCTCAAGTCTGTGCATAAATTGTAGACTATGATTTTTTTAAAGTTTCAATAAAATGGCTGATGGGAGTTCAGCTAATGGATTCTTCTGCATGATACCTGTTAGCAAGCCAGGCTTAGTTACCCGTTTTAATAATACCATAACAACTTTATAATCTATAAGCAACAACCTAAATTTTCGTGTTTCGTCTAAGTTTTGTTTGTAAATGATACATTGTGCTTGGCATATCAGTTTACCTTTGAACCAATTTATAAAATAAATCTGTCAAGAGGGTCCAGAACCTCGATAACTGTCTATCAATTTGAGATTGCTCCTGACCCTCGTTAACAGAATTTCTTCAGAAAAAGCACTTACCAGGGTGATTTCCATGAAAACAGTCTCTCATTAGCTTTGGTATGTCATTCATGTACCTTAAAAGTTATGAAGTTCTCTTAGAAAATAAACAATGTTAAAAATACAATCTCAAAATTGTTTCTTTAATTTAAATACCTGGGTTTAATATTGAAGCAACAAAGAAATTTCTTTCAATGATAAGAAAACCTTCCAGTGAACTACTTAAAAATTATTTAGCATGTGTCATAAAAAGCCAAAGAATGTAGTAGTTTTGATGATTCATGGGTAAGGCATAATTTGTTTACCTTGTTTTTTCATTCCTAACGTATTCCTTGTCATTAAGATTTTTTTCCCATGGAAGTCTGTCACACAACCACTGCAGCATAACATAACCCAAGATCTCCAAGTCACCACGTCTAGAGGTAACTACAAAAATCAAAACACGCTTATTTGACAGTGATTTATATACATACTTAGCGATAATATCTCTGGAGGTGAAGCAAACGGTACATCTAGTGCATTTACTGTAAAATATAAACAATCGGTTACGCACACAGATTGTGTGCGCCCCTTGCGGTAACACATTTTAAAAAATTCAGGCACCAGGGGATGTATGATTGAATGATGATAGTTGAGACTGACCACTTTCAACACATCTTACCTACACCATTGTGTGCATCTCTGCTTGTGAACTCTATTGTGCCGTCATGTTTTCTTTTAGGATCCTCTTTGTATTCTTTGTGTTTTCCTTCAGGATTAAAACGATACACAAGGCCATAATCCAGCAGGTAAACCTGCAAACAACAGTAACAATAATAAACAGGTTTAACCAAGCTCGTGTTAAATATCAACATTTCTCCTTATGTTTATCACCCATTTACTCATTCTAAAGCAGAAATAAAAAACAATCTTACTAAATACCTCTAACACAGATAATTAAAACTTGAGCATTGGTCAGTAGGTAAGTTTTGAAAAAAAATGCGCCTGGGTAATCCACTTAAGCCTGTGATATCATCAAGTGACGCAAGTTAGCAGATATTGGACTTTGGTAAGGATGTATATCAGTATTAAAAGAAGAAGGACTTACTTGGCCAGTTCTTGATTTGGTGAATCCCATCATTAGATTAGAACCTTTTATGTCACCATGGGTGTATTCATGTGCATGAATATATTCCAGAGCATCAAGCTGATGGATAATTATTATGGAAACAATTTTTCAATAAGGTTAAACAGCAAATAACCAAACAAAGATATCCATCCTGCCTTCATGCATGAATACAACACTGATGTCAGGTCAACAGTCTTGCAAGTAGCTTTGTCAAAAAACAAACTAAAGCACACTTAACTAAATACAATATTCTGGGATGAGAATAAATGGAAATAACTCAGCTAGAAAATACATGCAAACGCACACAGCCCTGACTGAGTCTTGGTGTTTCTTTCACAATCAAGTTTTTGGTAGAAATATAATAGGCAGTTTATCAGAAGTCACTTACAGTGTAGACCTCCTTTTCACAAACCCCCAAATACAAATTGAAAGGATTTTTATGTTAACAATCACCTGTTAAAGCCATTGTTTTTGTGGAATCAAAAATTGAAGACACATTAAATACTTACAACTCTCAGACCAAGCATAAGGACAGTTGAGACGTCAAATCTACGGCCACTACTAAGAAAAAGCTCCTCAACATCTTTCCCATACCGCTCCATCACTAAAAATCGCAGTTTGGTGGAGTTATGATCAAAAGACCCCGAACCAAGAAACATGGGCACGCCGAGATGCTTCAGTCGACGAGACTTGCACCAGCTTTTTACTAGTAAAACAAAACATTTAAATGTATTTATTAAAATAGTTTGCTAAACATATTTATGTGCACGGATTGCCCTAACACATAAAGGGCTCACAGTGTAACACAGATATCTAGGGGTCTTAAGCTACCCTTAATGGTTTAAAAAGTTACATCATGCTAACTAAATTCACGCACAAAGACAAGCATTGTTAGTTACTTTAGTAAATGTGATTTTGGTCATACTTAGTTCAGGCTTGGCCACACGCTGATAAAATGCAAGCTCTGTGAATAATGGGCCATTGGTGTGGGGTTCCTGTAAATAAAAAGGAATTAAATATTTGACACTTTTTTCTATTTATTTATTTTGTTTGCTTCTTCTGTTGTGTATTTAATTTGTCTGATAACAAAATGCAAGAGAGTAAGTTCTTAACAGCCCATTTTTATTGCTTAATAATGTGTGATGTCCAGCAGGCTATTGTTTTATCATTTTGTCATTATACAGTTTAGAAAAGGCTTGGTAACACAGGGATCAATTTAATAAAACTTCTGCAAGTATAATATACAAAGGTAGCTATTGTTTACAGAGCCAAAACAATGGCTACACTTGTAAAATTCACTTGTAAAAATATCTTTTGAATAAATTTAAAATCTTGGGAAGCCACAAATTCTTTATTTTATGATCTTACCACTTTAATTACATGTTCTGCATTTTCACCAACAGCTGATCCATTATCTGGAGAAGCTGTTGAAAAGAAAAAATCATCATCATCAAAGACAGAAGAAAATCAGCAGTTTGAAGGGTGCTTATCTGACAGGGTGCTTGGGTATGGAACCACACAGTTACATCAAACCTGCACAATCCCATAAATTTGATAGACAATTGAGGCCCTGTTAGGATAAAATTTTGCAAGTGCATTTTTTGCAAGTGTGATAAGGTCTTGAAACAGTAACTCGCATAAGATGGTTAACCCCAACAACAATAGATCAGCGTGGGTCATGGTGCCTGAATAAGGTGAAGCCGTAAGACAAGCAGAGCTGAATGCATAGGGTATCCATGACAACCCTGTGAGAAGCAACCACTAGGCACTGTCACACTGAAAATCAGTGGAAACTAAAATCCTTGCTGCATACAGTACTTACCATGCCAAGAGGGATGGGCAGGGTGGGGGTAAAATCAGTAAAAACTGCCCAGAGTGAAAAACAAACACGGAATCCCCAGCCACCAACTGCTGGGCAGCATTGTTTCATGTAACTTTCATGTACATTTTGCCACATATAAAATGATGGTTCCAAATGACAGAAGTAAGTAAGTAAGTAAGTAAGTAAGTAAGTAATTTTATTTAACCACATATCGGATATGAGCGATAGCTCGTTTAAATGCAAATGTGCCATAAAAATTACAACGTGATAATTTACATAATCTACATGTACAAGTAATGAATAAAAATAAAAAATAGAAAAATTAAACCAACTAAAAGATAATAATAATTTAAAAAGAAAAAATATTGGTAATCAGATTGTCTATTTACAAAATTCACAGTTGCAGTCATACGATGAAGACAACTGTATGTTTTGTAAGTTTTTCCTAAAGATAGAGAGGGACTCCGACATCCTTATTTTGTCTGGTAGACTGTTCCATTGTTTGCCAGCCTGGTGCGTGAAAGAATGTTGCATATAAGATGAGGTCGGTCTTGGAAGAACAACCTTAAGATGGCCCCGTAGGCTGTAACCATTGCTGCGCAGTAAAAACATTTCCGAATGTAGTTCGGTGCCTGGTTATAAATGCTATTGTATACAAGTATCAGTGCTTGTTCTATCGTCGATGTTCCAAGCTTTTGATATGTACAGTTTTAAGTAGCTCTTCATAAGCAGTCGACTTGGAGTAGTTAAGAAGAGTCCTAAGAGCAAATGCATTGGTTGACTCTAGTTTTGCAGACAAACCTTTACTTAGACCTATGAACAATGGTGATGCGTATTCAAAGTGAGGCAGAATAAATGCTTTGTACAGTTTAATCATAATATCTGAGGGTATAAGTTTACTGAATGCGACGAAGAATTGAAACTTTTGTGTTCACTTTCCAGCAAATTTCTTTAATATGTGCTTTAAAAGAGAGTGAATTGTCGATAATTACACCAAGGAGCTTGATCTGTGGAACGTAATCCAGTTCATTGCTGTCAATAACAAAGGGCGTTGGTAGAGTTGCTCTATTGAAGACGATGGATTGAGATTTACTATGGTTGATCGCTAGGAAGTTCTTACAAAACCAGAAAACGAGTAGACCAAGGTTGTTTTGTAGATTTATTTGCAAGGTGGATGGACAAGGGCTTGAAGAATACCCCGTAGTGTCATCGGCATAGAATCTTAAGGAGCACGAAATATCTGAAAAATTCGCATCATTCATGTATATATTGAAGAGAAGGGGGCCCAAGATTGAACCTTGAGGAACTCCACACTTCATAATTTGCCAATCTGACAGGTTACCGTCTATCTTGACATGTTGCTTTCGGTCAGTCAAGTAAGAACGTAGAAGTTGTAGGGCGTCTTCAGTTACACCGTACGCTGACAGCTTTGCAAGAAGCAAATTATGGTTAATAGAGTCAAATGCTTTGGAGAGGTCTATGGTAATTGCTGCAGAGTGCTCGCTAGAGTCTAAATTTGCTCTAATGTCTTCGCATGTTTTGAGGAGGGCTGTTGTACATGAATGTCCTTTCAGAAAACCAGATAAATTTCCACTGAGGAAGTGAGGAAGTGAAGGATGGCTTGAAACTGTGACAGTAATGAAGACAAGTTTAACAAAGTAAAATACTGATCAGGACATGGCTTTCTCCTCAATACGTGAAACAAAGGGTTTTGAAATTCAGACCCCCCACCCTCCCGGCCCCCCAACATCCGCAAGAAACATACTAACAACTTCTCACCCAACATCTCTAGTAAAGATGTGGTGGACACAAAATTTTGCTGCATCCTGTTAGGTAAATCTTAAGGTAATTATGGCTTTGTTATAGTGGTAGAAGGAAATTTCAATACCTAAATACAGAGCTCCGAATCCACCCCAGCCGATCAACCTTCCAATCCTCCATGTTTTCTTGGTCAGGTCTGTCAAGATAATTCCTACAGGCAGTTCGATCATGCCTCGCGGCTTTCGAGGCTTCTTGGTTGCTGCTGGCGCTTTCGTAGCGGCTGGCTTTCGTTTCCCTGGTTTGGCCTTCGCGGAGCTCATGTTTTTTGTCAATTTTGTAGAGAATCGAAAGCAGTATTTTGTCGATCGAGCAGTTAGCAGGAGTGGTCACCCAGCCTTTAGATTTCCCGCCAATTTCCTTTTCCAAATATGGCTAAGTTAGCCTTTTATAGGAGTTCGCTGAGCTTCGAAAACCAAAGCAGCCACCACCTTGAAAACCTGTTGACAAATTTTCGCTTTTTACAGCACCTTTTAATAGGAACGACAGCATTCTCCACGAAATAAAAGGTAATGTAGCTTCCTTTCTTTCTTGTTTACAAAAGAGGAAAAGTTTGTATTTTGAACAGAAGAATCACTATAGCTATGACTTGAACCTTGAACCTTGAAGTTTTCGTTTTGTTTCTTCACAGAATCATGAGTTCCACGTCGCAAAAACATCGCAATTTTGTTAGCGAACCTATGGGAGAAAAGGATGTCACGGAGTTGGCGGGAATCGGAGAAGTTCTGGGAGGAAAGCTCAAGGAAAAAGGATTTGACAAGGCGTATGTTGTTCTTGGACAGTTCCTCGTCCTCAAAAAAGATCAAGAAATGTTTATGGACTGGATAAAGGACGAATGTGGAGCCAATAAGAAGCAGGGTGGAGACTGTTATAACTGCTTGAAGGAATGGTGTGATGCTTTCTTGTAATCACAGAATGGAAACTGTTACAAGTATATGAACTTTAGTGGGCAATCAAAGATGTTCAAATTGAGTTTTGTGCAGAAAGCAATTTTTATACTCTCCAGCCCTGCGCCTGAAGGGACCTCTAAATTAATAACTTAAGGTCGGTACACGCTAGGCAACAAGTTGCAGCAACATGTCACGGCAACACATTGCAGCGATAAATTGCTTCGTGTGTACTGGAGAAATTTTGTTAAAACCTTTGTCTCCGCAACAGAATTTTGTTGCAGCAACATGTCGTAAAAAATCAAATCAGGCAGAATTTGTGCTACTTGTTGTGGCGACAAAATTCTGTTGCAGAGACAAAGATTTACACAAGAATTCTCCGGTACACATGAAGCGATTTGTCCACTGCGATGTGTTGCTGCAACTAGTCGCCTGTCCTGTAGACACAGTGACCTGTCACCACGACTTGTTGCTGCAACTTGTCACCTAGTGTGTGTGGACCTTTAAACTTCATGTCATAGAGTCAAAGGATATATAAATAACAAACCTAGAAAAGATGGAAATGTGGCAGGCTTTAAATGATCAAGTCAATGATTGGTTGTTTTCTATGCTTATAAGTATATATGTTACTCAGTAGTCACACAACAGGCATAAAATTATGCCCAGGCCATAAAGAAGTGATGTAGAAGTATTATGAGCTGTTTAATAGAGTTAAACTTTCAGTTTCTTTCAAAAGTTGTCTTGTATTTGTGTTAGGTTAAGGTTATTTAAACAGGTACACTTGGTAACCATGCATTCTCTGACAGGTCACTTTGCTCGTCTTGCAAAACAATTTTGGACAGCTCCCTTGCAGGCTATATTTACCCCAGGTGGTGATGTACTGCTAGGAGGGTATGGTTTTTGGCTTTTGACTTGAGTAGGTTATATGATTTTGTAGCGGCATCTCCTAGATAGGGTATTAATATTCTTCATAAAGAAAGAAGTAACAGCCCTTGTGGGCTTGATTATCAGCCTTTGTTCAGGAAATCTGCCTGTGTTTCTACCCTAAAATAACTCCAGCCATCTCTTCTTGGAGCAGACCCAAGAGAGTGGCAGAAATCAAGCCTACTGCCCATGCAGTTTGAACCTTTGTCCTAAACAGGGTTCTAAAACAGATTTTCCCCATACAATCAAACATAGCTGCTTTTTAGGTTTCTTTTTGTTCTTATTCCAAATTCTGAGTTAAGTGTCTTTCCCCCATCCCCTGCTGTTGCTTCAAAGAACAAATTATGGACAAATATTTGCCCTGAGAATGTTTTTTACATGATTATCAACCCTTTGAACACATTTGCCTCTCCTTGCATTAGGGACATTTTGCCAGGCAGCCAATAGCTACCAGCTATTGACACCATTTACTCAGGAAACAGAAACAGCCAAGGAAGCTCTGCCTATCTCTACACTATGATAGCAATGCTTCTAATATATCGTAGTGGACTGTAGATTGGTATAACAACAACATTACATTGAAATTCACACTGAAGTAAACTAAGTGTCTCAAAGACCCTTTACTGCCGAGGCGACTCCTTTAAGCGCCAGCTCCACACAACACGTGGGAGCTGTTGCCTGGTAACCGCAAATCAATTCTCCCATGACATGCGTGGGAAAGGTAGATCACGAGTTACTGCAAATTTTTTGTCAAGAAATTAAAGCAAGAAGCACACATACACCAACCCACATCCTGGCCAGTACCTCATGCATGCGTTAAGCCACATCACGCAGGCAGTGTTTACCCTTATGGGAGCTCATCATTATGGCATTACCATCGGGTCTATGAATAGGGAAAACCCAGGTCTCAAAGACCCTTTATTGCCAAAGGTAGTGCAAAGCATTCCTTTAAGCGCCAGCTCCACACATCACGTTGGAGCTGTTGGTTAGGAACTGCAGTAGTTTTCCCAAGACATGCACGGGGAAGTTGGATCATGGGTTGGTGTATGTGTGCCCCTTGCTTTATGTTTGTCTTTTGAAAATAGTGAACTAAACTTCTCTACTGCATAAAGAATTGGAAATCCCGACTTTACTACCTTGCACGGTTTTTGAGATATTGAATTTCCATTTTGTCTGAAGTTGCGTACATTATTTTGCGTAAAATTTAGTGGTCTTGTAAGTCAATTTGGAATCCTTGAAAAATCATATTTAAGTCCGCGAATATTCAACATATAGTTTTACATTTGGTCTCTTTTTAAAGCTAAATAAGATTTGTGGTGAGCCGATGAAGCCTTTCGAATTATTTTGCTTCAAAGACACAATAAATTTTTATCTCCTTTGATGCAAATGAATATCCACCCGCCAATTGGTTGAAGACGTAATGAGCACAGGACTCACAAACACGCACATGGCTCATGGCTTCTGTATCATGTGTTTGCTCAAAAACAATGCCTTCTCCGTTTTGCATTACGTCACAAATGTTGCCTTACATTACTATATGTTACATCAATCCAAGATTTCTTCTGCCCCTGGAACTATCGCACACGTCTCTATTAGGCTGCCGCCTCGCAGCCTTGCATCTTCGCGAGGCTGCTTGTTGGCAATCAGTAATCTTGTTATACAAAAGAAGTAAGCCAAAGAGAGAAAACCAGTATTGTACATGTAACTTACAGGTACATTCATTGTAGATGAAGTAATGCAGAGAACTGCAGTGCCACACCAAACCTGTATCATTGTTCATAAAACCAAAAAAAATTCAATCAATTATTACCTTTACTTTCCCAAACACAATACTATTATTACAAGGCAACATAAAAACAATAACACTAATAATAGATCTTTCTCGCAGTTTGCCCCACTGAGCACACCCAATAAAACAAGGGTGAAGAATTTTCAACAAATTGCTGCACTTTTCAAGCCTAGCCTTGAGTTGGTACCATTCTTCACAGGAATACGGGCAACTGTCCAAGACTATATCAACAGCTTGGCTGTATGTTTTAAGAAAAAATGTAACAAAAAAATTGCATTTCCCCATGCAATAAATACTTAAATGTTATAATATATAGTGGAGTACATACTTTTCTACTTTTAATATCAACTTGAGACTTAAACCTTTTAACACTACCTTCTGGCTAGCAAAGTGAGATACTACATGCAAACTTGTCATGCTCAAAAGATGATTTTAATTATTTAAGGGCAATTTTAGATAAATATTTAATATTAGTCATTAAACTTCAGTGGCATATACTGGTATTTCCACAGTTAGCCCAGTTTGAAATTCAGGTTTCTAAGACAGGTATTCCCTTCCAAAATTGCCCCATCCTCGGAGACCCAGGGGCAGTGAGTCTGGCTGGGAGAAAAGGCGGGACAAAGGCTTTGAAGCGAAGGGAGAGCCCCTGGCTACCGACTCTCACCGGACCATTTCCAAACACTGGCTCCTAATAATTGGGCACAAAAAATGCTTGGTATTATTGTGCCCAATCGGCGAACAGCATCTCCTGATCTCTTTTTGTGAGTTTGTACACAACGGCTATTGACTCAATCACGGACTGTCTAGCTCGTGCACCAAAGAAATGCACACAGTTTTTTCAGTCTCTATTGTGATTATTCCAGTTGCTTACCTGTTCAAATACAAGCAAACTCTCCTGGAGCTGAATTCCTATCAACCATATCCAAGTTCAGAAAGAGAAAGAAAATTTCATCACTGCTTGTTTACATCCTCCAAAAACATGAAATTTGGCATTTTCACATGGTAGTCGTGCAGTGACGGCCAAGAAATGTACAAAAAAGCCTGATGCATGTGTAAAGTCAAGTCAAGCCTTGTCAAGATATTGCTTTTTTGGCATTCTTGTTGTTGTCGCCGTCGTGGCATCTTACACTCCCTAATAATTACAATCCCTTGTTATCGGTCAGAAGCAGAATTTTCTCGGTGCAAATTGAAATGCTACTGTTGGTAGCATGCAAAATGTTTTTTCAACTCATCAGTAGGTCCTTCGTTTCTGATTTGCAAGGTTCCCTTGCAAGCACAACCTTGGCAAATGAACCAGACAAGTATGGCGAGACAATAGCCGTTGTGTTTGAACTCACGAAAAGAACTCAGGAGATGCTGTTCGCCGATTGGGCACAATAATACAAAGCATTTTTTGCACCCAATCAGGAGCCAGCATCCACTTGACCATTTGGAAATGGTCCAGTAAGATTTGGGGCTTTTTTATCTGTGCTTGAAACCTTTTGTTGCATCTTTTCTCCCAACCTGATTGACTACCCCTGGGTCTCTGAGGATGAAATTGCCCCATTACAATCTAACAAATAAATCATAAGAAGCATTCTTTTACCCAATTTCCAGAGACAAAGGAACCGCTTGACAAGGTATAGTGAAGTTTTTTAGCTTTAGGTGTCTTCATATCATTGTCATATTATTCATAAACTAATAATTAAACTAAAAACTAAAAAGAGTTCTACCAGCCAAAGGTGTGAATGTTAACTAATGACAAAAAACAAACTGCTCAAGATGAACCATTACTGCTTGAATGGTTGTCCAGTGCTTCCTTGGTACACTGCCTGGGCAGGGGGGTATGGAGCTGACCCTTGTGCCCCAGGGGAAGGGTATGCTGTTACTCCAGAGGCCTGAGGAGGAACATAAGGCGGTGGTGCGACACCTACTGGTTGGTAGAATCCTCCTGGTGGTGGATTGTATCCCATGGTAGGTGGTTGGTTGAATCCCACAGGCGGCGGCTGGTGGTATCCCACAGGTGGTGGCTGTTGAATGGTCTGCTGTGTAGTTGTTGCAGTGACTGTCGCACCCATGGGTTGTGTGACTAAAACTGTTCCTGGATGGTGACGATGACGATAATACGGGCAACAAGCACAGCAGCAGCAAGCCAGTATGGAAATCACAATGGCAGCAAGAACCAAACAGCCAAAGATAATGCCTCCAATGGCTGCCCCAGTGAGGCTATGGGAACAAACGCTCTTACAGGTATAATCCGAGTCACAGCACTCTCCAAAATCACAGTCCGAATTGTACGAGCACGAGTAACAGTTTTTTCGACAACCACCGTCGAAGCATTTCTTCTTGCAACTGGAACTCTTGCAGCATTCTCCCGTGCCGCACTGGTAATCGTAGGAACAGAGGGAGCATTTTTGTCTACAGACGTAATCTGAACAGCACGTCTCTAAATAATCACAGTCAGAATTATAGGTGCAATAAGTAGCACCTCCCAAGTGCAAAAAGCAAATAGAAAGCAACAACCCAACTTCCTTGAACGCCATTATTAAAACGCAATGGACGATGGGACGATTTTCGGCACTGCCCCGGAAAAAAGGGTCGTGACTAGAATGGATACTCCAAAATCAGGTATCCGCTCGGAGACTGGAACTGAATAAAATTATTTTTCGGCAAACCGCTCCGACTCTTTACGACCTTGTTGTGTTGAAAGACTAAGTATACAAAGACTGAAAAGGCTAAGATGAGAATGGTTACTCCAAAATATGGACCAAAGCCTACATAGAGGTTAGTTGTTTTTCACGTTCTTTTTGTAAGAATTTAGTGCAAGGAGCAAACAATGTCTGTTTAATTACAGTACCACTACCGCGACAGCCGTGTAAAGCTTATTCAACCTGTTTGGATAGCTCAGAATAAGGTGGATACTTCAGAATAAGAATGGCCAAAATATGGAAGTTTTGGCCATCTGGATTATTATTACTGAACTTCCCAATACAAACATGATTGTTACGTTTACAAAGAGGGTACAAATACAGTTAAGGTCAGTTAACCATCTTGTAATTTTATGGGTTAGTTGATTCCAAGTGTTAACAATAGTGAAAAACACATAAGGGACCTGTCATTTCTTTGAGGCGGGGGAGGGCTGGTGCATTTGGGGGGAAGGTCATTAAATTTTATGTAGCCAAAAAGGGAGGGTCACCAAAAATTTAAGCTGGGCTTTGGGGAGGGCCATACCATTTTTAGCAAACATTGCTGTTCACTTAAAATAAAGATAATTCAACAAATAAAATATATTATTTAACAAACAAGTCCCTTGCACAGTAAGCATTTTAAACTTTCATAATGATCAACCTGAACTACCCAACAACCCTACATGTACGTCTTTTTCTTGATTTGTTTTTCAACAGCAACACACTGCGAAACATGTCTTTGCATTGATCAAGTTTCTCATTAAGATATTTCAATTCACTGTTTACTCTTTTTTTAGCTTCATCAAGCCTTGTAATAACAGCTTCATCAAATGATTTAGAATACTCTTCTCCTCGTATAAAATTACCAGTCTTTGAGTGAAACAGGGTGTTAAGGTGAGCTTTAATGCGTTTATCCATATCTAATATGTTCTCTAGTAACTCACTGAGCTTCATAATGTTCGCCCTCAGTATTAACTAATCAGCTGGGACAAGAACATAATCGGTCATGTAAAATTTTCCAGCAGCACCAGGATTGTTTGTGCTCAATATTGCTTCAATGCATGAGGTGATCTTAGATACCTGTTCCTGAATGTCGTATTGGCGCCTCCCTTCATCACAAGGTAAAAGTTGATCTCCTTTAATGATCCCTGTCATATCTTTTAGCGTGGGGAGGGCCATACAAGGGGGAGGGTTACATTTTTTTCTGCAGGAAATTGGGGAGGGCTTAAAAAAATTCACCTGGGAAAAAGAGTTGCACCAGCCCTGTCCCCTCTAATAAATGACAGGTCCCTGATTTACTTCAGGTCATACTTCTTGTAGCTTGGTGATCACTATTACAAGACAGTGCAGGCAGACATATGCTCAAGTTTCTAAAAAAGAATGGTCCTGCAGATTGTATTAGTGTAGTGTCTCTGTATAGCTCTGATATAGGACCTGGAGCCTACAGTGGCAGATCAGAACCTTCAGATAAGAAGAGGGGTGGGGCAGGGGGGGGAGAGGATTCTCACCAGACCTTAAGGTGGCGGGAAGGAACCACTCATTCAGACCTTAAGGTACGGAGGAGCTCAATCTAGAAAAGAATTTTCTTGGCACTGTTGTCCTCAATTTGATCTAGAATATGGAGGGCAGGGGACCTCCCCTAGATCTACTGCTGGCCTCTGCCAGCCCACCCATGTTTACCTGCTATCTTTTTACATTTACTAGAAACTCTAGTATCAATTCAAATTATTTATCCTAAACATTAGGATTTTTGCAAAATTATTTATAGTTGCTTTTTTGCACTTGTATTTTGTTTTGTTTTGTTTTTTTCAAATCCTAGGAGCCTCATTGTCACCAAAACTCTCTGCCTTCCATACCCTATTCCACACTGAACTTTCTGACAATAGTCCTCAGCCAAGTGGTACCATCATGGTGTTGAAAAGTGTGGAAATAGATCCTGTTGATCCTGGGATGAATTATTTTCCTTTTTCTTCCCCCTTCCTCCACTCAAGGGGGGAGGGGGGGGAAGGTGTTTTCCTTCCCCTCCCTGTGACCTATTACCTATTTCCTTGATTGCCTTCTGAGCTCCTGATGAGACAAGACCTTCAGCATTAAGCTGGTTATGGGCTATTTTTTTTGTTTTTCACTCAGTATGGTGAGCTTATCATAAATTTAAAATGGAATAAAAATGATCATGCAGGTATATCCATGTTGCAGCTGTAACAGGAGGAGGAGTTGGAGATCCGGAGGGTGTTGCAGTCAAATGCTTGTGAGGAACAGAGAAACCAGTTGGAAAAAAAAATAAAGAAAATTGGAGAAGGCTTAAAAAAAAAAAGCAAAAAAAAAGAAAAAAAAAAAGAAAAGAGGAAAAAAAAAAACAACAATTTTCATTGAGGCCAAGCAGTTGGCTGCTCAGTTGCATGTCTGGGTAGCTTGACCATTTGGTTAATAAAATTCTCAAAACCATAAACAAACCACTCTAAGAATTTGATAAAATGTGTAAAAAAAATTGTTTATTACTTTTATAAAAATAAAGTTGTTCGTTTACAATTCTACAACCATTTTTTCATTTCTTCCTTTTCCCATAATTCCTTCCTCTGTTTTACTTTCCTCTTACTCTTTCTCCACTTCCACAATGTGCTTTTATGTACCCTCTATACCTGGGGTGGAAAGTCACCTGAAAATTTGAAATTAGCCATGCATTAAATCAAGCTTCCATTATAATCAGTCTTTCAGGAAATAAAGCTGCTACTTTGGTGGTAATTCTCAAAAGCACTGTGTTCCACGATACAGTGCCTTGATTCAGCAAAGAAGCCTTGACCCTTCTGTTTTAAAAGTTAAAGATTTTCTTTTGGTAGCAGAGAAAGGCCCCCAGTTTAGTGCATTACAAATAATTATCACCTACAAAGTTATCAATCATCTAAATTAAAAAGGAACAACCAAATCATTTCCTTGTAGTACCTGCCTAATATCAAAATGAATAACTAAAATACTGATAAATAAATAATAATTATTGAAGTAGGGTATATTCAGGCCGTTTTAGCTTAACAAACCAAAAACACAAGGTAAGTCATTCTCGTTTCTATTTTTGTCAAAAAATGGAATTTAGGACATATTTTGTTTATTGTCATACATTCTCTTATAAATTCAAAGTCCAACAAACTCCTTCAGAGTTTGGGCTACCTGTGGATGGGGCAACATGGCAGGATGGACAATAAAGGGGCTGCATTTTTAACACCTTCAATGTGACTGGAAATTACAAAGGTTCACACAGCAGATTCAGGAATACAAAACGACTAACTTGGAATCACATAGTTTACATTTGCCAAAAGTAGCTAACATTGGGCCTTTTGGTCATAGAAAAGACTGTAAAAGGATTTGGGTTCTGGTTGGCTAATTGTGCCAGATACCCAGCGCACCAAAAGGTTGACCCGAGTATCCCACAGGTTGTGAGGGTCACTTTGGTTTTTATAATCTCATAAAGTACCCATTCTTCTCACACTAAACTAAACAGCAACTTACCACTTAAAAGTGAAAAAAAAATCAACCATAATATATAAGAAAACAGAAATAGTTTATGTTGAGCCATAAATTCAACAACTGTCTGCTATCCCTTGGGGGTACTCCCTTATATGGCCTCCATGGGGATGTGCCACTGGACAGGGTATGGTTTGCGTCCTCTCTGTCCTGAACAGGGTATATAGTTTGGCACAAGTCTGTCCTAAACAGGGTATACAATTGCCTGCAAGTCTGTCCTAAACAGTGTGCATGATTTGTGCGAGTCTGTTCTAATTATAAACAGGGTGTCTCATGTATGATCGATTTCGTCTTAGTGCAAATGTTTGCAGATATTTAGTACGTCATCACCCAAAGCATTTACTGGAATAAATATAAATGTTATTGTTCTTGGCACCCTTGTCTAAATAAGATAAGTACAAGTTGACGGGTGTGCTTGATATAACCTTGTCCCCATCTGAGGGAGTTGTCCTATCTGGGTACTAAAGTTGAGGGTGTTATCCTAAACAGGGTATGGGTTTCAAACCCTCAGCGGCTCACCTACACCCACTGAAATATTGGTCGAGTACCCCTCCCCCCCCCCTCTACACCGGGCTGCTTGCTATCCTATAAGCAAGCTTCGAATTAACTGAGCCATAATTACACAATGGTTGACTGTATTATTTTGTACCCTCTTTGTAAACGTAACAATCATTTTTATATTGGGAAGTTCAGTAATAATAATCCAGATGGCCAAAACTTCCATATTTTGGCCATTCTTATTCTGAAGTATCCACCTTCTTCTGAGCTATCCAAACAGATACTTTGCTATGAATAAGCTTTACACGGCTGGAGTCGCGGTAGTGGTACTGTAATTAAACAGACATTGTTTGCTCCTTGCACTAAATTCTTACAAAGAACGTGAAAAACAACTAACCTCTATGTAGGCTTTGATCCATATTTTGGAGTAACCATTCTCATCTTAGCCTTCTTCAGTCTTTTATACTTATCTCAAAAGTCGGAGCGATTTGCCGAAAAATAATTTTATTCAGTTCCAGTCTCCGAGCGGATACCTGATTTTGGAGTATCCATTCTAGTCACGACCCGGAAAAAAGTGACGTGTCAAGAGAAAGTTGTAGACATTTGGTGATGACTTACATGCCCAAAGGAGCTCAACGCATGGCAAGATATGTTTTAGCCGCTGTGTTATTTTGTTAGTTTTTGTGTTTTCAGTGTTTTCTGAGTAATTTCTTTGGTGTTTTCCACCAAAAACTTGAAATTTTAGGTATGCCTTCCGTCGAAGGTGAAGAAAATGGCGAGGAGGAGGTAGACAGAAGTCCTAATGAGGACGAAAACATGAGTGAAGACGAGGATGAAGAGAGTAGCTTGAGCTCGGACGAGTCATCCTCCGAGTCGAGCAGTTAGTGTTTTCAATTATTTTCCGCGCTTTTTTTTTCGTCTCATAATTTCGTCCGCCTTCCTGTTAGTTTTAGTATGGTCTTAATGATTCCTTTTTATTTAGTTGACGAGACAGAGAATGAGAGAAGAAGAAATGAGTGTCTGAACGATATGGCTGACTTGGAAAGACAGTTTAGCGACCTCAAAGAGCAGTTAGTATAAACAGAAGTTTTCATATAAATCTCATACTTTAATCCATTCTGTTAGGCGATATGCAATTTTCTTCTTCAATTTACCATTTTTGTTTTCAGGCTTTACCGAGAGCGTATTAGCCAAGTTGAAAAGAAGCTAAACGAAGTGACTGCAGGCAAGTGCAGAATGTAAATTTAATTTTCTCTAGGGTGGGCAGGGGTAGGCGGCTGTTAAGTCATTCAGTCCCCTGAACTTGCTTTCCCTGTGTGTGTGTGTGTGTGTGTGTGTGTGTGTGTTGGGGGGTGGGGGGGGTGGGTGGGTGAGTGGGGGGTGTTGTGGGTACTTAACAAAGATCTTTATGGGAAAGCTCCACCCCAACGTCCATCCCCTTACCAGGATTTTCAATAAGACCTGGCTGGCGGCAAATTCGCTATTCAATTTATCCTCTTGATTAGCCTTGACAATAACCACAAGATTTGGGCGGATATCTTCTATTATGTCAACAATAGATGCAATGATAGTATGCTTAACACTTAAATAAAGTTTTACTACTACTACTACTACTACTACTACTACTACTACTACCACTACTACTAATAATATTACTAATAAGTCAAAATCAATGGTGTCAATCATTTGGCTGGTTTGTAGTAGATATCCCTGCAGTTATGTTGGTTTATATGTCCCTCTGCTAGGAATTAAACTTTTTTCAATAACAAGCAGAGCTTGATTAATAATTCCTGTCATAATTTGTCTCTTATTACAGAATGTGCTATGGAGTATACAGGACCTGTAAATGAGCTAAAGGAAATGTGTGAGATAAGAATAGAAGTGGCAGGGATTTTGCGTGACTGCAGGGTAAGTTATAACTTACTTCCTTGTTCAAAACACAATTGACATTTCTCCTAGATAAGTTACATTAGTCATGTGAAGGCAGCTATTTTATCCTATTGTGCTGTCACCAAATCAGTATACTGCACTAGATACATGTAAATTTTAAATGCTGTGTTAAAATATTTTTACATTTTAACCCTTTAAGCCCCAATATCCACAAACAAATTCTCCAAACTGATTTCCGATCTCTATACATTTCCTTATTGAATTAGTTGGGAGAAATTGATAAAAGATCAGAGATTTTTCTCTTTGTGATCATTTGATTAATTCTCATAGATGTTGCACTTGACAATCTATGGATATTGTTAGGAGAAAATTGATGTTGGTCGCTATTGGGACTTGAAGGGTTAAATGGCATTGTTATGTTGTGGATCACTGAAATTTAGTGAACATACCCACTGTAGATAGAGATGGATTCTTTTCTCTGAAACATTGTGTTATTGATTTTTCTTTTTCAACAAGCTGTTTGAAATATTATTGTTGTTTCAGTTAGGGAATGTGAAACACAAATATGACGCAGATGAACAAGCAGCCATTCAGCACTTTGAGGTGAGTCAAGTTTACAAAATAAGTTTCATCAAGATCTCATGTTGCTCTCCTTTGTAGTGGTACACCATTCTAAAAAGCCCATGGTTGGGTACTGGTCCCTTTATGATGGAAACACTACACTAATAATTTAATGAGGTTCTCTGCAAAGAAAGTTCCCTCCTAATTACTTATCTATTTGCTTTCTTATTGCAGAGTGAAAAGCTGGCTCTAATGGAAAGTATGAAGCAAGAACTAGAGGAAAAAATAAGGAAGTTAGAAGAAGATAAACAAAATATGGACATATCAGCTGGTAATGTTATACATAACATTTGAAGGATTGCACTTGTATCCCTAATGATCAGAGTGGTTCTCAAATACCAACATGCTCACTTTCTTCTAGTTAATCACCGTCGAGATAGTTTAGAATAATAAAGTCAGCACACCTTTTTACACAACCCTATAAGTAGTTTGAAATAATTATTATTTGATGTTTTTTTTATAGATATATGGCTTGAGTCACAGTCACTGAACAAGAAACACAGAAAATCATCCGATGGATCAATGATTTCCGATAAAAGAAGGAAGCCGGTCACAGTTACAGATATCCTTTTTAACTCGTGGGTACGCGCAAGCGTACCACGAGTTATTGCAGGGACTGAGATATGCAAATGAGTCACTCACTCACTCGTAGTAGACGCACTTCGTAATTAATCGGGTCCGAACTCGAGAGCGCGAAGATCTATCGTTTCCAAAGAAGCACGCGCTCGCCGAAGTTCGGTAGCATCAAATTCCTCGCTGCGAGCGTGCATCATACGCTACAGCACGGTTAGGATAGAGGTCTTACAAAATTTAAGACAGGCAGGAATCTTTCAAATTTGTACGATTCAAAAGCCTTTGACCCGTCCAGGAGTTAAACTTGACAAGAAGATGAGCATTTGCTCTTCGACTCCTTCAACTTCGACGCTGGCTTGATCTCCTACCTTGTAGTAATGTAGTAGGTTATGTGAATGAATGAATTTTTGGCGGTCAGTATAAAACATGGACTGCGGACTACGGACTGCGGTCTGGGTATAAAATGCGGACTATAAAATACGGACTGGTGAAATGTATGGTAAAGAAAGGCACTTCTTCTTCTTCTTCTTCTTCTTCTTCTTCGAGATAAGGAAACATAAGCTAATGTTTTGCGTCCTACTTCGCGGAGGAGTTGTGTCGGCTTTGTATCGCATATGTTCTTTCGATTCATTGCCATGAAATGCGTTTACATTTTTATTGTTTTTTACTGTCAGTAGCCTGATTTCAATTAGCCTTAATTTCATCCCATTGCTTCGAGTCGTTTTTATGGCTCGATCGTTTGCCGGCGGAAGTTCCATGGAAAAGGCATTAAATCTGAGACTTTTCGCTAAATCACGTGACCATCCTCAATGGCGTAGTGGCTGTGTGAAGTCGGGTCAAACCGAAGGTACCGGGTTCAAATCCTGCTAAGACCTTCTTTTTCCCTTCTTCCTTTTTTTTTTTTCTTTTTTGTTTTGTCTTGTTTGCTTATCTTGTTTTGCTGTTTTTTTTTGTTTTGTTTTTAAATATATACTTAAATAACTGTTACTAAAGTGCAATAAACAGCAAAAAAAGTATTGTGTTTCCAGAACAAGGATAGTATATTTATAATGGGTTATTCCAGAAAAAATCCACACCCCCCCGACGGATGGGGTCCTTTTTTAACCCCCCCTCTCACCTGGATTTCCTGAAGCACAAGACCCCCCCTCCCAACTGGATTTCCAAGGTGGAAGACCCCCCCCCCCTTCCGCCTGGATTTCCGGGAAAAAATAAAAGGCTTAAATTTAATTTATTTTTAATGGAAAATACACGCAAACACGTCTAAATGTTTTTGTTTTAATTTCTAAAGCTTCAGCTTATATTAAACTAAGAATTCTATCGCGTGGAACTAAAAGCGAAAGGAGCAAAAAAACAAAAATGCGAACGACACCTGAACGCAGTGTTTACATAATTTCTTAGCTTATAAAAATCACTCTTCGCTCTTGGCTCTTGGGGCTTTGGGCACGCAGTAGAAATGTGTCAGGCGTTTGACGCTCTTCGTGACAACAACGTTGCGACGAGTTCCTTCAGGCCCGTTCTTTAGTATCTTGTTCACGTTTTCTGCTATAAAAGGACCTGTAAAGCAACTTAGATTATCATTTATGTCAGGTGAGAAATATATGAACAAAACATTTTGACTATTTTCAGGGTCTGAAAGCTCTTAAGTGTCATCGAACTAAACGTTTGATTTGTATCAACTATCGGTCGAAATGACCCCTGCAGAAGACTTTTTTAAGGTCAACCCCCCCTCCCGCCTGGATTTCCGGAGTCTTTGACCCCCCCTCCCACGAGAATTTCCAGAATCCCATCCGTCGGGGGGGTGTGGATTTTTTCTGGAACAACCCAATATGAATTTCTATCATTTCCTAAAATTCACTGTGGGAAAACCAGAGGTGATAGCTAATTGATTACTTTCTAAACAACGTACCCACGAGTTGACGATAGTCTTTCTTTGATTCTATAATATTTGCTGTTTATTCCTTGAAGTTACTGTATAATATGCACATCTGTTCCTTACCATTTACTACACTCCAAATGACATTGTTTTCTGAGGTATGAAACTGATACATGTAGGTTGGTCCCAAATCTTTTATGCAAGACACACTGTGCATACTACATGATGTACTATATTCCCGACTTCTCTTTGTGCAGCTCCCTGGTGTTGTCAGCTTTCAGGTTGTGACATGTGATAAACAAAAAAAAAGAGTATGTGGTAACATATTTCCTTGACCATGTGTAAGTCCATATATTGTTTATATGTTAAGAGAAATGGACATTCTTGAAGACTGGGCAGCTATCAGAAAGGTATATGTGTAGTTGCATCAATTTAATCACCAGTTTTAGGTTTAAAAAACTAAAATTAATTACAAACAATTTCTTTGTTTTTACTTCTCCATAGGCCAAAGGAGCTTTGGCAAGAAGAAGGCAAAATAGTGAGACATTGTTAAATTATTGGTTCAAATGTCATAGCTGTTCCGTCTTCAATCTTGCCAAGAAAAAATTGTTGGAAATTGTGCTGGAGGGGGTGATTCAAACCCAAGCCTTGGGACCCTTTTGTCCCCCTATATGATCACTGGGATGAAACTGTAACACAGTTAATCCTATGTTCTCCTTTCTTGTTTTAGCTCTCTCATTTCCCTAAATACTATAATGGTATTATTATTATTTATAGTGTTATAATTTTTCTTTTGTTTTTGTGTCTGCAGGTGGTTGCCAATTAGAGAATAGTCCGTTTAGTGCAAGATATGAAGATGGAAAACTGTATTATGAAGGAGAGTGGTATGTGGCCTAAAGTGAACTGTTATTTACCAAGAGCTGAATGCATAATTTTAGTCGAGCTTAATAATAATTATTAGTGTCAGCAATGTCTTTCTAGTCTTTCAAAATAAGAGACTGAGTACAATATATCACTGCAAAATAGAGAAAATGCATTAATCTAGAGTGTTTTGTTTCACTTTTGTCTCGAAAGGTTCCACAAAGGTGATCATATACTGATAGAAAGCAGAAATGATACCCACTCCAGGTTTGTAAGAAATTAAATGTTACTATCTTATCAGCTGTGAGTCAGCTGTGGAAAGTCTTTTCTTCATTTTTACTTGTTAGCAGTTTCAAGTACAATATTTGCTGTTGTCATTGTTACTGATTAGTTAAGACAAAGTATAGCTAAGAAGGTTTATTGAACAGAACTTCATTTTTATCAAATTTACATTTTTTTGATGAGCCTCTATCTTTATTTCCTGTTTTGATTTGCTGCAACTTGAGATCATATTAGTTGAGTAAACTGCAGTACTTTCTGTGCTTGTTGCAGAATTTTTTTGTGCATGTACTTGACAATGTAATAATATTTATAAATTCATTTTTTTTCAGGTTTGGGTAATCTTTATTCCACGATAATTATTATAAATTCTGTTTTGAAATTTTAAGAGTTCTGGGTAAAGATTCTTGCAGTTTTCCTAGACTGGTATCATCACACTTGTCAAAAACATAAATTATTTTATGAACATTTTTATTATATTTCAGTGCTTTTGTAACTGGAATCAACACTGGTGAGGTAGGTTTTTTTTCCCTTTGTTTGTCACTCAGTAACAATGTGCTGGTGTAGTCAGTAGGTGATTCAAATTTAATGCATCAGTCAATTGTTGCTTTTGAGTAATATTGGACATACACACACTAGTTATGTTCCTGTTATCATTGATGACATATAAACTGATAAAGGGAGAGTCAATTTATATCTTCACTTTTAAATAATGGACTAGTCTGGGACTGACTGTCCGACTGAAACATTTTGATTCACTTTTTTTCAGGTTTGGGTAAGAAAAGGAGATGGATCTAAAACAAAGTTGTATATAGGCCAGCTACAGAAGGGAAAATACAAGATCAGAAAGACATGAAAATAAAAGATCGTAGAGACTTGAAACCTACTGATTACGACAGTTAACTTGGACTAATGACTGTATAGTACCATACAGTAGGATGTAAATTTATTTTGGAATGACCCTTGTCACATGACTGGTTAATAATTCCAACTAGCGAAAGACAGACATTCAAGCATGGCAAGCCTTTGAATTCTGGTCTGTTGTTACCCATAGATCTTAAGTCCACTGCCCTAAATTAAACTACTAGTAGATTGTCAATATATTCTGCACACAATTTTAACCAATGAGTACCCGTGATCAATCGATCAGTTTTGTGTTTAACTGAAGATTTGAGTTATTGGCTTACTGGAGCTCTGACTTACACTTTTACTATTTTGTGAAATATTTAAAGAAAATTATAAACTGTCCAGTTCTCTATTGTTTCTTTCAGTTGTGTTAGTAACTAAACCCTCATGGGGCAGATGTTTATAGTTCTATTTATTGATCAGAATATTGCTCCAGCATGATCTGCTATCAGTTATTATAGGATTAATCTGTTCTAATAATCAGATTGTTTGGTTCAAAGTACCCTGTTACAGGGAATTTGTGTTCTTAAAATTTACAATTTTTTTAGACACCTGAAATGGGTACATTGTTGGTGATGATGTTGCTGTGATCATCAAAACAGCGCACCTTACTAACAGTAGTTTCTCTAATGGGTTATTCCAGAAAAAATCCACACCCCCCCGACGGATGGGGTCCTTTTTTAACCCCCCCTCTCACCTGGATTTCCTGAAGCACAAGACCCCCCCTCCCAACTGGATTTCCAAGGTGGAAGACCCCCCCTCCCGCCTGGATTTCCGGGAAAAAATAAAAGGCTTAAATTTAATTTATTTTTAATGGAAAATACACGCAAACACGTCTAAATGTTTTTGTTTTAATTTCTAAAGCTTCAGCTTATATTAAACTACGAATTCTATCGCATGGAACTGAAAACGAAAGGAGCAAAAAACAAAAATGCGAACGACACCTGAACGAGTGTTTACATAATTTCTTAGCTTATAAAAATCACTCTTCGCGCGCGGGCTCTGGGTACGAGTAGAAATGTGTCAGGCGTTTGACGCTCTTCGTGACAACAACGTTGCGACGAGTTCCTTCTATGAAGCAGTTTTCATATCAAAAATACTATTCACTGTGCAGATTCAATTATGTCTTCTTGTCATTCAATTATGTCCGTTTGTCATTCAATTATGTCTTATTGTCATTCAATTATGTCCGTTTGTCTTTTAATTATGTCTTCTTGTCATTTAATTACTATATCTCATCAAGATTCAATTATGTCTTCTTTTCATTCGATTTTGGTCGCTTGTTATTTAATTATGTCTGCTTAACATTCAATTAATCTGTAAATTACTATGTCTACTTGTCATGCTATTATATCCAATTATCATTTAATTATCACATTTTGTCATTAAATTTGCCTTTTTGTTGACTGTTTGTCCTTCATTCAATGGGGTCGTTCCATCGGCGTTCCATATGGACTGATCACTTGAAAACGAGAAGAGTCTGGGACTAGAAATCAAGCTTGATAGATCACACAAGATGGCGGCAAGTTGGACGTGTGTTGTGAAAGAGAGGATCCAATGCGGACTACTTGAGATCATACAGAAGTTAAATACTAGACATTTACAGTACCATGAAGCAGATTATCTGTATTATAAGCTAGATAGATTGGAAACCATCTTGTCTCAGTATGCCCAGCTTGCGAACATCGACGACCGTGTATTCTGCTGTATTTCAGAGGTCAAGTATCTGATAAGGAATGAAATACAGAGAAACGAAGGAAATGGCGATGGTTTTCAGTGCGAAATGGTATTTAGTGGAGATCGAGGGCGTCCACGCTATAATATAACCGAAGAACAACTGGAGTATTTCCTCGATTTTGGTTTTACAGCAACAGAGATATCTGCTATGTTAGGCGTCAGCGAACCAACAGTCAGAAGACGCCTCCAAGAATTTGGGTTAAGTAGTAGGAACCTTACAAACATTTCAGATGATGCACTTGATAGGATTGTAAGACAAATTAAGGAAGACTTTCAACAAAGTGGGTACAGGGTGATACGAGGAATTTTGCGTGCCAGGGGGTATCACATAGCAGAACGCCGTATAATGGAATGTCTGAGACGAGTCGATTTAGAAGGTGTTATTTTACGCTCTTTGCAGCTTCAAATAGTTCATCGAAGGGAGTACAAAGTGTATGGGCCGAATGCTCTGTGGCATATCGATACGAATCATAAGTTGATAAGGCAAGTTTTAAAGAAATCTCCTGGAGGATGTTCCTTGGAATTCTTGGTGAAGGGTGTGCCGCCCGGTTCCCCAAATCCAAACCCTACATGTATTTCAGAGCCAAAAAATGTCAGTTTCGGTTTCTACACCCGTTTTCAGACATGGCCTCTGAAATCCATAGCCTTTTTTTCGGCCGACATTATGTCTTCAGTACTTAATTTAGAACAACAACACAAAGATTTCTTACAATCCATATTCACGTATTCGAATTTGCAGTCTTTCTTTCTTAGTCATTTCGAATTGAAACAACAAAGACATTCATACATGCCTTTAGTTCCCTTTGAACCCCTTCCTGATTCCAGACCAAAATAGGAATAGTGCATACCCGTTTTCAAACCAAAATTGGCTCAAAAACTCTGGGGCAGCACATACCTTTAAGGCTTATATTTAACAATTATTCCTTGAGTCTGAATGGGCTGTTTAACAATTATTCCTCGAGCCCGAATGGGTTATTGATAAAGAGGCAATGAGGGCCAGAGGAAAATTGTTTTAAAAAAAAAAAAAAAAAACAAGTTGGTAAAAAATATTGAGACAAAACAACTTTAGCTAGTTAAAGCTAGATAGCTTTAACAATAGAAAACAATAATAAGATGAGAGAATAAGAAAACAATAATTGTTGAGCTAATTAGCACCTGCATGAAGCACGAAATTTAAGTTATGAAAACAAAATAATTCATATTTATCATGAGACAATAGTTTTGGTGTGTGTAGTTTCAAATGTAACATAATTCACACCTGAACTACCCTTCACTATGAAGCAGATCCTTGTCCCTAATATACCACTTAACACGCCAACATTTTTGATACTTATAGATAACCGTGACAACTTAGTCAGCAGCAGTGCACAGGGAAGAGATCTGTCAAACCATACGAATCGCAAAGTCACTTCCCCTTTCCTCTTTACAATCTTCCACTTTGCCAGCACCAAGTAAGACACATCACATGAAATTGAGGCAACACATTTAAATTCACTCTTTCTGGGCAGTGTTAACATTCCTATTTCCTGGGAAAGAAAAGGGGTTAAATGCCATGGTAAGGCTTCAATTTGATCAGTACACTATTATCACCATAATGTGTTGATTTTGATGTTTAATCATACTCAAAATTTTCAGATGGAGGCTAATAATACATGGTGGCATAGATGGCTTTTCTCGTGCAGTAGTTTACCTGGCTTGTCACAACAATAACCGAGCTGAAACTGCTCTCAGTGAATTTCTCAAAGCTGTTGATAATTTTGGTGTACCCAGTCGAGTGAGGACAGACCAGGGAGTGGAAAATGTTGATATTGCCAGGTACATGTTGACCCACCCTGAGAGGGGTGAGGGACGTGGCAGTCACATCACTGGTAAGAGTGTACACAACCAGCGAATTGAAAGATTGTGGAGGGATGTGTATCATGCATGCCTATTTAAGTACCATGCTCTATTCAGGTTCATGGAGGACATTGGTGTACTTGATGTTGAAGATGAGGTCCACTTGTTTTGTCTTCACTATGTCTTTATTCCACGGATCAGAAATCACCTTTCAGAGTTTGCCAGGGGATGGAATAATCATGGAATGTCAACAGAAAGAAATAAGACACCAATGCAAATTTGGGTACAGGGGATGTTCAACTTGTCAAACAGCAACCACAGATCTGCGAGGGAGTTCTGGGAGCCAAGAGCAAATGTAAGTCTGCAGCTGCTGCATTATTGTTGACCTTGTATTGTTCTTCAAAATTATATATGGAACATTAATGCAGAAATTATATTAATTCCTATCTATGATGTTCCAATAATACCATAGTTACCTTTATACCTGTACTTCCATTTTTCTAGCCACTTATTGATATGAATAAAGACAGTAGAGATTTGGTGAAAAAATTGGGAGGGAGGGGGGGGGTCATCGCTGGATGAATGTGCCAATGTGGTATTTCAAACCCCATTACCTTGAACGATTGTATTTTTCACTACAGGAAGAGTTCAATGCCTATGGAGTAGACTGGAATGGACCTGTGCCTTCTCTTGAGTTTGGAAGTTTACTAGACAATGATGTGGAAGGAATAGAAGTGCCTGACATTATGGTTCCATTCTCACTGCAGACAGTGTCAACCACTTTGAATAGGATCAACCCATTGGGGAGAAGTAATAACTATGGCATAGATTTATATCAAATGGCATTGAGTTTGCTCAGAAATAGAGGCAATATTTGAATCCTTCCTCCTTGACATTCAGTTAGTTTTATCTGCCTATTTTGTGAAAACTTTGCACCATGAAAAGTATTAACAAAGTCAAAGTCATTTTTTGTGACACCACGCCTTGTGAAAGAAAACGTGATCATTTTATTCAATCATCATTAAGAGAAAAGGCTGTTAATTTTTAAGCAAGCACTCCTACCACTGTACCACTGCAAATGGCTCAATCATTATAAATCATTACAGAAATAGGATATGCAACTTTGAACTTTTTGCATAATCAAAAGAAACTTCAACTTTACATGAAGCAATTTTACATGTTGGGTGGACCATATAACCAAACAGTACTACTTAAAAGATGCTGTTTTCATAAACAGCTAGGTCATTTTCAGCTGGTACATGTACATACACCATGGTCAATCAAATCAAACCCCCATGTCAAAAGTTAATTGGGAAAGCTATGTGGGAAGAATGAAACAACACAAATTACTTGCAGGAAAATGAAATTTATGTCCTACTTTTCTGGTGGTACTATTCTAACATTGCCACAATAAAACCCTTTGTTTTGTGCTGCAACAGATTATCTTAAGCTACTTTAGTGTTTAAGACATATTTTGGTTGGAAAAGGAAAACCCTTTGCATTCTATACATTCTTAGGAATCCGTGTATAACAACAATAGGGAACTTAAGCAAAGACGTTTTTGAGCGACGCATGTCGACCGGAAGTGAGGCCTTCTCTCTTCTCATATGCCCGGATGCTAACAAATTTGTATTGCTAAGTTTTTTTTCGCTTATAAAACGATTTACCCAAGAGTTTCAACAGAACCACTGCCCAATGGTGCAAAAAGGCCACTTTCGGTTGACGTCCGTCGCTCAAAAACGCTGTTGCGTTTTAAAATCTGTAAAATCTGAACAGACCAAGCCGATAAAACACGCAACTGACGATAAAAACACGCAACTAACGACGGCATACAGTCCAAGATGTTGACATAGACAATGATGCTGAATAGATAAAATAACGACCATAGGAAATCAGCATCTACCAAATCCTTTGTGTTGAAAGTTTAAAACTATATCCAAACTTTTTGTAAAATCCTTTTTCATCTTGTGATCAATTGGAAGGCTGATGGTTCCTGTGCATGCATCAGCATCAGGCAAGCTCTTTCCAGGTCGGTTAAACTTAACATAAACTGGTTGTGGCGGCATGGTTGGTTCTCCAAACACAAACTGTACAAACTTCTCAATGGTTGATGAATCTGATTCTGGGAAGGAAGAATACATGTTTAAACAAAATGTTCTTTATGGCCTACCTCTAGTTATTGCAACTGTGTTTTGTTTGCTATTTGTTTTTTATTTTTAATATGGCTTTATTGTAAACTCGGTAATCTCATTCACTGGCACAGTAAACCCACTTTTGCATTTGAATTTCAGTATGAAAATCATTGCTTGAGGTACAGTTGACTCCCGGTAACTCGAACCCTCTCTAACTCGAACCTCCCGTTAACTCGAAGCAATTTTCATTTCCCTTCAGAACATTTTCTATATAATTTTACCCTTGATAACTCAAACTTTTTTCTGTTTCCCTTGAAGGTTCGAATTATCAGGAGTTGACTGTAAAGGGAAATCTGTATTGCTTGGAAGATAGAACAAGCCCAATCGAATACTATGTTTTCTCATAACTTGAATATCTGAATAATTTAAGTTTTCAATATTTAAATTAATTTTTTTGCAGGTCTTTATGTTCGGTTTAGTTAAGTCTTTCTTTTCAGTATCAAGTTGATTGCACCTGGGATGTACAGTCAACTCCCTATTATTACAGTCACCTCCATGGGACAAAAACTGCCTGTAAAGAAAACACACACTTAGAGTAAAATTATTGGTCCCTGCCTTTCTGTATGTCTTTCCTTGGCTGTAAATTGACACAATAAGTGACCATCCCAATAATAGAACTGACTATATCAACAAAATTATCCGCAGGAAAGCTCAGAGTTGCAAGCGTTTTTGAAAGAAATGACAGAATTTCCAAACAAGAAAAAATGAGATTGTAAACGTGAAAATTATACTGTTATTAGCAGATATCATAATCCACCACTTTTTCCTGACATGTTTATAACACCTTTGTAGTACCTGTGTCAGATGGAAGATTACCAACATACTCCTTACACCAGTTTAGGATTGTTTCTTGTTGTTCATTCAATTCTCCCACTGAAGGGTCACACTTGAGGCTTCTCACCACCAAATCAGATTGAAGTTTTACATCTGCAGCTGTGGCAAAAATGGTCTTCCAAAGTGCAGGGTGATCTTTCAGAAAGGAAGTAATAGATGCTGTCTGCAGACCTCTCCTGATTTCCTGTATAGGATCTTTCTTATACATCAGTACTTGGTGGACCAGTACTCTCTGGCATGCCTGCTGTGAATTCTGTTTGTTCAACAGCTTGTTCACAAAACCACATTGAATCAACAGGTTACTAACCCCTTCATCTGCATTCAGGTTCTGAAAGTCCTCATCTTTTGATGCCCTTGCAATCTAACAAAAAGGTCACACTTATCATAAATTATGGTCTGGCAACAGAAATCATTGTAAAATAGCCCAGTAGAAAATACACACGAGAGTATACAATAATGATAATTATTATTGTATATGCTCATGTGCATTTTCTAGTTCATAAATGGAATAAAGAGTTCACTGGATAAAATGCAGTGTAAAATGAATTTCAAGCTAGCACTTCAGATGTACTACCGGATCACTAATGCTTTTAACATTACCTTTTTGAGAACATCTCTAACTTCAGGATCAGGGATATCCTCAACTGCCAGAAATGGAATACTTTCATCAATGTCATCTGTGATAATGTAGTGGGCAACTGCTTGAGACATACCAACAAATGGGTATCCCCCATGGAGAAAGGATTGTGCTAATGCCTGACCAACAAAGAAATAGAAGCCAGAATCTAGGCAATCAACGTCATACAAAGGGGAAAGATGGCCTGGCTGTCCCTCAAACAAAACGGTTGTACCATCACCTCCTCTAATCTTTGACATCAATAAGTACAGATATTCACGGGTCAGTCCAGATGCATCCATTCCATCCTCTCCTTCAAATTCCACATCTGGTGCTTTCTTCACATCAATGCCTTTCTTGAACAACTTAAAGACCTCTCTAATAAAATGAGGGGAATCTCGATTTATCCTTATTGTTTGGTAGGGCAGTTTCATTATTGTGGCTTGCCGGAAAGTTTCCAAGGCTTCACTTGGGTCTAAGTCCTTTAACATTACACTGTTCTGGTAAATTGTGTCTAGGAAAGAACACATGTGTAACTGTTAAATGAGGCACATGAAAAGGCTATACATACTAGCCTATTAAACCAAACTACTTGAAGTTGACTTGTTTACAAAGAAATTTTGAAGCTAATACTCCAATTCCCATCCATTTTTTCTTTTTCAAATATTTCTGCCATTAAAATTTATCTGATTTCTTAACACTGCTTAGATAACGATATAGAGTGACACAAATTTTCAGGATACACACCACAATTTGAGGTTGGTCAGTCACCCTGAATATCACTGAATGTGGTCTAAAAACATAGGTGTTACAGCAAGGAGCCTTAAAGTGTGACCACTTTTGAATTATTCATATTCTTTTGTACAGATATATATTCCGATCAGAAGCAAGCTGGAAACTGTCCTAGACTTCTAAATGGGTAATTTTGTACAAAAAAAATGTGAGTTAATGAAAGGTAATTGACCACTCCAGAAATACCATACCATACCATAATGCTCTTTGTTTAAGACCCCAAAATTTTGCATAAGCATTGTTTTCAGTTTCTCTTGGGGCCATTTTAACTCCCAAGAGAAACTGAAGACAATGCTTATGCAAAATTTTGGGTGACAAACAAAGAGCATTTAATGGTGTGTTATGGTATTTTCTTGAGTGGTCAATTACACTTTTGGGCTCCTTGCCGTAATAAAAGAATTGATGTATTTATATTTAAAAAGTCACTAATAATTCATAAAAAATAATGTTTAACAAGTGTCTTTATATCTGATAAAGACACGGCTAAACTTTACCCCAGTTTTTAGACCAAATTTAACCCCAAATCTAAATATTAGTTAAAAAATAAACAGTAAATTTATGTACTAAGTTGCAAAAATGTATAGACGTAATTACTTTGTTGTTCAAGCATCCAGTCTAAAGTCTCTTCAACAGAACTCGTAGCAAGGAGTTTCTTCCTGACATCTTGTTCATTGGCATCGGGGATCACATCCAATATTTCACCAAGCATTTCATCAAAGTTCTGTGGATAAAAAGATGACATTGAGAGTAACATTTTACGTGAAAACCACTGTTGAGAGTGAAAGAATATTGTGTTTTTGGTGAATACTTTTTCTACTCCATTTCAAATCTCATCTCAAGTTATTATAAGCAACTCACCTTTATAGGTACTGCTGCTGAAGAGAATTCACCAGTTGGCTGCGTGGTGTTTCTAATTAAAAACCCATTAATAGTAGAATATAACTAAGTAATGTAAGATCACAAAAACTGACTTGTTGCACTTAGCCTTAAATTAAATCCAAAAAAATGTCAGAACTTAGTATTTTGATTTCAAAAGAATGTTTTTTTTTGCCTTTTATTAGCAAGTGGAGGTACATTTGTATATTAATGTGTCTTTGATTCTCATTTCTTTCCACAGAGGTACTGTTATTTTTATCAATATTATTTGTAAGCAGAACAAGTTTCCAAAAGATAAATCTTTACTACAATAAAATTTTAATATTAAGACAACATTACAGATGTGTGAAAAGTTATGCCTAATGGAATCAACTGAATCATAACGTCTTTAAAAGGTGACTTATCAAACTACCCTAAAAACTCGCAGATAAGCCGCATGCCAAGTTTAGCAACTCAAATTTGGGAAAAAAATTTTTAAGACAAAAACTCAAAAGAAATCCAAAAGTCTAGTCTAAGAAGTCTTCTGTCTTCATCCAAGGTAAACTCGCCAACAATGAAACCATAATTTTGGCTCTTTAGTAGAACAAACATCATGTCCACCACTTATGACATATGATTGATATTATTCATTATTCTAGTATTTGTTAACAGGTATTATTTCTCCATTCAAGACAGTTTTTCCATAGAATTTTGCTGTTTTGTTGCGTGGACTGTTTGAAGCTTAGTGCTCAGGCATAATAACTGGACACCTGGTCACCTATGATTTTGATCGAAAATTTTTGCAAAAAAGGTGGGGCTTATCTGCCAGTCTTTACAGTACTTCTTTCCAATCAATAATTTATTATATTTTAAATAGCTTGTATTCATTATTCATTCTAACTTGTCTTGTAACTGACAAGCCTTTTAAGGGAGTTGAAATAAGGTATGTTTATACGAATGTAAATTCATATTAGGTATTCTGTAAACTATAAATAAAAACTTGTGAATGTTATTATGTTGCCAGGAAAAAGCCAATCTGGCTAAATCTAAATCTGTAAACGGCAGTATTGGCATTGGAAAACAACTTAAAAAAACATTAACCCTTAATTTATGGGATATACTGAAAACATTAATTAAATATAATAATAAAGCATGAGTAACTAAAGGAAGAGTTTTTTTAGGCAAACCTCTCCTCTGTGCTTGACTTTTGGACCATTGGGGTATGTACATAATTATCCCTATCATCCCTCGACTCCTGTGGAAAAAAAAGCACAGCCCTATCACTATGCATGTATATCGGTTTCTCTATTAGCTATAACTGAATGACTTTGACTCAAGTAACAATTCAACAATGGATCGTTGTATCTTACAAGTACTTCACTTATTCAAAACTTAAATTCAAGTGGAAATATATCAATTAAAAAAACCAATGAGTAGAGAAAAAAGTTTCCATTCACCACAGGCTACAAATTAAAAAACTTGTGTGGGACACAACCCTGATATAACAATCTTAGATATCACGATATGCATTTTACATACACTAAATCTCTTTAGGTTTTGATTAAGACAAGAATACACTACAGGTACAAAAAAATATGGTAAATATAGAGAATACTGTACTCATAAACCTAAGCGACACTAGATAGAAGAGTATCCATTTTACATGTTCATAAAGCAAATTTAATCTCACATTCCATCCATTACACACCTCACATCTGTCCCCTGTCTCCTTGGATGACCCTCCCTCACAGATCATCTGATGGTCTTGCCATAACGTCAGGGGCACATCATCTTTACAATTTATGCAAATTACCTTGGGGGCATTTTGTTAGTTACTAACAGCAGTGCTTTTCTGAATGTACAACAAATATAAAAATTAACACCAAAAAAGATTCAACTTTATTCCCCTGATTTGAAAGACAATTGACCAAGTGATCCAGACTCACCACTTCACAATTAAACAGAGTTTCCTTGAAGCTAGGGGAGGGGGTTGACATGCAAAATTTTCATGTCTCAAGTTACATCCTGTATCTGGTTCTGACTGGCATAAAATAGGGCAGAATTCCATAATATTTCCATGTGTTCAAATAAGTCAAGGGGCTATTATTTGTCGAAGTTCTCTTGAAAGGAGATTACAGGCCTTCTAGTGCTGTTGTTAGATTCTGCAACTCTTAAGTTCCAATGTACAAAAACTAACCAACAAAAACTAACCTACCTGTACGGGAAGTGGACTACGATCTAAGTCTTTTTGCAGGGCCGCACATAACCAATGGCCTGTCCAAGACAATCTTTAAGATACGGAATGTCGTAGCCCATGGTTGGAATGGGAATTAAATCTAGGCTTCGTCTCGCTCCAGAAGATCTTAACAATTGAAACCCTCCTCCTTCGCTTAGTTTTGGAAATTCTTTCAACAAAGAAGACTGCAACTGTTGGTAGCCTCCGTACTTTTCGAAAGTAATTTTTTTTTTCGCCGAGACCTGCTTCTTTTTAAAATTACTTTCTCCTCTCTTGAAGGCACCGCCAACTGGTCTGATTCACACAGGCAGATAAACGTGTGAGTCCAGGTTTCCTTTGGTCTAAAACTTTTTTGGGCCCACTTGAGGAAGCACTTGGTCGAAATCGCTTAAAGGGTTGACGGGAACTAACTTTACCGGCAGATGCGCCCTGACTGTAAAACGGAAAAAGACGCGCCATTTCTTGTAATTTCCCCTTTCAGTAAAAGGGGCAGGAACTTGAACTGAAGCTGCAGATCGATGCGCTGGATGATCTGGATGTTGCGCTGGATCTGCATGATGCGCTGGATGTTGCGCTGGATCTGGATGATGCGCTGGATGTTGCGGATGATCTGTCGCCGTGCATGGTGCCCTCAAGATATCAACCGCTTCATTAAGCAATGTTAATGCACGTTGATAATGTTGTTTTCCGTCATCTTCAATTTCCTTCGACGCCATTTTTTGCAAGAAAGGCGCGTAGGAGCGCGTCAGTCAGTGATCAGCGGTGCTTTTGCGGGCTCAGGTACAAGTGGGCTACAAGCGGTCAATCGATATTGAATCGATATTGAATAATTGAATGGCAACAAGCCATAATTCAATGAAGTTCGTAAAGTAAGAAATTGTATGACAAACAGATCAATTACTAAATGACCAGGGAGAATTTAATGGCAAAAAGCAGTAATTGAAAGATAGTTTCGAACACAATTGAATGTCAAGCAGTCATGATGAGATATAGTAATTGAATTACAACAAGACATAATTGAATGACAACCGGACATAAATGAATGACAAGAAGACATAATTGAATGACAAACGGACATAATTGAAAGACAAACCGACATAATTGAATGACAATAAGACATAATTGAATCTGCACAGTGAATAGTATTTTTGATATGAAAACTGCTTCATATCCTTCAGGCCCGTTCTTTAGTATCTTTTTCGCGTTTTCTGCTATAAAAGGACCTGTAAAGCAACTTAGATTATCATTTATGTCAGGTGAGAAATATATGAACAAAACATTTTGACTATTTTCAGGGTCTGAAAGCGCTTAAGTGTCATCGAACTAAACGTTTGATTTGTATCAACTATCGGTCGAAATGACCCCTGCAGAAGACTTTTTTAAGGTCAACCCCCCCCTCCCGCCTGGATTTCCGGAGTCTTCGACCCCCCCTCCCGCAAGAATTTCCAGAATCCCATCCGTCGGGGGGGTGTGGATTTTTTCTGGAACAACCCAATACGTAGAATGGTTCATTATAGACTCAATTAGCACCAAAAGCATGGATTCACACTTGCTTTGCATGTGAGCCTCTCAAGCTTTAAGGGCCATCCAATTTTCACCCTCAATCCTGATGGAAACTCACATTCTTGACCGATTACCCAAAAGTACTGTACTGGAAATAACTGTATGGGCACATGAAATAAGGTCCTTGAAGGCTTTTTATCTATCAATGTGAAATTCCTGCTTATTTTCGCCACTACATGATTGCAAGGCTATCAAAAAAACTTTTTGTCAAAACTCACAAGTCACTCCTACAGTAAATAATTTTTATTAACAAGATTGTCGGAGGTTGTGTATTATTCTGTTTAAAGTACTTGCTACTTGCTATGAAAACTGTTGTTGTAGTCATGTGCTTCCAATAAACATTTTTGTAATAACCTGTTGACAATGTTTGCTTTCTTTCTTCACTGGGCTTGATGTTAATAATTAAGTAATTCATGCATGAACTATCTTATTCTTACTTGTTTTTAGGAGTACTAATTTTTTCAATAATTATTACCGGTACATTAATTATTACATCTATTGGGCCATCAAACACAAAAAAACAAAAGTTCAAGCTTTTAACAACAGAAATGAAGTATTTGTCAATGACTTTCTCAAACAAAATAATTTAGAATTCATACCTAGAAATTAATTCAAGCCGTAAAAGTTCAGATATGGCAGGCATAGAATATTTTTACTTAAAAAAAATCTGATGAAAGAGATAAATCACAAAACTTTATCCCAAAATACAATTGATAAACCTGCCTATAGAAAAAACTAATAAATAAGTTTCTTAATATAAATCTAATGGAGCAAATGTAGCTATCATTGTTCATTGTTGTTGTCACTCTCTTCACTTGAGGAGTCTGTGTCTACATAACATGTCGGCTTTTGGTGGTTTGGATTAACAAACAGATCATTGTCATCCTCAGAATTCTCCTCATCATCATCATCACTCATATCTTCTTTGGCCCTCCTATGCACATTGCTACCAAAAAAAAAAAAAAGTTGAATCATAACAAGTCAATTAAGTTGGGCGAGTCAATATATATCGTATCATCTTCTGAATTCAAAATATCAAAAAGTAATTTGCGGAGTGTTTTTTTGAATTTGTTCTTAAGGAGATGACAGTCGGATGTGACATAATCAGTACTGTGTAAAAGTAACTTTGTGAGTTTCTGCTATTCTGTCGGGAAATTAATGTCATAATAATAATAATTAAAATACTTCTTAAAAATAATAATCATTATTTTGGGATCAAATAATTGATAAGTTTCATTTTCACCAATATGAACCAAGATAACATCATACATCTCACATCATACACTGAATAGAGTAAGCATTACCTTGACCCTTTAGTGAAGAATGCAGTGATCATTAATTTTGAACCAATTTACTTCAAGAGCAGCATTACTGATTATTGGTACAGTAAGAATTAAAACCAACTGTGCAAACTTATATTATTTTCTAAAAATGAGCTCTTCCAGGAAGAAAAGTGTTGATATTGATACTGACAGCTCATTACTTAAGTAATCACCATTTTTACCTGCTTTCTTGCTTAACATGTGGTTTTTCATCAGCAGGGGATTTTTCTGCGAACGTCTCAGGCCTTAAAAATGGAATAATTAATCTATTTTAGGGTGGTAGTGAGATACCAACAGGGGGTTGGGGTCTACCTTACATTATTATCTTCTAATTTATTCAATTTATTATTACTACTACAAAACATACCTGATGAGAAAGGAAATTTTTATTATTGTGATTGAAAAGGATGGTTTTTAGTTACCAGTACAAAATTAAAGAAGTATGTAATAATCATTTAATCACTTATGGCTGATTTCACCAAGTTGCCAGGTATATCTCACCTAATTGTTATTTTTCCATTGTTTTTGGGTATGGTAATATATGCTAGTGAATTTAAAACAAAGGAAAAACAAAAATAACCTGAGATAAAAAATTAACTGCAACATATATGCAGGATATTGAACAGCTTGAAAGTTCTTTATGTTGTATTTTCTTTTTGTTTCCTCTCAAAAGAGTTAGGAGAAATCTCAGTCCTGGGCCTGGCTGTTAGTGACAGCTCTGTAGAATATCGTGTAAACACTTGGTAATTCAGACTTTTTCTCTTACCACAAGCCTTCACTTTTCAGATACTTTATTTGCTTGCTGTAGAGAATATAAACAATCTCAGCGCAGACTTTGTTTCCTTCCTCTATTGGATCAACAATGACAAAATCTCCTGGAAAGCAACATTTAAAAAAAGATGTTAGTCACAGCTCAGACTCTATAATACAGTCAGCTCTCTCTAAGACGGACACCTTTGGGACCGGCACTAAGTGTCCGTCTTAGAGAGGTGTCTGTCTTATAGAGAGTCAAATAAAGAGAGTAAAGAAAGGCAGGGACCAACTCTAGGTGTCTGTTTTACAGAGGTGTCCGTTAAGAGAGAGAGTCGACTGTACCCCTGTTTTAAGCAGAAGTGAAGCAATTGCACTTGTTTAATTGAGCTACAATGACAACAGCTATTTTCTTTGATGGATGATTGTGACACTAAAAATTTCACACCCTTTGTAATGTTTGTGTTTAATGATTACACCATACCTCGTTTAATCCAGACACTTTTTCTAAATTTTGATGGCATACTGACAAGGTATTTACTGCCATCAGGTGTTTCTGCCTCATGAAGGTTGTTACCACGACTTCCTAAAATCTTGAATAATATAGACAGGTATTTTAGTAGAGACAAGTTTTTTCTTAAGTGAAGGAACTATACTGTTGCATTGTTGGCCAAATAGAGCACGACAATTTCCCTAGTTCTTGTGAGAGTGGAAACAAACTGGAGCTGCAGTTAAACTACTCAGCCACAAAGAACTTACGTGAAGCTGTACTACTTCTCCCCCCCCCCCCACTTCTGTTTTCATTGCCAGAAGGGGGTGGGGGCGGTCATCACCCAAAAATTATGCTTCTCCATGATGACACAAAGAATGGCTGTGTAGCAGACTAGGGGAGGTATGGCTTGCTATAGTTTACCACCTTACCCATCACTACTCCCATATTGATGGTTTTCACGGTGACGTCATCAGATTGCAAAGTCAAAAAAGCGAGGTTTTACGAATTCTTATTTACACTAGGTTTAAAGATTAATAGGAAATAAATCTTTGTACAAGTTTCCAGCAGCGAAGCATGTTTCATTTCAAAAATACAGCAGTTTGAACTTCCGAGTTTTCACAGTGCGTGACACCAAAAGAGGAATGCTATCTCCTTGAAAAAAGTGTCTCCGCTTGATTTTCAGAAGTTTAACCATTTCAAGTATTAGAAAATATGTTTATGCGCAAGTATGCTAGTTCTCGAGTGAAAAGGAGGAGCTTTTATAGAAAAAGTGAACTCCAGATGTTTTTGTTGATTTCCGGCGGCCATATTGGTGGACAGTTTCTGTCCACCAGTATGGCGTCTCCATACAAAGCTCTACAAAGGTGCGTGAAATGTTTCGGCAACTAACTCAGAAACTGCGGGCCACAAAGACCTGAGATTTGGGCAAATTGTTTATATATTAGTCTTTTCTAACATTTCATTTTCTTGGCTTCTTCCACAGGACGGTTTCAAATGCATTTTTTTGTGTCGTGTTTATTGCGTGACAGTGAAAACGAAGAATAAACAGGCCACCTGCCTGCCATTAACATACACCTTTGTGCTCTTTCACAGTATAAAATGGTGTACGTCTGCCTTTTAGAGAGTGCATATCCAAGTGGGCTAAGCTTAATGAGCTAAACTATTCAAGGAATAAAAAATAATCAATTAATAATTATGCTTAATTAATTAAAATTTTTAAAATAAAAATTACATATCCAAAGCCGCTTTATCTTGGAGATGTAGCTACCCATACTGGAGACAAGGAAATCTGTTTCATAGCGGGTACACTTTCTTACCTTAACGATCTGCTGATTTGGTTCTGGCACTACGTAATCATCCAGAACCTCTTTTGTAACGTGTTTTCTCTTCGTCGCCTTCGACATACTGTTCTTGAATGTCAGAATTGATGCGATCTATCGACTATTTGGGCTAAAAAATGGGCGACCCGCCCACCTTTCAATTTTTTTTCATAATCAGGCAGCCATCATTTGAAATTTCTATTCCTGCACTTCCGATTTTAAGAAAAAATTATAGAAAAATATTGTGCACATACGACCACGTTGATACGCCATTTTGTGTTATGAGTCGTTACCAGCTCGGCCGGGATGAACGACAGAATCTGGGAACGACCTGACCACAGAATTGGGGTTCTGGGGATGAGACCATTTTTAATCTGAACTAGAACCACTACGTGGAACTTACCGGGGCCCAGTGGGACACGGGATTGCATAGATATAGTTTACCTCTCGCACCCCTTCCCCCTCCTCTGTGGAGGCTAATACTTAGTCTGAATTAACTCATGCAGAAGAAAAGCAACAAAATGCATGAGAAAGGAGGATGTTGTTGGAAGTTTGTTCAGTGTTATTACAGCTAACGGTCTGTGTTATAGTAGTGTTTTTAGTAACACTGTGATCACTGTGATCTGTATAAGGTTTTCATTTGTTTTTAAGGTTGAGTGAAAAAGCAAAAATCACTGACAGTTTTGGGTTGAATGGTAATGACAAAGTTTGCAAAGAAGTTTGTTACAGAATTATCACAATTTCACATTTTCTCAAGTACGTTATCATCAGGTTTATCATTGAGATTTATTAATCACATTTATCTATTTTTTGCGAAAACACTGTGAATTTGAAATGATAACAGACATAGGACATTTTTGAAATAGATCTTTGTGGTCATGGATTGTTGTCTTGCACTGTAAAAAATGTCATCCAATGTTATATACAGACATAATAAAATGCTTATTTATTGATGACTGAGTATCATTTGTTAATTCATTGCACATTGAAATGGAGGCACTTGATTGTAAGGCAGTGGTTGATACATAGTGGCATTCATCAATATGGCCTATAGTAATTATTGTAGAGGAAGTATTTCTTTCCTGAACTGGGTAAACAGTAGTATATCTGCAACTGCTTGAATGATAAGTGCATCAGCCCATGTACCTTGAATACACATATTATTCAGATATCTTATCCATGAATTTTCGGTATTGCTCTCAATAAATCTCTCTGGATTGTCTCTCATAAATTGAACCCCAGCAGAACGTATATGCATATGATGGTTGCTATTGCCATATAATTGATGTGATATAGATCTAAAGAAACAATCACCTGCACCGCCAACATCTATTGATTGTAAACAAAGTGCACCTAATCTTGACTGCATCAAATTCTCAGAGGAAATAGGAGACTAGAGAAAGTTTACTATAGTAAACTCAAGTTTACCATAGTAAACGGCGCCGTAAGTGTGACCGGCATTTTTCAGTTTACTATGGTAAACTCTACCCTGGTTAATTTCCATGACTACCGCAGAAAGAACAAAGATGACCCATCACCGATAACCATCTGGTTACCAAAAAAAATAGATGGGTATATCTCTAGTCTATCTAAACTTTGTTTGTTTTGTTGACAGTTTGTCATGATTTTTGTGGAAAGTAGTTTCAAAAAGGGTCACATAACAGAATAGCTTTGTTAGAACATCGGTGATTGCTTTTTCCACAATGCTTGAAGGTTTCTGTTTCTGTACATTTCTTCAAACCATTCCTGGGGTCGAGGTTAAACCCACACTTGCCTTCGCAATGCCGCTCTTTCTCTAAGAATACGTCTTCGATGAGTAATCAATAAATCTGTCACTAAAACATCTTCACTAACTTCGTATTGAAACCAAGGTAGGTAATAAGGGAGCGCATTCTTCTTGCTCGTCTGAGCAGCAGAATTAAAAGCAAAATGCTCACAACAGAAAACAATACTCTCTCACATTGAAGCATCTTTGTACACTTGTGAGGGTCACGCTCAGGAAGTTACAGTTCAGTAATTTCAATTTAGTCAGCTCTCATAGCAGGTCATCATTTGTTTTACTTTTCACTCTCACGTTACCGATCACGCGAGAAAAAACGCCTGGAAAGTTTCAAATGCCTTTTAAGTGGACCTGTCAGGTTTACTACGGTAAAGAAGACGTTGCGAGACTTACCATAGTAAAGCCCTTTTTACCATAGTAAAGTCTCTAGTGTGACCTCAACCAATGTTGAGCTGTGATTTTGCATAGAAGGTCTAATTATTACTTCATGATGATCAGTGTTGTATTGAGTAGGTCCTGGATTCTTCTCAACATCTTTACTTAGTTTGAAATTCACATTATTGGTCATATGACTCACACAATTGCAAAGAAAACAATGATAAAGATCGACGTGCTTTACATTATTTTTAGTTTCATTATCCTGTGATAATGCCTGCTAAAGAAAGACAACAAGTAAGCTTTCTTGGGTATAGCCATTTTATTTAAGTTAATTATCTTTGGATCGCGTTTGTTATTACATTTATATCGTGCATGATAAAGTTTTCTCACCTTATTAACATAGCGATGGAGCTTTGAAGTCTTCGGTATGTCAATCATTGAAATCTTTTTGAAGACAAATTTTGATAAGTGTTCGCTTTGATTCTCGATAAATTTCACGATGGAAGGTTCACCCAATTTCTCGATAAGTTTCACGATGGAAGGTTCACTCAATTTCTCGATAAGTTTCACGATGGAAGGTTCAGTCTCAGAAGTGATCGCTCATAAATTTGTCTCTCCAAATATTCACTCTTAAATTTTCGCTCATAAACTAGTTGGGTTGGGGGAACGTGTCGTTCCCCAAAAAAGCTATAATCTTTCTCTTGACTGTCCTCCATGCCTCTTCTTTTCAAAATGGCGGATAAGATTTCAATGAGCCAGCGATATATCTCAGTCAGCGATATATCCCTAACAATGTAACGTTGAAAAAACGGACGGTCTGCATTTTAAGACCGGTGCCCGCCTTCGGCTGGGCCCCGGTAATTAGCCTGCGTAGCAAGCGTTTCCGTTTGGTTTCGGAGCAAAGAAAGACCGACGAGGAACGGGATTCTCGGTTTTGGCCGCGCGAGAAATGAAACAAGAGCCAAAAAATGCCATTTTTCGCGCGGTCTTTGACTCTCGTTCTCGTTCTTTGGTTCTTTGCTCCTAAACCGCACGGAAACGCTTGCTACGCAGGCTAATCATTATTGGCCCATTTGAACACTACTTTTGTATCAAATTCCCAACTGCTTCTTATCTATAGTATTTGAATTGAAACGACTTTCCGATTCTTCATTAAGGGCCTGTTTACAAGGAGAGAGGGTCACCCTTGTGCTAAGGTAGTCTAGAAAGAAGGTTAAAGTTAGCTCTGGTTTACAAGCAAATTTCACAGGTAGGGTTACCCTATCACTCAGGTCAACTTTACCAGCTTTGCTAACGTGTTTCGTCATGCGTGACATTCTTCGTAACGGTCCAAAATTTGAAATAATCTTGAAGTTCTCTATGGAAAACACGTTCTGAATTCTAAAAAAAGGGAAAATATTATCATAGCGGGTAGACAGAAAATAGCTTCTTATTTTTCCGATGTTTATAATTAAGCTGAGAAATTGGATAATGCCGTTCAAGTTGGCACGATTACTGGTCGCGCATGACGGCGGAAAGTTGTTCCGGCCAGGCGAGTTATCCCTAGTTGAACGTTTACAAGGCAGGTAGGGTAACCCTCTTGCTAGGGTAACCCTAGCACTCAGGTGGGGTTACCCTAACGCTAGGGTTACCCTCCCTGCCTTGTAAACACATGGTGTGAAAAAAGAAGAAATAGGCGAGTCCTACGGTAACCCTAGCACCATCCTTGTAAACAGGGCCTAAGAAAGAACAACGGCTTGTCTGTCCGAAATATCGGGAAACCTCAAGTCGCTTTTGTCTTTGGTGTTTTGTTATCAATGTTTACAAAATTGAACCACAGCATTGACATTATTATAGAAAATTTCACACATTTAGACAGGTTTAAACCGGAAAACGAGTGACATGTTTGTTAAAGAGCGAAAAATTGCCCCGATTAGCACGATCCCGCGGCAAGTGCAGACGACCGCTCCTCTTTTTTAATTGCCCACCCACCGAACCACTTTTAAGAAAGTGACTAGCATATTTTAGCATCAGACCAAAAAAAAAAAATTTTTTCCGAGCAACGTTCCTTACAAACATCAATTTTTGATTGTCTTTTGAGCAACTTTTTGAGAAATTACGGGAAACTTTTTGGGTCGAGCAACTTGTTGAAAGCCCTAAAAGTGACAACGAAAACAAAACCTTCAACGCGCGTGGACTAATTACTAACGCAGTCTGTACTAAACCAAACTCCTGATTAACTATATAAAGGCCTCAATAGAGACAGATTGGCGACATCAAAAGTGAATGCAATAAAAGCGCATAGCATTTTTTTTTTATCTCACGCAGTGTCATATAGCAGGTAGATGACAACAACAAATTAAAAGAAAAAGTATTTTCAATATTGATAATAATAATAATAATAATAATAATAACTTTAATTGTAATTTCCTCGTGAGGTTTTTCAGGAACTATTTACAAACTATTTACAATTTATAAAAGGAAAAATGACAGTAAAAACTCGAAATCACAATTTATGATGGTATTCTACTAAATTCTACAGCTTATGAAGGAAATATCTGCCTCAATAGTGTGTCTTTCAGGGCGCGCTTGAAAGATGCCAATGAGGCACTGTGCCTAAGTTCATTATGCAAGTTATTCCATATGTAGGCCCCTCTGTAGGAAAATGTGCGCTTGCCTATAGCCGTTCTGTATAGCGGAAGCTATACAGAACGGCTATACAGAACGTTCTGTATAGCGGAAGCTATACTGTCACTCTATAAATCATTTGTCAGACACGACAATGCCAGGCCTTGTTTCAACTCATGTTGAACTGAAAAGGAACCTTAGTTTTAGTCCCGGATTCCGGGTCTCTAAACAAATTAGGAGTTAAAACTGAATTGGAATCGAAAGTAAATGGGTTTTTTCTCAGCTGGATGTCACTGCGCTTAAAAGTGAAAGCTGATCACAATGAGTATTTTCTTTATTCTTGAGGACATTCCTTGCGGCACAGCTCATACGACGGTGGCCCACAACTGTCACGGCAAAAGCAAAAACCTCACGGCAAAACCGAAAACCTCACGGCAAAAGCAAAAACCTCACGGCAAAATCAAAATACCCCACGACAAAACCAAAAACCTCACGGCAAAACCAAAGACCTCACGGCAAAACCAAATACTTCACAGCAAAAAACCAAATACCCCACGGCAAAAGCAAATACCCACGGCAAAACCAAAGTCATTTTGCTCACTGTGAAGTATTTGGTTTTTCCGTGGGATTTTCTGTTTAGTTTGCCGTGAGGTATTTTGTTTTTGCCGTGAGGTTTTTGTTTTTGCCGTGACACGGTTGTAGGCCACCATACAGCTTCCATATGACACCAAAGAAAAACGCTTTAACCGGGATCGTAAGCGATAAAAACTTGTTTTTGTGTTCACAAAATGCCTTACTTCATGCTCTGCTTGTTTTATAATGTTTACAAAAAGATATTTTAATTATGAACAAAAAGTCAGCTGCTAGTAGTAATATTTCTTGATTAAAACAAGTTACAGAAAATTTACATCTAACAATTAAGTGTTGTGAATCAGGCTCCAACGCGCCTGCGGCCTGGCGCATGTGCCGAGGTGAACACACCTGCAGTCAAACTCTCCTGTCATAAACAAGAACTCTAGGCTTAAAATTTTCATTTGCAACTTTCAAAGTCAGAACGGGGAACCCCGGTGTAATTGTGAAAAGGTGAAAAATGAGCTTCAAAGCACGTCTTCGCGTTGCAGAAAAATGACGACAACTGCAAACTTCACCGGTCATGAAAAGCAGACCACACTGAGTAATCCTTTAGTGCCATACTGTTCCCCAGAATTAGCTGAAGGTATACAACATCCGCTTGTATGTCTTATTGTGCTGAACATTTTCCTGTCCATCTGTGCGTTTCTTGGGAACTCATTAATCCTAGTTGCGCTTCACAAGAAATCATCCCTTCACACGCCGTCTAAACTTTTTCTCCGTTGCCTGTCAGCATCTGACCTCTGCGTTGGGCTCATTGCGGAACCAGCCATTGTTGTGTATTGGACTTCACTGCTTTTTAGGGCGAACGCGACCTGTCGATACTCAGCTCTCATCAGCCACATCACAGGCTACATATTGGGCTCAGTGTCTCTGCTAACACTTACGGCAATAAGCATCGATAGGCGCTTAGCACTGATGTTGGGGCTCAAATACAGACAGATTGTAACTTTGAAGCGAGCATGCATGACCGTGATCGCTGTGTGGCTTCTTTCCATTGTCGGCACCACACTTTTTTTTGTGAATTTTTTCATAACACAGTGGTATGCTAATATTATAATATTATCGTGCCTGGTAACTTCTATTTACGCTTATACCACTATTTTTCGTTTTCTTCGCTCTCATGCATTTAAAGTAAAAAAAACTGCCTACCAAGGACAACCGAGCCAAAACCTTCAGCCGCTTAACCTTGCGCAATACAAAAAGTCGGTCAAAACTGCGCTGTGTGTACAGTTAACTTTAGTAGTCTGTTATCTTCCATATGCTGCAGCACACGCTTTGCCTAAAAGACCACATGAACTATCTCAGTCTCTGTATCTTTTAAGGGCGATGGCGCTGACTTTAGTTGATCTAAATTCGACTCTGAACCCAATTCTTTATTACTGGAGGATCGGAGAAGTAAGACGATCAGTGAAGGAAAGTCTTAGAAGATTGGCCTGTTCTAGTTAATTAACAGGGATTCAAGGTGCTAACCTCAACACACCCGAAGATGTCAAAGATTTGGACAATTTTTCTTGGAAAAAAGAAAAGGTAATTTTTATTCTGAGGTACACATCTGATGGTCTTCAAATAAAACCCAAGCGTGCTCATCAAAGTGCCAGTTTGTACTGTGCGAAACGTCAAGGTTCATTATCGAAAAAGGAGTTAAGGAGTTTTAATCAAGCAGAAGCAAAAGATATTTGAGTATGCAACTCCAAGCTAAAATAAAACAGAATAGAATCTCGTTGTGAGGGCTTCATTTGCCCTCAATAACTTATAACTGAAAAAGTAAAACCGAAGACTGTCAGTTAAGTCAGGAAAAATAGTCAAAATGGCGCGCTAGACACATTTCAGTATTTTTAGTTACAAAGCTCCAACAAAAGTTATACAGAGAGCATTTATTTCAATAGTCTCTACACATAAGTGGCAAAAAGATAGAGATAGTTATAAGAACAGTGATCTTGTCGGTTGTTAGTTCGCGATTGTGCGGACATATTGGCTTTGGCCTCCAGCGGACGCAAACATTTTATCCAGGAGTCTAACCAGTCCATCTCACAACGGCGACGGCAACGGCAAAGCTTTTTTGTACATTTCTTTGCTTTCTCTGCACGACTACGACGTGAAATGACCAATTTCAAGTTTTTTGAGGACGGGAACGGCAAGGCGATAAATTCTGCCTTCTCTGTCTGAACTCGGGCGCGGCCCCCTCTCTTCAGTTCCAGCCTAAATTCCCTTCTTTTAAGTAACAGGGCGACTTGGGAAAATGGTGAAATGGTTTGAAAGGATGCGGAGTCTATTTTTCAGTGACGTTTTCATAGACATCGCCGTTGTGGGATCGTAAGGTCCCTATTATGCGCGGGTAACTTCTTATTAGCAGAGTAAATCAGCCTTCGCGCTGCATTTGACATTCATGGTGTAAAGACAATCTAGAAATGTCATTGAACTTGTGCGCTTGTACATTATATATTTGATAATTTATGTAACGGAAATAGGATTGGGAAATTCGAATTATGCAATAGCACAACAAAACAAGAAAAAACATGAGTTATCAGTTTTTCAGCGAGAAATAACAACTACATTTAAAACCGTTCTTGACTGATATGCTTTTAAATAATTAGCATTTTATCAGGATAATTATTGACTAAATTTAGGGGCACAATGTCTGCAAGTCAACAATTTTGACAGTAATATGCATGTAAAAGACTAGCAAGATGTTTTTTGCATAAATGGCGATAATGCATCATTAGTTAAAAAAAATTGAAGTAAAAGTTGTTCCTCAGTTGTTTTTCGACATATAATGCGGGTTTGGGGTCCACTGAACAAAGAAAAAAGAAGAAACAAGCATTTTAAATCATCAAAGTTCTGTAAAATAATAAATAATTTTTGCAATTGAAAAAAAGATCACAGCTTTCTTTACAGCTGGGGTTAACTACTTTGTTGATTGTCGTCACAAAACGTCTGGCCGCCAAAAAATATATTCAGCCAATTATTTTAAATCAATAATTTCTAGCTTACCACAAAGGTGTACCCTGCTAGCAGGGTCGCTTCCATCTTTCCTGGATAAGTCCTTCCTCTTCCCGACTTATTTAGGAAGATCGAAGGAGACTCTGTTCGCAGGGTAGTTAATTGGTTGTAATTTAAACTTTCTTTTAAGTCCGTTCTTGTGGCTCTAAGCGTTTTCTTGAAGGTTAAGGTAAAATGAAAACGTGCGTTGAGCAAAATAGGTTCCTGTGTAATTTCTTAAAGTATAGTTTTGGTGGAGTTCTTAGCTGAGAAACCGACAGTTGAGTATCCCAGTCTCGCTGATGACTCAAGCTGAGAAGGTGCAAACAATTAGCATGAACAGCAGCTAACAGCAAATAGAGCGGAAGTCTTGACAAAATGGCGTTTAGATTATGAGATAGTAAGATCCATTTAGATCGACCGATATCTAATGGTGGCTTTTATGCACCTATTAATGTAAAGCCGGCGGGGGGGAGGCAGGGCATGGGGTGGGGATTTGACATTTTTCAAAAATTTGCCTTCAACTTCCCTGCCCACGGGTAAATCATTCCAGTAAAATGCAACCAAATTTCCCCACCCCGGGCTGCACATTGCTATCAAATATCCCAAGGCAGAACCTAAGAAAGGCACAATGAAAATATCTCCAAATAAAACTCTGTAATCTTTATTTATAAGCGTTGCTGCATCACTAAAGATACATGTTCCTGTTACAGCTGCAATTATACGTTTTAACCATAATCCGTGTTACACTGCGTAGAATACAGAAACCTTTCAGCAGAAAGTCCACATTTTGTAAGTTTAAATATACCATTCTTAGTAAAGCCGGGTACAAAGAGAGTCAGTTTTACAAGCTTTATACAGTGATTGTAGCGAAAGAGCCATACACTGATCAATTGTACTTGCAAGAATCGACTTGGTTTTTCTTTACTTCCGTTTAATTTGATACCACAGTATTTTAAGAGATTCAATTGATCAAAAACACGCCCAAACAAACGAAATTTGAAGACAAAACAGTGAAATCCACTCAGCTTTCGCTTGTTCCCCTTGGCCTCCATGATTTCCATATCTTTCCAGACCGTACGGCGCATGTGTGAAGTGTGAAAGCGGGAAAGATATTAAGGAAACATATGTTCGGTCTCAGTCTTCGTCCGAGTCGGTAGTCAAATATCTCCACGTCGGGCGAAGAAATATTCAAACATCCCCTCCCTTGGGAGAACAAGGTCAGTCAAATGCCATACCCCAGGGCCAACAACGACAATCAAATCCCCACTCCATGCCCTGCCTCCCCCCCTCCCCCGCCGGCATGACATTGATAGGTGCATTACCGGATGGAAAGGTCCCATCCAAAATTCACTTTTATTTGTCTTTGGCTTGTGCTGTGTAATTCTATTTTATTTTTCTTTTAGAAATTAATGAAAGCGACTTCTCTGTGTCAACGTTATTATTTGTACTGTATTTACTTGCCATGATGACCATTTTGTGATCTCTCATTCTAAAAAAAATAAATTCTAGCAATAACTCAAAGAATATACTAATACTACTACTACTACTACTACTACTACTACTACTACTACTACTACTACTACTACTACTAATAATAATAATAATAATAGTAATATATAATAATAATAACGGAAGTTATATAGCGCTTATACATCGCTGTTCTAACCGCTTTACAATGTAAAAAAGGACATACGAATATCATTAATCACAAGCTTACATATAACCCTACTGTACATATTGGGAAATTTATAGCATACACATCTTAAAAAAGTAAGAAAACAAAAACAAATATGATGAAACTAAATGTTACATACCTTTTTAAAAAGAAACGTTTTCAGCTTAGATTTAAACAGATTAACATCAGAACAAGCTCGAATTTCAAAGGGGAGCTTGTTCCATAGTCGGGGGCAACAACGGAAAAAGCTCGCTGGCTGTGGTTCTTCAAGGCGTAAATGATCCCTTGATGACCGTAATGTCCTTGATTGATGGTAAAATTTTAAACTATCTTCAAGATAACGGGGACCAAAGCCATTCAATGTTTTAAAAGTTATTAAATTTATTTTAAAAACAATTCTCTCCTCAACAGGAAGCCAGTGAAGATCTCTTAGGGTCTCGGTGATGTGATCTCGTTTTTTGAGACCGGCGATAATTCGTGCAGCCGCATTCTGAACGGACTGCAACTTAACTATGTCCCGTTTTTGGGCACCAAAACGCAGAGAATTACAAAAGTCCAACTTCGAGCTAACAAAACTGTGAATTAAAATTTCTGTGGTACTTTTACTGATGTATTTTCTTATTTTAGAAATATTTCGTATGTGACAGAAGGCACCCTTAACTATTGTATTAACATGAGGTGAAAGTGACATTGTGCCGTCAAAACTTACGCAAAGATTGCGAGCCTGTTTAGCCTGCGAAGCGCAGACTCATTTCCGGTCGTCGCTTCTCTCCCTCCGAAAAATATTTTTCGGAGGGAGAGAAGCGACGACCGGAAATGCGTCTGCGCTTCGCAAGCTAGAGCCTGTTGAGAGGGCCTGATGTTTTCCATGCCAACAGAAATCGTGGGAGGGGGAAACGAATGACGAAAACGGGAGTGCAGAAAGAGAAATTCTGATTTATCATTGTTAAGCCTTAACTTGTTGGCAGTCATCCACAAATTGATGTCAGCAACGCAGTTCTCAAGATGTTGTTTTGCAGCCACTAGATCAGAGGTGTCACTGCAAGGAAAAGATGCATAAAGCTGCGAGTCATCAGCATAAAAGTGAAACGACAAGCCATGCTCATGAACAATATCACCCAGTCAAGATGTATACAATAAGTAAAGCATGGGGCCTAGGAACGAACGTTGAGGCACACCCCAATGAAGGGGTCGTACCGTGGATGAGGCGTCGTCTACTTTCACAAGCTGAGTACGGTCTGTAAGGTAAGATCGTAGCCAATCCAGGGCTTTTCCTTTTACACCGAACCTAGAGGAGAGTCTTCCTAGAAGAATTTCATGATCAACCGTATCAAAGGCTGTAGAAAGATTCAATAGCAAAAGCAAAACACCGCGATGACTATCGATGGCTTTGAGGATATCATCCTGTACTCGAATCAGAGCTTTTTCACAGCTATGATTAGCTTTATAAGCAGACTGAAGTTCCTCCATTTAATCCATTTGAACATAAATATTCCCTGAGTTGCCTAGCCGCTATTTTTTCTGTCGCCTTGGGCACAAGCATGAGGTTCGATACCGGTCTGAAGCTTGGATAGAACTCAGTGTCAAGGGACGGTTTTTTAAGAAGAGGAGATAAAATAGCTCTTTTCATAGGCAGAGGAACTTCACCACTTTCTAAAGAGGAATTAACAATCTTTGTTATGATTGGTACCAAATCAGAAAAGCACAACTTAAATAAGTTAGAAGGAATCATCGGGTCTAGAGGGCACGACTTCCTAGCCATTTTAGTTATTAATTTGCTCAGTTGGACAGCAGTAGTCGGCTTGAACTGGTTAAACTCACATTGAATAGAGGGATTATTAAAACGGGAAAATCGAAAAGGGATATCGCGCAGTGCCAAAGAGTCTAGATTCGATCGAATTGTGGCAATCTTCTTGAGCAAAAATCCGCGAAGTTGTTACATAATTCTTTTGCAGACTCGCAAGAAGGGTAAGAGGCTTCTCCAGTGTCAGGTTTAACACGCGGTCAATGGCGGAAAACATGCAACACTTGTGATTGCCTTTGTTTTCTTTTATCAAATCAGAGTAACACTCCATCTTTGCCGATGTAATTAAAGACCTGACTTGTTTACATTTGTCTTTGTACAGTCGTTGGTGTACAGTTAGTTTGGTTTTTCGCCAGTGCCTCTCCAGTTTACGTCGTTCACGCTTTGCAGAGGCAATTTCATCATTATACCATCGCGTGGAAGGCCTTAAGGTGACCACACGTCTTTTTAGGCGCGCATGGATTTCAAGCAAACCATCAAGATCATTTTAATACTG